ATTCAAGCAAGTGAACTTAATATAAAGGATTTAAAAAGACTATGTCAGCAGGTGGACACGGGAGTGTGAGAGGGCCACGGGAGTGGACGAGTGATCAGGCAGGCGGACGAGGAGGCAATTAGCAAATGGGTCGGTGAGCAAGTAGGCGAATGAGTGGGCGAGCAAGAGAGTAGATGAGTAAGGGAACACCCTGCAGCCATATTCTGCCATTTAACCTTTACCCAGCCAGATTAGTGAGGCCCCCAGTGGCTGGTAAATATAACCAGGCAAGTGAAGAATCAAGGGTATCAGGTTAATGGATTCCAATCCGGGGTTCTCTCTCCTTGTTCATCTCTCAATGCATCTCACTATGGGTCTCTCTCAATGATAATAAATGTACAGCTTTTTGTCAGTCAGTTGCTGTCAGAGGGCTTTCCTTAAGCCATGTCAGTTATAGGCATTTGTTTAATCAAACCTCAACACACTGCATTGTGTGGTTTGGTGAAAATGGGGCCCAGGACCGGTTCAGAGTTCAATCGCCACTGTTAGCTCTGGCAAACAATGAAACTCAGGGCCTAATTTTATTCCCACAACAGATTCCGATGTTTTTTTACTAGGTCCACTGTTATAGCATGTAGTCCACCACTAACAATCCACCCAACAGAAGAAAGAGTCTACGATTTGATTGTAATTTTGCCTTAAAATCTATACATTTAAAACATCACAAAGCCAGACTAATTGAGGGGGGGAGAGGCTTTCCGGTTATTGAGGGAGAGAGGCAATCCCGGAAAAAGGAGAAAAATGTATTAATTATCGCTTAAGTTTTATTAGATTTACACCATTATCAGTACCTCACGTGTGTGATTAACGCTTATGGATAATTACATTCCCCCGCACCTCCGATCAGCACGGTTGGCTACGTACGGTGCAAACGAAGTTCAATATACATACATAACAATACACATGTATTAGTGTACATAGTACTGTACAGTTTAATCCGAGCCACTGATCATCACCACGATTTTTCTGTTTGTGCGTAGTCACTTTAAGATGTTGTCTTGTTCATGTTTTTGTTTTTGTTTGTTGCGGTTGCACCCGATTCAAGAGCCGAATGGCTCACAGGGCTATACCAAATCAATGAAACTAAAATGAAACGAAGCAGAGGTGAAAGGCTTGAGTATTAAACCAAATAAACTTTGACGCGTATTGCAACCCAAGAAAACAAAAGTCTGTATACCTAGAGTACTGTCCTATTGTAAACTGTACTCTAAACGGTGTCACTGCTTCTCTACAATGAATAATGCTCTACAACTGACTAGCAAGTACGTTGACACATCAGAATCAGATACCACTGATGTACAGCTTGACTTGCCTCCACCAAACAGCTCATTCAAAATAAAAATGTCCAGTTCTCGAATAACTTGTGTGCCTCCATGATATAGTTCTTTCTACATTCACGTTTGGTCATTTTAAATCAGTTTACTTATCAATTTGACGATTGTTTGTGTTGCGATCGAAACGTCGTGATATTATTTTTGCTATCTACGTGGCTTTACCGAAAGACCCAAAGAATATAATTTCAAACCAGTTGGCAATTCAAAGTCAACTCCAAGAAAACTGCTCATACATAAACCATTCATATTCTTGGCTTTACCGAAAGAACCAAGAATATGAATCCCTGCAGTCACGAAAGCTTTAAATCAAAATAAATCATTCATGTCAACTTTCCTAAAATGTCTACATTTATATGAAAGCCCTAGAGTACAAAGTGCGATATCCAACGGTCTCTCTCTCCATCATCTTCTGCTGTGCTCTGAAGAAGGGCCAATTTACACATCGGTCGACTCTAGAACATTCCCTGGCCAGGTCTTAAAGGCCATAATTCACTCTGGGACCATCATGCAAGGGCACTCAACGAATCGACCTTCTGTGCACAAAAAAAGATGGGAGGGCAGCGTAGTGGAACCGTGCTGAGGTCCACAACAAAAACTATGTTGCAGACCCAACACAAAAGCTGAAGGGATTAGACCTGTCCTTGACACAATGGCCCACAACGAACAGATTCTCTACCTCAACCAGATGTGGTGCCTCCTTGCTCCACAAGTGGCAGACCAGAGTCCACAGTGTGACTTTGGAGAAGGTAACCAAACAATGAAACAAATCGACTCTTGTTCGTAGAAATACTTACAGCAGTGGTTCTCCAAGTGTATGCCCAGACCACCAGTAGTCTGCGACAGTCCTCCAGATAGTCCGCGGGGTGATACAAACGCTGGTTGATCCAGAAATAATGACAATATTGAACTTATATTTAATTTTACAAAAATTAAGTTGAGCAAACTACCCTGAATTTCGATTTAAAGCTTTCGTGACTGCAGGGATTCATCTTCTTGGTTCTTTCGGTAAAGTCGTGTAGAAGGGAAATAATAAAATAATAAATTTACATAATAAAATACAATAAAATACAATTCTCACGACGTTTTGTTATGTTTTATTTTTATTATTTTATTATTTCCCTTCTACGTGACTTTATCGAAAGAACCAAAAAGACAAACTACCCTGTTTAAACTACTCTAACCATAAGATCTAAATGCCCCTCACCCCCTTAAAAAACCTTATAGCCGCGTATTAAAAAAGTATTATGTTCCGGAAATATGAATCGTTTTGTATTACTGGTATTTAGAGATAAGTGAATGCGTTTTGTCATCAGGGGTAGAGGGTGGGAGGGGGGGATGGGTGGTCCGCAGAAATGTTTTCATCGACAGAGTGGTGCAGGTGCCAAAAACGCTTGTGCTGTGGCAGACCACAAATAGTCTGGCACAGTACAACCAGGTTACAAGGACTAATAATGCCCCAGAAGAATTTGCCAGTCAGCTGCAGTGGGAACATAACCTTTTGCAACAGGTGAGCATCTCAAGTGGACAGTCACACAATGATAGAATGAGTCGACCACATACACAAAAGACAATCGATAATTTTTACATTGCAACGAACTATTAAATCCAATACCCCCATCCACAAACATGCAACTTAAGACGCTTATAGATTTCTAACAGATTATTAGCTCTCTCTGTGAGACTGCAGATTTCCCATGTGATATCATTAAACTCAATTGGCTCCCACCTGTCTAAAACAGTGGTGGATGGATGTGACTAGGTCAGGCATACAAACAATGTAGACCCATTTTCTGAAGGTCACCTTGTGCTTAAAGTTGTTTCATTACTATACAGTCACGTGTGCACACCACCCACGTGCAATGGTGACCTTTATGAGCAGACAAGAGCCCACTTGGGACAGAATTTCAGTTTTCAAATGAGTCCTAAGTTTCAACAAATGCGTGCATGTATGCATGTAAACAAAGACAATGTAACTTTCATACATGAGCAGTTAAGAACACATTAATGGCTGTATTCAATAAGTACTGTAACAGATTCCAACATGTAAACACAAAGATACAAAACACGTATTTTACATAGTACATTCTACCAAAGTATTAGCTCCCATGCAAGTGAGATCATTGCCTATGTACATGCCTTCACATGGCGCACACGAATATGTAATTACAGTACGTATACAAAAACACTGAAATACAAGACGTACGAAGCTAAACAACACACATGTAGATGTTAAGAGAACCCACGCACACATCACCAAGTAAACCCCCCCGTGTACACAAGCCAAACATGTGTACGCATACACCCATACACAGATGGGTAAATGTGGTTTTGGGGTCTCAAATGGATCTTTATTAAACCAGGTCCCCACTTATTTCAAATTATATGACCATAGCCTATTGGATAGAAGCTTACATTGTCGTGCTTTGTTTGAAGAAATGCCTTGCGTGGTTAAAGGACTTGCTTACAAGAAATGTTATCTATGTAATCACTCTCAATCGGTCCCTTATTAAATCAGTCTCTCTTATACGGTCCTTAAATGTAAGTTGCTTTTACATATGCGTGGTTCGCTATTTAACAAGACGCGCAAACGCACCACTATTTATGAATACTTCTCTCTGATCTAGTTCTCATTTACTCAGATTCTCAGCCGGTCCTTCATTTAACCACTCTAATCTGATTAGGGTTAATAATTCTTTTCCATGACTACTTTAATTAACCAGACTCTAGGGAGGCATCAACCAGACTTGCTCCGAAATTGTATTAATCATACTCCCCCACATGTTAATTTATTAAATACTTTAATCTGGTCTGTAAGCCTTTAATCAGAATCCCATACGGTATTTTAACCAGACTACTGCATTTACTGTATTTAACCACATTATATCTTGGACACTTAGTCCCCCTTTTATTTAACCGGTCCCTGGCCAAATAAACAGGTCAGAGTCCGGTTAATATGCCACGTGGGAATCTGGGCAAGGGCTCGTGTGAGATGTTTATAACTCAGGTTAAAGTCGAGGTTAAATAATGCACATCGTGGAGGTGTTTTTGTTCAGCACAGGAGCATGTTGTGAAGCCTGGATAAATATAACATGCGATGGCCCGGCAAAGTACTGTATTGTGGCGGAGACCCGTCAACAACACCGCAATACATCAGATTACCGGGGTTAAATGAAGGACTAGGTTGAGTGAAAATCGTCCAGTGTGCTTAAATAAAATGACAAAGTCGTGGTGATTCGAGGCCACCATCACCACCACCACCACCACTCGCCATATTCGTACACAAACCATGCGCGTTGCATCACCGGGCACTCGACCTTCAACAGCTCGGGTTTGAACCCTCCAATGTCGCCGCATCTCGCCTCGTGTTTCCCGTACGAACTCAGATGACCCCGGCCACACCAATGTGGAATTCCCACCACCACCGGCACCAACATTTGACACTCATTCACCGGCACGTTCAAAGCAACACACGTCTCGGCGTATCCCCCCACCCACCCCCCACAACCACCACCATCACCCCCAGTTCCCCGCCGTGTATTTAAGTCGCGAAGCTGCACGTCGTAGTGTTATTTAAAGTACAGTACAGTACGGCTTGCTTTGCTTATTAATTTCAACTCGATTCTTTACCCGACGACGCGGTGGCGCGGTTGAGCAGCAGCAGCAGCAGCAGCGTCGTCGTCGTCAGCAGCGACGGCAAAGAGCCGGTGGGGGAGAGCAGCAGCCTCATGTCGCCGGGGCGGTCTTCTTCGTTTGTCGGCGTTGCAAGAAGACGTGGCGAGAGCGGCTGGGGGGAAGTGGGCTGGTCGCTGTGGTGGCCGCTTGCGATGTGCGTGCTGCTGCTGCTGGCTGGCGGTGGCGGTGGCTGCCGCGATTGTGACGGAGGGCAGGGGGCGAGAGCGCGCCGAGTGAGAATGCACCGCGGTTACCTCCCGTGACCCCACCCACCCCACCCCCCACCCACCCTGAGCCCCCCCCCTACCCCCGTGGACACGTGCTCATCGTGAGCTCGTTTTTAGTATTGCCTCATGCGCCATCGATCCCCCCCCCCCAACCCTTTTCTTGCGACATGTCCCGCTCAAACCAGTCTCGTTTTTTTCACGAAAGTCATCGCGATGTCGATTTAAAATGGGTATGTTCCACTTTGTGCCTCGGAGTATAAGTCAAATCGTACACATACGTCCGCCAATGACACTGTCTTAAAGTGACAATTATATGAGAGGCGACGATTCGGCTCATGGCCCCCCAAACCCCCCCCCCCCCCCCGAAAACGTGGTTCGGAAACGTGGCCTGGACTACGTAAGTGCATGTCGGTGCGTCTACGCACCGCGCGTTTCCCCACTGAGGCCCCGCATGGAGAAGAGTCGTGCTGCAATAATCGATCAAGTAAATAATCGATCAAGTAAAACATTCCTTGATCGAATACGTGTCTTTATACAATTCACAGTAGATCATCGATTATCCCGGCGGCTTAGGGGGGAGGAAGGGGGGCACCGGATTTTCGAAAAAAGCCGGATAATCGCATCGTTCTTTTTGCACATTCGAGCATGACATTGTGTTTTTAGGTGTTGCGTTTCTGGTTTTTTTGGGGCTTTAAATTTGCTAACGATAGGAAATCGGCATAAATAAACATACAAATAAATATCCTGTAAAAAAGTTCATGTATTTCCCGTCCTGTACTTACCACTCCGATCTCTAAGACTCCGGCATGGGATTGATTAGGGGTGGTGTAGAACTGGAGGCGGTTACCCAGTCTGACTCCAGCTGCAATTGTATATTGCTCGCTAACGCAATCGAACACATTGCTTTGAACGCGCTCTTGTATTATCAATGGTGTTTGACCATTGCTGGATTCTAAACTTTTCGACTGGTCGCGCTGTATATTTTCAGTTTTAATTCGTTATTTTAGTCATGAAACATGTATCGACGTGCAGTATTTTCAAATGTTTTTAAGTCGTATGTAGTGTATAGCGTGCTGTGTGTAATATTTGACGCTGAAATAAAGCGTAGATGCTTTTTTTTGTCACGCACGTGGTGCCGAACGCTAGATTGATGACAGACTTTGGAGCAGTTTTCTGACGATTGCCCCGATTGCATGCCGGGTTTGCCGGATCGGCGGATGATGTTGGAAGCCGGAATAATCGATGATCTACTCTTATTTTATATCAAGATTTCGCCGTTTACGTGCTCATTGTTTCTCGACAAATTTTCATCATTTACCCAAACCTAATATTTCCGCTAATCGGTTTCACATTTCACGATTCCAGTTCGATAATAATCACTTTATATAATCATCACTTTACCTTGATGTATTCTATAAGTGAGTAAACAATCGTAAAACCGTGTTTATAACGTATAACTTTTAAATGTTTCATAAGCTAGTCACAATGCATATGTTCATCAAGCAAAATCTATTTATCTCATGATAATACTTCAGAAAATAATAACAATCAGGGAAATACATGCGTGTAAGACTATATTATTTACGTGTGATGCACATTACATACAATAAATGATACCTTCATAATTACTTTTCACCATGTGCTCATTAGGGGCCGTCCATAAATGACGTCACGCGATTTTGGACGATTTTTGACCCCCCCCCCCCCTCGTCACACGGTGTCACAAAAAGTCAGACCCCTCAAATATGACGTCACAAAGCTCTGCCCCAAAAAATAAAACATGCTTCAAATCGCTTTAAACTATTGCCATTGTAGTGCGTCTTTAATGTGTCGCTGCACTCTGATGTTGTAGGAGAAAAAATTTAATAAAAAGTATATTTAATTAAGTAGAACGTGTTGTCTATATTTTAAGTTGCGCATTTTGATGTGACGTCACATTTCTCAAACTCCCTCCCCCTAGTCACATCGTCACAAATGTCTGACCCCCCCCCCTAGATGCGTGACGTCATTTATGGACGGCCCCTTAGAAACTGACCTGACCTAGGAGAGGTCCAAGATCGGTTCACATGCCACTGATGTTAGCCGTGGCCAGGAATAACAACTCAGGGGCCCAGGTCCTAGAACAGCGTTAAGAACCTGGCCAACCACATTCCAACACAATCACTGCCAATTAACACTAAGTTATGGTCATGTCACCCAAGGAATTTAAACCAGGCTAGGTGCACCCTGAGGCCGCTTAAAGTGCCAAAGGCTCGCTGGCATGAGGTCATTGGAATTGGGGTCAACTGACAGCCGCACTGCTTGTCCTGCCCTTTTCCCCATACACATGAAGCATTTGGCCAATTTCGATTTAAAGCTTTCGTGACTGCAGGGATTCATCTACTTGGTTCTTTCGGTAAAATCACGTCGAATTGAAATAATAAAATAATAAAAATAAAACATAATAAAATAATTCTCACGACGTTTCGGCCACAACGCAAGCAGCCGTCCTCAGGTGAAGAACATGTCTGTCGATAAGACAGAGTCTAAGACGTGTCATTTAGACTCTGTCTTATCGACAGACATGTTCTTCACCTGAGGACGGCTGCTTGCGTTGTGGCCGAAACGTCGTGAGAATTATTTTATTATGTTTTATTTTTATTATTTTATTACTTCCCTTCTACGTGACTTTACCGAAAGAACCAAGAAAATGTAAATAACGTCACGAAGCAGTCTTTAACGAGCCGCATGCGGCTCCAGAGCCGCAGGTTGCCGACTCCTCGTCTAGCCAACCAGAATAGTCCATGGGCCCAGACCAAAAAACACACTTATTGGTACCACCTGAGGGGGCAAAGTCTGCTTTGATTTTTGTAATCCTCCATGTGTGTGGGACATTCTGATATGATAACCTTTGCGGAGTGGCAGCTTAGTTGTAGTTACCATGACTTCTATACCATTTGACAGGCGTCCGGAACGATGAAATGGGCATTATTACTGAAAAACTACCTATACCAAAGCCAGGTAGGTCACAAACTAGTCTTTATTGGTTTAAATACACAATGAAAACACAGGTGAGGAACTACTTGAATATTATAAACATTGACATTTGCATATACTTCGTCAATGATACATGTAATCCCATATATATCGTTAGTGAGGGGTATATGTGAAGAAGGCTACATTATTGTTATCAAGCTCTGTGTGTACTTAGATGGTGTTAACAAGGGTAACCAAGTCCAGAATCACCACACTGTGCATCAATGTATACTACTACTACCACAGTAATACCATCAGAATCACCACCCTGTCACTCATCAAACTGCTCGTCTATCTCGTCATCTGACTCCCCGAGTTCAAAGTCAGGTTCTGGATCATCCTGCAGTTTTTGGTTACTGCAGGTCTGTAACCTGCACATGTCTGTGCATGTCAGTCCATTTGACAGGCACGTGCAGCTTTGGCATTTTGTATGAACGCACACACTTGCATGCTAGCAGTTCCAAGACCACATCTGTTGCGGGTGAGGAGCACATCCAGTAAATGGCCAGCTTGCCATCATCGTCTGTCAATCCATACTCAGTAGGGCTTGACACCACAGGGTTAGCATGCAGACAGCACTTCCAGATTGCTGCCTGATAGTTGGCTCGTTGAACATGCGTGAAGAGGCAGTCTCTACATGGTGGCAGCTGGCTGGACTCGACTTCTCCCCTTTTGGTGCAGAAGAGCTGGTAGCGCAGTTCGTTCACCTCACCAGTGCTGCTGTTAGCAACATACATTCGACAGGTGAACTGCTCAATTTTCTGGAACAGCTCATCACATTCCATGACTGCTTCAGTCGACTTAACGTCTCTTGGCAAGAAGTGCCCTTTCTCACCATCTTCAGGGCATTCAGCTTCCCTCGACCGGCGAATGCACTGACAGTGTCGCAGCCTGTGAAGGCGTGTAAGCCAATTAGGCTGTCACAGATGCTGTCTCCAAGTGACTTTGCGAGTTTGCTTATATCGACAAACTGTGTGCGGTTCTGTGTCCCACACTTCTGGTAGATGGAACAGGTGATGTCCTGGAAGCCAAGACAAAGCACCATGACATCAGTGTCCTCAGCTGTGATGATAACTGCTTTCGAGCCCACATTTGCTGCATGCAATGCATGCAGGAGCAGACGGGTGTCAGCTTCTTTATGAGTGGAGTGCAGCTCTGCTATTTCCTCACACTCATCTTCTGTCAACGTGGAGCAGAGTTCCTCACAGATCATGCACAACACCTTGCCATGCAGCATCTCTCTGTATCGCGGGAGTTTCCACTCTTCCACCAGAAACTTGATGAGACTGGTCTTGTTAATGATTGTGTGCATGTTATGAAAGTTTACAATTTATAGCAGCAAAATATAAAAAAGTATAAAAATTGACAAACGGAACAAAAATCATTATTTTTTGCCTGTAGTACCTGGCTTTAACTAATAATCTTAACAGGTACATTAACAATACATTGAGGATAAAGTTAGCACTTTAGATATCTTTACTGAACATAAATAATACAGAACCACCATTACTTGCCTTGCTTGCCAGTAAATGATCATGAGCAATGAAGCTGCTATAAACAGAAGGAAAACAGATCGCGCCAATCTATGCCAGGCTTAACTAAGTCACTGAAATTGAATAAATGCAAGAATATGCATGAAATACATGCCTTGGGGACAATCATCCATTTTGTAATTATGTATTGCCTTAATTAACAGCAAAGGTGTTGGAATGTTTCATTTGTAACGTCCGGGCAAATAGGCGTGATTTCGATAAGTGCAAAAACAGGTTTCCTGCGAGAAAAATTAAACAGCTGCTCATTGGGAAAGGTTATCATGTATTATTTTACTTCTATTGGTGTAACAAATAAAATGTCACCATTGAAGTTTTGTCACCTTGGGTGGTACCGATATCTGGCCTGGCCCAAGGACGAGAAGCTGCGTGGTGATGCTGAGACTGGGTATGGGAGCTCATCATGATGCCCCAGGCAATGCATCCCCGTCTTTTAGAGGAGCACACTGTGAGCTCACACAATTCAATCCACTTGAACCCAGGCTGGATCAAAGGCAGGCCAGCTTAAATAATGTCAGCCGTCAGAGATGTTTTATGTAAAGGGTTACTTTACATACGAGCCGGTCATAAAAACACGGTCCTGCTACAGGAACAAGTTAAGGCGATTAAGTTCAGGGAGTCGAAACGATACATTTTGGGTACGGTTCGGGTTATTGCAAAACCGACTGAATCAGTTACAGAATGTGCCAAAACCGGTTCCAATGGGTTATAATTCGCATATTTTTTTCTAAAACAAAACAAACCCAACCTGTGTGACTTACATTGTCGGCTACACTGAGTTTTTTTAAAAAATAGTTGACGTGTTTCAAGCGCTTCAAACACCATCGTGAACATGGCATGTTGGGACAACCCCGCATCTCCGATTCGCTCAATTGGCTACGTACGGTGCGAAAAAAGTTCAACATACACACAACAGGCGCCAGGGTCATAATTTTAGCGCTTCCAATGTCTTAGGGGCCGTCCATAAATGACGTCACGCAGCTGGGGGGGGAGGTCAGACATTTGTGACGATAGTGTGACGAGGGGGGGGTTTGAGAAATGTGACGTCACATCAAAATGCGCAACTTTAAATAAATATAGACAACACGTTCTACTTAATTAAATAGACTTTTTAATAAATGTTTTCCCCTACACTATCAGAGTCCAGCGCCACATTAAATACAATGAAAATAATTTAAAGCGATTTGAAACATGTTTTATTTTGGGGGGAAGGGGGCAGAGCTTTGTGACGTCATATTTGAGGGGGGGGGGTCTGTCTTTTTGTGACGCCATGTGATTCGGGGGGGTGGGGGGTCAAAAATCGTCCAAAATCGTCCAAAATCGCGTGACGTCATTTATGGACGGCCCCCAAATCTGTGCCGGAGCGGAGGTGAGAGAGTGACAGGGCCTCCTCTTGGCCAATATTTCGCCCGTGGGTGCCTTAACATCGGCAGCGGGGGGAGACGACGATGGGGGTGGTTTGCTGGTCACCCCACGCGCACGTGGCGCCGTGCCTGCCTTCATAGGTGCTCGCTAGCAGCACTTGCCCCAACAGCCTGTTGAAGGCTACACGGGGGAACTTTGTCTTTTGTTGCACCCCCCCCCCACCCCTCGGTGTACGGGGCGGGCTTCTCCGCTGCTATTGGCTAAGAGGAGCTCCTGCCCCGCCCCTTACCCCGCCCCGGACGTGACGTCACAACAACAGGAAGTGGCGACTCGGCGTGGATCGGGGCCGTCATGGAGGCGGCGGCGGCGGCGGCGACGGCGCGAGGAGTCGCCGCAGCGGTCGGAGCAGCTGCAGGAGGAGCGCGAGGAACACGTCCCCTTGCTGCTACAGCTGCTGCTACTACTACTGCTGCTGCTGCAGCAGTCGTAGGGACAGCAGCAGGCTGGAGGAGCGGACGCGTCGCGGTGCTCATCGTGACGGGTACAGATCCGCGCGTGTGTGTGTGTACAGTACAGTGCAGTACAGTGCACCTCCTGAGTGTTGTTGGTGGAATAGGCCGCGACAGCGCCTGGGGTGGGGTGGTGTTGACCGCGCCAAGCGCGGCCGCCTTTGTATTCTCCGGTTGCTGCTGCTGCTGCTGCTACTCGAGGCAGCCCGAGGAGGGCCAACGTTGTTTCAAGGTGTCACTCGCCACTGGCGTTAGCCACTGGCCAGGGTGTGAAGCTGAGTGCGTTTAAGCAGTGCCCTCCATCGTATACACACACACACACACTCTGCAGTGTGGAGTCTGGTCACACAATCTTCTTGACGGACACGGCGTAGGAGATTTTCATCCAGAGGCGGATTGATAAGGAGCTCTTAAGTCCTACACGTATAACACGTGTACAGCGTGTAAGCTGCATACGCACACAATTTCTTAATGGAGCCAATAAGTCAAATTCATATCAGCGTTCAGGTCAAGTATTTATACTCCTATAGTACATGTATACACTGTACAGATATGCACCTTGCAATACTGTACATATATACATGAACACATTTACAGTATAGTTATGCACATGCGTAACTATACACATAAAAGACAGTAGACTGCACATTATACACATACTGGGGCACCCTCCCCCCCCTTCACCAACCCTTTGATAAGTGTGGTGAAGTATGGTGAATCAACTTACCTCCGTGGCCGACACGGTATTGAGAAGTTTTCATCCAGCAGTGATTTTGTATTGTTTGTCAGTGACATTCTTACCCGCCCCGACTGGGCATATGTGAAAAAGAGCTTTATAGTTCATCGGATTCCTCCAGGAAAAATATTCAGATTCTGGATTGAAAATGGGCAAAACATGTAATTCACGTGCACACAGTCATACGTACTGCACACATATTAGTAAGCATACTGACGCACACATTTAGTGTCTCCTTGTGTCTCTCATGTTCTGTGTGCCCCCATGTCCCTGTGGTAGCGATCTCCTGTCTCTCCATGCTTCCAGGAGCTACATCGTGGACGTCAGACAGCTCGGCTGAGGACGGTGAGAGGGGAGTGAAGGGAGACGGGGAGTGAACCCTCACCCAGCTTCGCTAAAGAGCAATGGCTGGCTACCTGTTGGAGCAGTCGTCAACACTTGAGTTTGAATTCTTGGATGGCACCTACTTCAAATTAAGCCCGTTTTTGTTGAGTGTGGCTTTCTCCTCAACATGTCTCCCTCCAGTCTTGTCCTCCGTGCAGTTGTAGTATTTCAAACTCGATACAGCCCTAAAAGTATCTTTTTTATGGGAGACCTGGAGTGCGAAAGCAATACGGACCGATGTAGTCAAAGGTGAAACGGCAGCATGGGGGGTTGGAATATTAACATAGAAAAATCTTAAACTTACACAAACATTCTGAAAACAACTGTCATGGGGGGGGGGAGGTGAATCTTGTTAGTTGATATGAGGGGGGCACTATCTGCGGATCCACGTTTATTCCCTTCTTATCTGTGTAGATGTCTGCGGATACAAGAATATTTCCACCGCTTCTGGTGTAGCGCTTTTGGGTACCACTTCCAGGCGACTTTCACGCTAGGCTAAACATGCATGTTAGAAGGGACTTACCGCTGAACACCTCTTGTCCGCAAATTAGAGTCCAGTGCCATTTGTCATGCCATGGCTAGCCATCTTCATCCATCATCGTCACTCCACAGCGAGAAACCACAGAAGCACTAGGCCACGGATAAGTGTGGGTAATAGGCATGTTCTGCACAACTCTTCTTATCCATGAAATATCCATGGATAACGAGTTTAGGCAAATATACGGATTCACGAGGTGTTTCACTGTAACATTTACGTTTAGAGAATAAATGTCAGTAATATATGATTAACAAAGCACTTGCATTCATATTTTACATTAAATTATTCTAATTGTCAACAAAAAAAACCTGCCCCTTTGTGTCTCCAATGTTCCCTCCCTCCCCCCCGGCATGTCTCCTGCCGCACTGTGCATCTGCACATCCCTTGACCCCCATCAGTCATGCAAGAGGTCGTGCGTCTCTGCCCTGCGGACGTCGCCTGCCGCTCTCTTCCTGTTCAGTGCCTCAACTGCACCTACAACACGTCGTGTGTGTACGGTCACAACACCACGGGCTCCTGCTCACCACGTGCTGGCGTGCACTGCACGGTTTGTTCCCATGTGTCTGTGTGAGACAGTACATCCCCATGCGGTATTGAATCATTGTATACCCCCGTTTTTCCTTGTCTTGTGTGAGTTGGAGCATCTCCATGCATTCCTGTGAGTCGCCACTTGTGTCTGTGTTCCCCGTGTTTCGTCGTGCGTGCGAGCAAGGACATTTTCATGCATTCCTGAGAGTCGCCGTCCATGTCCCTGAGTGTCCTTGCGTTTCTCCAGATATCTATACGTGTTCTCCGAGTTGTCTCTGTATCCCCGTGTCGTTCCCGTGCATCAATTTATTTGCGTGTCCCTGGGTCCCACTGTGTCAATGTGTCTCTGATTATTTCCGTGCATCGCTATGTGATATTACGTGTCTGTGAGTATATGTGTGCGAACCTGTGTGTCGACTTTTGTCTCTGTACACTTATCTATGTATGTGCCCATGTGTAGGCCCATGTATACCCCTTAATCTGTCTCTAGTCACATACACACATAATTTAGAATGACATCACTATAATTTAAATCTTTGTTCATCATTGGATTTTATTGTGTTCTCGTGTCTTTTTTTTATCCAGGAAAGCCTCACTGAGCCAAGAATATTTTTCACCAGGATTTTGCTTTAGGATGTTTAGCCCATTAATTAGTGCTTGGCATGTGGGAGGAAACCAGTATCCAGAGAATACCCACAAATACGATGGGATAACACTCAAAGCTCAGCACATATAGTCAAGAATCCATTGCTGTAATGTCAACTCACGGCCACCTAGCAGCCCAAGCGTACAACACCTGATATTCCCCGGCATCTTAATCCTGACCAGACTCAATGCTTACGTTATTCTACAAGATCAGACAAATTCAGGCTGATTTGCTTGTCCCCGTGTGTCCCCAGGGGCGCAGGGAGATGTCCGTAAATCTGACGTGCGGGTTCTGCTGGCAGCTGCCACCCTCCCTCTACCACTGCACCAACAGCACCTCCTGTCCCTCGGCTGGGTGTCCCCGTGCCCGCACGCGCGCCAACTGCACCGCCCTACCTGATGTGCACTGCCTCGGTCAGAACCTTCTCTCTCTCACAAACTTGCTTGCACAGTTGCCTATTTGAATGCTAACCTCCCCACCACTCCTCGCCCCAACAGACCACTAACCTGTTTAGAGTGGTTGTGTGTGTCTGTGGGGTGGTGTCTTGGGGGAGGGGAATTACCTCAGCCCAGATCATTTAATGAGGCAAGGTGGAGATGACCCTGCTGGGGCTGTTGGTACCTCATTGGAAGAAGTAGTCTCACCCCCTGTTAGTGGCTGGTTGAGGTACTATCTGCTGAGAAAGTACGGAAGGCGATCCAGAGCCTGAGACCAGGAAAAGCGCCGGGCAGAGATAATCTCTCAAGCGAACTGCTGATGGAGGATGGCTTACTCAACTTTTAGTTCATTTAATGAATGGATTATAATGTAATTATTTGTATACTGAGTGCTGTTGCTGTGTCCTGTACAGGACTTTGAGATCCTTGGTGTTAAGTGCAATATAAATGAAATTATTATTATAACAGCCTGGACCACAGGACAGGTTCCGCAGGATTGGAAGGATGCCCTGGTGATCTCCATTTAATAAAAATTGGGACTGCACTGATTGCAACAACTAGTAGGATATCTCCCTCCTCAGTGTGCTGGGACAATTCCTGGCAACAATTATTCAAAATTGCCTTCCCAGTTCGGAGCGGTCCTGCACAGACGCCATATTCTCTTGTCCGTCTGTTACAACAGGGGTCGGGTCGGGAATTCCAACAGAATATATGTTTGCTTTATTGAGCTGATCAAGGTCTACCATCAGTAGGCCAGGGCTCTTGGTTGTTGTTTGTGCTTTTGGAGTCCCGGACTCTGCTCACAGGAATTTTAGTCCTCCATGATGGTGGGCAGGCTTGGGTTAAGCTATGTGGCTGTGAGTCAGAGCCATTCCCTGTTCACCTTGGGGTGCGACACAGATGTCCTCTGGCTTCTACATTATTTAACATATTTCCACAACGTAGTTCGAGAAGCTTTCCATGGCTGTACCGGATGGATTTCAATCTGGTACAGATACAATGGGAGGCTGATCGATGCCCATGTGCGGTTGAGGGAAGGATCCCTATTGTGTCAACCATGTTATGTATGCTGATGATCTGGTGATTGCTGCTCAGAGAAGGATTTAGAGGCACCAAAACCGAGTACCTGCCTAGGAATGTTGTTTCATAACACATTCCTGCGGAGGGAGCTGGTTGGAACGTTGGGTTGATCGGTCAATAGCCAGGGTCAACCGCGATGTGGTGTATTCCGCAAATATGGCCGACTGTGAGGGTGGGCACAAGCCGGCGTGAGTAGGTTAAACGTTAAGTTTTATAAGGGCACCACGGGGTAACCAGCCCCTCCCCACCCAGCCCCACCCCTCCCACCCTCCCCACCCAGCCCCTCCCCACCCTCCCCTCCCCACCCAGCCCCTCCCCACCCTCCCCTCTCCACCCAGCCCCACCCCTCCCATTTTTGGATGCACGACGGACGGACACAATAATCCCCTGTGGGCTGGTGTAACCAGGAGGTTTCTACCACTAAAACACTCCACTCCCTCAACTCCCCATTGGTGATGGAGCAGTTATGGAGAAAGTGGAGAGGTTTCCATAAACAAGTGCTACGGTGAAGTCACCACCACTTAGTAGGGAATGGCGGTTGCTGTTGGTGTGTCCAGAGTGCCTGTGCCTGTGTGGCTTAATGTGCCTTGTGTGCATGCATGTGTATCTATACATACACATACTTTACGGGTATAGTCCTGGATACACACTCGTGTGCATGCACCCACATACGCACACTTTATACACACCTGCATACATGCACCGATATGTATCTGCTTTTATCTCCATGGATGTGGCTGCATACAGATCTGCATGCACCTTACATATGCCAGTACATGTGTGTTTTTACATGCTGGTGTGTACATGTTTGTGGCGACGAGCATCAGTAGTTAACTGGTTAGTGCACTGTGCTACAATCCCCAATATCTAAACCACTTCTGTTTTTATCCGCGGTTGACTTAACCTTCAATGAGTGCCTGGTTTGGGGTGTAAACACAAGCACTGCGGAGACAATGACAGCAAGGTGTAGTGTTGGCCACACTGCTCTCTCACTAATGACATCTGCCCCTGCAATCTATAATGGAGATATTTCTGTGTGCAGGTGAGCGCACCTTCATGAAGATGCTCTACTGTGACTGGACGGGTGGCCACAAGTGGGCAACAGCACTCACACTCAGGTCTGAAGTCCCAAGCTCTGGGATTTTATATTTGTGTGCACTTGTTGTGTGTGTGTTCATCTGTGGGGAGCGGTGGTGCAGTGGTTAGCACGCTGCGCTATAGACCCAGTGCCACTGAGTTCGGTTTCTGCTCATAATCAAATAACATTGGCAGATATTTTTAACCGGTCCTGGTGAGCCTCCCCTAGGTTGACTCGGCCATCAATGAGTACCTGGTGCAGTGTGCAAACATCAGCACTGGGGAGACAAAGGCGACCAGATGTGGTGTTAGCCACCCGCCTCCCCCCCCCCCCCCCTCCCTCGTGACGTCCAGGTTTTCATAGGTGCTCGCTTACAGCAATTATCAAAAGTCTGTTAAAGGCTATATATAGGGTCTTAGTTGGCTGGCACATCACCTCCACAGCTACACTGTTATGTTGTGAGTCCTGTTGGGGGAAAGGCTGAGCTTGGTCGGTTATTTACCCTCCACTTGCTCATATCCACCACAGTGGCTCATGGGGTGCTGGGCAAGTTTGAAGGCCTGATAACCCCTACACCTTAAATTAATTCGGCAAAGAATCATCGGAAAAAGAAGAGAGAATGGACTCATAAATAAAACCACATCCCAATACGTAAATCTATCCACTGGTTCCAGATTAGCACTCGATGTCTTAAAGGTCCTCCATGAACTCGCTCCTTCATCTCCCCTCTAATCGCACTCTACAGCACACCCCCTCTACACCAGCAACCCAATGCATTTCAAATTCCCCAGTCAACGTTTTCTCAGTGGGAGGTTGCTCATTTGTTTTATGTTGCCCCATTGTTTGGAACTTACTACCACACTCCGCCATGCTGTCGACTTCCTGCTCAAGTCCAGGTTTCAAACTCTTCCTTATTCATCTGGATATTACTTTCTTCCTCTCTTAAATACATAAAATTGTCCTTTCCCCAGGATGTTCATGCCGCATTGAGTGCTTGAGATGCAGTTACCTTTAGCTGGTATATTGATCTGGGATGTAATTGTGCATGTGCAGTGTGACTCTAGGTGGGTTTGGAGCTGATCGCTTCTACCTGGGCCAGTGGCGAGAAGGCCTGGGGAAACTATTCAGCTTTGGGGGCCTGGGCGTGTGGACGCTGCTGGATGTGCTGCTCATCGCCATCGGATACATCGGACCTGCCGACGGGTCTCTCTACATTTGACGAGCTTCATCACCACCGTCATCGTCAGCACATCAACATCTTCAGTTGCATCATCGCCATCATCACTCACAATGACCATGTCTCAGTTCAAAATACCATGCAGGTATTTCTGATTAAACCAGGTTTCTGTATGTACTAAGTTGTATAAAAGACAATTATTTAATACATTTCAGTTTCACATAATCCAGCCTGGCCGAATATTGAGAGCTTAAATTTGTAAATATTGTATATTGGATTAATTACATGTGGTGAACCACTCTTTACAGAACACTGTCTTTATTGTTGAAGAAAAGTCTATTGGAAGGGACACATTGAGGAACTGTTATTGCCTTTTGGGGTTGTTCCTTGGTAAGATGACATGCCTGCTCTTTTGCCCGCAGGAGTTCCAGAAGGCGCAACTCATTGATGTCGGTCTGTTATCTGACTTTTACACATGCGACAATGTGGCCAACACAAAGCCTTGTGTTGTCTTTGTTGATTTATAATGTCGAACATTACATCCAGCTAATAAACTTTAAACAAATAGGTTGTTGTGCAATTCATTGTATTTCAGATATTGGTTTGTGGTCAACTCGGCGCATCCATTTTTTATTGATAAAATGAGTACAGACACTCCTTCACATATACGATAGATGCGTTCCTGGAAGAGCGCGCGTATCTCAAAATCTCGTATGTCAAAAGCTATTTTTCCATAAGAAATAATGGTAAAGCAGGGGATTAGGGGATTTCACACACTCGCAGACAATCGCCTATATTATCCGAGCCTATATCGATACGATACATGTACACACAATGTAATACTTTAAATTAAGGCAATAATTTAAACATATACTTCCTATAAATAAAAATAAAGAAATACAGTCAGAAATACGAAAGCGGTGAACACGACACAAACTTCACAGGGTACGATCACAATAAGAGACGAAGGGAAGAGCGCTGGTTTACACGCGGCGAGACGCTGTACAGTATAGCACACTCGTTATACTGGTAGGAACGAAGTGGACCAGACCACCAATAGATTAATGTGTCCGTCCGTCCGTCCGACTGTCCGTCCGTCCGTCCGACTGTCCGTCCGTCCGTCCCTCCGTGTATCAACATCGCCCCTACTGCAAACACTTGGCATGACCCTACAAAAACCTTTAGACTCAGTGACGCTATCCTGGTAGCAACATCGCCCCCTACTGCAAACACTTGGCATGACACGTGTAACATTCCCTTATTCCCTGAGATAGCTTTTGATTAAAACCTTGAAATTAAATAAAGTGCGCGCGTTTCGTTAACATTAACGTGAGTAGCCGCGTGTAAGAGTTACATTTTAACGAGACGCGCGCAACTATAATGTTACTGAGGCCTAGTCCGTTAGCGCCTCGTATACAGCCTTAGGCTTTTGCGTGGCAAGGTATATTAAGCGTTTATTTTAATATGTTTATAAAAAATTAATTGCACTTTTAACATTAACGCGAATAGCCGCGTGTAAGAGTTACATTTTAACGACAGGCGCGCGCTATAATCAGTAGTTTATAAACTGTATTAGTCACTTTAAAGTTACTGAGGCCTAGTCATTCAGCGCCTCGTATACAGCCTTAGGCCTTTGCGTGGCAAGGTATATAAAGCGTTTATTTTAATATGTTTATAAAAAGTTAATTGCACTTTTAACATTAACGTGAGTAGCCGCGTGTAAGAGTTACATTTTAATGAGACGCGCGCACTATAATGAGTGGTTTATTAACTTTATTTGTCACTTTTAAGTTACTGAGGCCTAGTCCGTTAGCGCCTCGTATACAGCCTTAGGCCTTTGCGTGGCAAGGTATATTAAGCGTTTATTTTAATTTGTTTATACAAAATAAATTGCACTTTTAACATTAACGCGAGTAGCCGCGTGTAAGAGTTACATTTTAACGACAGGCGCGCGCTATAATCAGTAGTTTATAAACTGTATTAGTCACTTTAAAGTTACTGAGGCCTAGTCCGTAAGCGCCTCGTATACAGCCTTAGGCTTTTGCGTGGCAAGGTATATTAAGCGTTTATTTTAATATGTTTATAAAAAATAAATTGCACTTTTAACATTAACGTGAGTAGCCGCGTGTAAGAGTTACATTTTAACGACAGGCGCGCGCTATAATCAGTAGTTTATAAACTGTATTAGTCACTTTAAAGTTACTGAGGCCTAGTCATTCAGCGCCTCGTATACAGCCTTAGGCCTTTGCGTGGCAAGGTATATTAAGCGTTTATTTTAATGTTTATAAAAAGTTAATTGCACTTTTAACATTAACGTGAGTAGCTGCGTGTAAGAGTTACATTTTAACGAGACGCGCGCACTATAATGAGTGGTTTATTAACTTTATTTGTCACTTTTAAGTTACTGAGGCCTAGTCCGTTAGCGCCTCGTATACAGCCTTAGGCCTTTGCGTGGCAAGGTATATTAAGCGTTTATTTTAATGTTTATAAAAAGTTAATTGCACTTTTAACATTAACGTGAGTAGCCGCGTGTAAGAGTTACATTTTAACGAGACGCGCGCACTATAATGAGTGGTTTATTAACTTTATTTGTCACTTTTAAGTTACTGAGGCCTAGTCCGTTAGCGCCTCGTATACAGCCTTAGGCCTTTGCGTGGCAAGGTATATTAAGCGTTTATTTTAATTTGTTTATAAAAAATAAATTGCACTTTTAACATTAACGCGAGTAGCCGCGTGTAAGAGTTACATTTTAACGACAGGCGCGCGCTATAATCAGTAGTTTATAAACTGTATTAGTCACTTTAAAGTTACTGAGGCCTAGTCCGTTAGCGCCTCGTATACAGCCTTAGGCCTTTGCGTGGCAAGGTATATTAAGCGTTTATACTGGTAGGAACGAAGTGGACCAGACCACCAATAGATTAATGTGTCCGTCCGTCCGTCCGTCCGTGGGAGGGGTGGTGTTGAGGGTGGTGTTGGAAATGAAAGACTACGAGTCTTTAAATCTCACAGCGTTTCTTGTCAAAACAAACACTTTTAATTAACGTTACACTAGAATACAGTAATTTTTTCTTTAACTCCTCTATACCCGGTCGATATCCCTGTACCGGTACTAAGTATTATTCCTACCAGCCCACCCCGCAGGGTCCTGTTCGTGCCGCACGGACTGCTGGCAACACCATTGGGTCGCGGCGCCAGGCTCGGGTGGTGTATGTCATGTTGCGGATGACGCATGTCAATAAAAGGTCTAAATACAAAGCGCGCGTTCTTCCAAAATGGTCTACCATAAAAGCGCATTAACCGAGGATTGCCTGTACAACTTCATGGGAAGTTGACTGGTTATCCTGTTGATGGACTGGACCCCACGACTGTAACGTTGAGTTTCCACCACAGACTCATGGCCACCAATGGACGTGAGCAATGCCCCAATGCTTGTCTGATTAAGCACACGCTTTCACTTTGCATGCATTCACAGAAACACGTAATACATTTAACAGCGACAGTCGCGAGCGAGTGACTGATATGCATTATGATTGTTACAAAAGGGCTCGAAAACTGAAATTTGGCACAAATTAAATCTTGCCTTTGCTTATAATTAGAACGATCTGTAAACCATTTTTTTTAATTGAGTCCCAAAGAAATTACAACCCTTTAGTTTAATGGCTTTATCGGGCCTGAATGTCTAAATTGCTTTCAGTCTTGCGTTATTCACCGATTTACATTCCCCATCATTCAGGGTGAAGCTAAATCCCATCGCAAGTGGTGAGGCCCTCGGGTTATTGATGCAGTATAAGCAACCAAAAACACACAAGTGATATGGCAGTGATGCGGTTTATACTCAATTACCACTTACAACCTCTGCCGAGTTGTATCCTATCTGTACTGCGGTTGTTTACACCGCAATCCATGGCAATAATAATCGGAAGGTTACGAGTGCAATCCCAGTTGGTCAATTTATCTTCAGCCTCACTGCCGTCGATAAAATGAATATCAGTAGTGGTCCTATGGATAGACCAGGCGTAGGAATGTTGAACTACACCGCTGACAGGACCACCAATGTAGGTGAGCACCACCCAACGTGCAGGAAGTCTGAGCATCCACCCTTTGTACAACGCCTTGAGATACAACTATGAGGGAGATTTTTAGATTTGGTGAACTGAATAATGCAGGGATGTATAGTCCATGGGTCAAAGTAGAAATGAACTCCACCTTCGACTACGAACACCTGCACTTACGAATTATATATTTTACATTGACTTCAAATGAAAACTGAACTTGCAAACTGAGCTATTTTGCTCAGCGGAGTGATCCTCCATGAGATATAATAATATTCTTGGTTCTTTCGGTAAAGCCACGTAGAAGGGAAATAATAAAATAATTAGAAATATATCATGATGATTGCTTGTGTTGCAGTCGAAACGTCGTGATATTTTTTTATTGTTTAATATTTTTATTACTTTATTACTTCCCTTCTACGTGACTTTACCGAAAGAACCAAGACTATGAATCCCTGCAGTCACGAAAGATTTGAATCAAAATTTGAGATATAATAAGTCAACCTCGCTGCTCAAGGAGTTGAGTGAGCGTGCGTACACGCGTGTCCCCCGTGTGCGTGTGAGGAGTGGTAGTGCAATGATGAGAGCGCTGCGCTACCAACCCGGCGACCCAAGTTCGATACCCGCTCACGGCCAAAACAAGTGAAAATTATCTGAACCGGTCATGGGCCTCCCCTACGTCGACTCAGCCTCAAATGAGTACCTGGTGTGATGTGTGAACATCACCACTGGGGAGACAAAAGCGGCCGGGCGTGGTGTTGGTCACCCTTCCCCTCGTGTGCCGTGTCGGCCTTCATAGGTGCTTGTTAACAGCACTTGCCCCAACAGTCTGTTAAGGCTATACGGGGGGGGGGGATCTTTGTCTTTGTGCGCACATGCCCTGTGTGTGTGTAATTGTGGGGACTCATTGCGCCCTCTTCGACAAGCAAGCCAGCATTAGGACTGAAGGTACGTGAAAATTAAAACTGAGCATTTTCTATGTATGTTTCTTTATTTTATGTTTTATTTACGATACAGTATTTTGTTTAGTGTTACATGCAAATGTACAATATTTCTTATTTAGGGGCCGTCCATAAATGACGTCACGCGATTTTGGACGATTTTGACCCCCCCCCCCTCGTCACACGGCGTCACAAAAAGTAATATATGACGTCACAAAGCTCTGCCCCCCCCCCCCCAAAATTAAACATGCTTCAAATCGCTTTAAACTATTGTCATTGTAGTGCGTATTTAATGTGGCGCTGCACTCTGATGTTGTAGGAGAAATCATTTATGAAAAAGTCTATTTAATTAAGTAGAACTTGTTGTCTATATTTATTTAAAGTTGCGCATTTTAATGTGACGTCACATTTCTCAAACACCCCCCCCCCCCCTCGTCACACATCGTCACAAATGTCTGACCCCCCCCCCCCCCCAGGTGCAACTAGCTTCATCAGGCAATACAAATTGGCACGTTCTGTTAACGTGACAAACCTTACTCATTGGCTGTGTCAGGCGGTGGCGGGTTTAACGACACCTTTATATATTTATTTACGCGATCTAACCCAAAAAAAAAATCTGTATTATGAAATCCAATTCACACCGCGACTCAAGTGCACCTAGCCTGGCACGAGGGGGCGTGGGCACGTCAGCTGCCCTTAAGGGTGCGAATGGTGGTGGTCTTCGGTGTGTGTGCCCTTGCGTGTGTTGCGGTGTGGGATTCTGTGTGTTTGTGGGTTTATGTGGGGAGCGGTGGCGCATCGGTTAGCGCACTGCGCTACGAACTTGGCCACCCGAGTTTGATTCCTGCTCACGGCCAACACCGGTGACGATTATCGGAACCGGTCATTGGCCTCCCCGAGGTGGACTCAATTGAGTACCTGGTGCGGTGTGTCAATATTGTTACTGGGAAGACAAAGGCGGCCGGGCGTGGTGTTGCCACACACGCCTTCGTGCGCCGTGCCAGCCTTTAAAGATGCTCGCTAAATGCACTTGCCCCAAAGGTGTGTTCAGGCTATGCGGGGGACCTTTATCTTTGTCTTGTGTATATGTGTTGGGAATTTTTGATGGTTTGCGCATTGCGCCATACGAACTCAGAGACTTGAGTTCGATTCCTGGCCACGGTGAAGAGGGTCGAGTGATAGATGATCACCCAGTGTGGTGTGTTGACATCAGCACTGACTGGGTATCGTGGTTCTGACCACACCATTCCCTCGTGTACCTAGATGGATTTAATATGTGCTCGCTAACAGCAGTTACCCCTCATTTCTAAAAGAGTGTATGGTATAAATGTTTTGTATGTGTTGCTGTATGGAAATATGTGTGTGCATAGCTGTATGTTGCCACTAGGAAGACAAAGGCGGTGCTGGCCACCCATTCCCTCGTGTGCCTTTCCGGCCTTCATAGGTGCTCGCTAACAGGGGGTATTTGTATGTGACTCATATGAGTCGTGTGTGTGTGCATCTATTAGTCATCTCGGGCAGTCAACCCATAGCACCAAAGTCTGTCCCGTAACCTACCAGCAGTGAGCGAGCCATCGAAACTTCAAGGAGCTTGAATGTTGAACTTCTCTCGGGCCGTACTAGCCAACCGTGCTAATATAAATGCACCTAGCCTGGTACAAGCGCCTTGGTGAAGTCACCACCACTCAGTGGCGAATGGTGGTCCTCATTGTTACTGTCTGCGTGTGTTATTGGAATCTGTTCAGTTTATGTCGGTCTATGTGGCTGCGTACGTGTGTGTGTGGCTGTGTGTGTGTGCGTGAGTGCGGAGTTAGAACATGTTAAAAACAAAATGAGGAAGAGGCAAAACCCACAAAACACGTGTTGCCACCAACCGTGGGCTCTATACATTTTAGGACAGCAAAATAAAATGTTTACTCAAACCTGGAATATTCGGTGATTTCCAGAAACCACTATAAATCCGGCCCTTATTCCTAAAACTCAAGGGTACCTGCTTGGTTGGAGACTGTGCTATTCTTAACAATCTAGAGCTCTTAAAACAAGATACTTCTTTGAGGTTCACATCTCAATTGCAAGGGGGTGGGATGCAAAAGTGGCCATTTGAAAATAAACACAATTACTGCACACCAAAGTAATTATTCAACTGCAACACGTTGAATTCAAGTTTTGAGTTGAATAAAAATGCCATGATTTGGTATACAATGTACAGGTTTACTAAGTCCTATGGATAGACCGGCTCCAAACATGGAATTTAGGATTTTTTTTACCGATGGCTCAACCTTTAATGGAGTTGAGAAAAACCAAAATACGTACTGATTTGAACAATAATACACAGACTTCTATATCAACTTTAAACCACCAACTACAGCAACCTGAATGACATAGAACCCTCATCTCATCCGATACAGAACCCCGTGTCTCAAACGAGAGAACCCTTGTCCCGTCTGATACAAAACATGTATCATCTGAACTGTAATAGCATGTGGACCGATTCCTCTCAATCCAAAATTTATAACTCTAAAAATCTTAAGACGACATATTTGTAATTGAACTGAAATTGAGAGACAATAATTAATAAGCTACTTTGTTTGACTGTCAACTTACTGATGATTCACTATTTGCTGCGACAAAGTTGTAGTTAATTATGTGGTGCCATTATGTCCAGCTTTTATGCCACTATGTTTAACTTCAGTAGAATGTTCATAACACCAAGTTTCCTTGCTAGATTGAATTTAAGTTGAGCATTTTTACAACACAATTTAGCGCCAGGATTACCAAAGGTTCTCAGCAAAAAATATGCGTTGCGCTGATAATAAACCACACATTTTCGCACCCAAAGTAAAACTATTTACTTCCCCTTATCTGTTTCCTGAAGCCTCCTTCTGATCACCGCTCTTTGGTCCCCATACCATCTAGAAATCACATTTCACTTGCATGTATCCCCTGCCTTCCGCACTAAAACCATCACTTCACCCTGCCCTGATCTAACTCCGCCCCTCATGCCCTAACGTCACCATCATTCCATGCGACCTTCTAAAACCCAGTTCCTCTACCAGTCACTTTCGGAAAGTCGGCGCAAGGTGGGTGCCAATAATACGCTACATCGTCATCAAGATCACCGCAATGAACACCATCACTACCATTCGCAGAGACATCAGTAGTAGCGCAAGTACATCTCCATCATTACCACCATAATTCCTCCAAGGTTGGTATAGCTGCACTGCTTGGTGGGAAGGTTACTATGGTTGTTACTGTGCAAAGCATGAGCCTCGTCATATGAATGCACGTTGTACAATACTGATTTATATGACGCTGCTTGCTGCTGCTGCTGTGAACAATCACTCTGATGCTGTTAATGTTGCTGCTGTTGATCAGTATTTCTCCTAATTCCTGCCCAAGGTCCACCCCAGACCCACAAGAGTCCGAAACAACCACGACGATGCCTTACTCAACCTTCACGAAACTCCACACCGCCCCATCCCTCCTCCTGCTCCACCTGCTTCTCCTGCCACGTGGGATGGCTCCCATCCCAACGCAGACCCGTGGAGGTGACCGCTCGTGGCCAAGGACCCTGCCCTGCGAAGTGGACGTCGTTAAAGAGACCGGGGCCATCACGGTCGACTGCTCCGGCCTGGGTCTGACCCATGTCCCGTTTGGGATCCCAAAACACGTCACGCAGTTGAACCTGAGCAACAACAACATCTGTGGTGTGCAGCGGAACGATTTCATCCATTTCCAGGTACCAATTTTGTCATCGCCATCAGGAGCAACAGAGCACACATTGTCATAGTTAGCAGAAGCATTACATAATTTTTTCATAAGCCTTCCTCATGTCTGAATTAGACATTGTCTTTCCAATGAGGGATCTGTACAGTATTGTCATGTACGGTAGTACACGTCTTGATTGGCATACAATAAAATAGAAAAAGTGGTGAATTTCAGTATTCAACAAATAACGCTCATATAAAAAAAAAATTGGTATCACTGATAGGATATGGAGTTTTCCGTTGATCCGGTATAATTTTGAGATGCCTTGTTTTTTATATTCTTAGGTTTTTTTCGGTAAAGTCACGTAGGTAAAACATAAAAATTAATAAAAGTAAAATTAAATAAAAATCACGACGTTTCGGAGGCAACACAAGCTTCCGTCTTCAGGTGGAACCGTCACAGCCCGACAGCTGTATCAAGTAAATTTACGAAACGTCGTGATTTTTATTTTATTTTTATTATTTTGTATGTTTTACCTACGTGACTTTACCGAACAAACCTAAGAATATGAATCCTTGCAGTCACGAAAGCTTCAAATCTAGAATTAATGCCTTGTTTTTCTTTTGAAAGTGAATACCATATGATAAATGAGAAAGAACGAAGAAACAGGTCCTCAGTTGCAGCCAGTCAAATTTACTATTCGGCTTCATGTCCAGAAAATTCACTCTGAGACTGTGATTCGATCGATTTAAAATTTATAGATCTACTTTCGTTCGAAATTATTTTTATATACAATTATATATTGTTTAACTATTTTTTTCATCATCCATTGGTCTTGCAACACCATGACTAAATAAACAATCTTAATCATCTTCTTGGTTTTTTCGGTAATAAAATAATAAAAATAAAACATAATAAAATTATTCTCACGACGTTTCGGCTACAACGCAAGCACCTGAAGACGGCTGCTTGCGTTGTAGCCGAAACGTGGTGAGAATTATTTTATTATGTTTTATTTTTATTATTTTATTACTTCCCTTCTACGTGACTTTACCGAAAAAACCAAGAAGATGAATCCCTGCAGTCACGAAAGATTTAAATTGAAATCTTAATCGTGAGAAGGAACATGATCTTCAGCAGCTATATCATCATTGTCATCACAATCATCAGCAGTACTGGAAGCACCAGTCTCACCATATTTACCAGCAGCAAGACAACAGAAGCAGTGGCACAACTACGAGTATGGGAATCATTGTCTGAATGAATAGCAGCAGCACTGTAAGTACCATCTTAATAATGATCCATAAGATGTTTTTGGGTTAGATCGCGCTAAAACCCGCCACCACCCGACACAGCCAACGAGTAAGGGTTGTCACGTAAACAGAACATGCCAATTCGTCACTAGCACAGCACTAACCGGTGTGTTGGAGAGCCAAGCCACAACATTTACAATCTGAGTACGACGTTTCGCCAGTAATTACAACTAGCTTCATCAGGCGACAGCCAGATTTGTGGAGAAGTCCACCTGCTTCGTTCCTTTTATAGAGGCGTAGATGTCTTGACCACGCAGCTGTGCCCTTGCACAATGTGGTATTACTGAGGCAAGATACATCATGCATGTGCATTATGCGAGCCCTTTGAACTTGTCCTTCCAGTCTATTGTGTTTATTTAAATAGCCCTACCAACGGTAATCCCTATTAAAGTACGCTGCCCTCTGTAGGCATGCATTTAAATAATGTATTATTTGATGATTCACTTCCACAAGTTCAAAGGGCTGGCATAATGCACATTCATAATGTACCTTGCCCAAGTAATACCCCCCCCACCCCCAGCATTGTGCAAGGGCACAGCTGCGTGGTCAAGACATCTACGCCTCGATATAAGAACGAAACAGGCGGACTTCTCCACAAATCTGGCTGTCGCCTGATGAAGCTAGTTGTAATTACTAGCAAAACGTCGTACTCAGATGGTAAATGTTGTGGCTTGGCTCTCCAACACACCGGTGTGCTGTACTAGTGACGAATTGGCACGTTTTGTCTACGTGACAACCCTTACTAGTTGGCTGTGTCGGGTGGTGGTGGGTTTTAACGACACATTTATATATTTACGCGATCTAACCCAAACACCTCTATTATGGATTATGGATGATATTGGTCGCGAAAGCCTACGTGTTAAAATGATTATCACAGCAAACATCAGCATTGGACCAATCCTCATTACTGTATCATAATAATTTCTCCAATCATCATCATCACCTACTGTAATCTTAAGTGACCCCCACCCCCTACCTCCCACACCCACCCAGGACACTCTCCGGGACCTTGACCTGAGTGGAAACTGCCCTTCGAGTGTGACCTCCCCAAACTGCCCGTGCGACAACGGTAACTTCACACTTGGTGCGGCTGCACTCTCCTCACTCAACCTCTCTTCACTCAACCTTGGTGGCAATAGCTTCTCCCGGGTTCCATCGGAACTTCCACGGAGCCTTCACACCCTGAACTTACAGTTCAACCGCATTTCCCAGGTCTTCGCCTCTGACTTTGAGTACCATTCAGCGCTTAGCATCCTTCACCTGGGGTACAACTGCTTTGTGCACAACCCATGTGGCCGGGCATTCGGTGTGGAGCCAGGTGCCTTCAGTGCTTTCAACCTGTCCGAGCTGCACCTGCCCAGCAACAATGTCAGCAACCCCCCGACTGGACTGCCTGCCGCTCTGACGCTACTGGACTTGAGCGGGAACCAGCTGCGCACCTTCGAGCAGAAGCATCTGAGCGACCTCTCCTCCCTGCGCTTGCTGGACCTCAGCATGAACTGCCCCCGCTGCTACAATGCCCCTTACCCGTGCCACCCGTGTCCAGATAATGGACCCCTCAACATCACCCACGATGCTTTCTTTAATGTAACTGAACTTCGCAGCCTGAACCTGCGCTCTGTGTCACTGAGGAGCATTCCTAGCCAGATGTTCAAGAATAACCCCCATCTCACTCACCTTGACCTCTCTCTCAACTATCTTGCAAAAGCACTGGCCGAGGGCTCCTTCCTGCTCCACCTGAAGCGACTGGAGGTGCTGGACCTGTCTTTTAACTATGAGCCAGGCCATTACTTCAAGGAGCTGAATCTGTCATCGCACTTTGCGGCACTCACCTCACTCAAGAAGCTGATGATCAAGGGCTACGTGTTTGAGCGCCTTGAGGACTCTCAGATCGATGTCCTCCACAACCTGTCACACCTCACTTCACTTGACTTGGGCATTAACTTCATAAATCACCTGGACCTTGCCATCTTCAAAACAATGAGTGGGCTCAGCAGCATCTTCCTCTCGCAGAACCAGATCTCGCCACCTGTGGAGAAGCGAGGGGAGGGCCTTAAATTCGGGTTAGACGAGTCCCAACAGGTCCCGGGAATTGAGAGAATCATTTTAGATGATAGAACCCATTCCATTACCTCAGCAAAGTACGAGGAGTGCAAGTCATATGGGAAGTTACTGGACCTCAGTGTCAATAACATCTTCTTCATCAACCCAATGCAGTTCAAAGGCGCTGAGGATGTGCACTGCCTAAATTTAAGCACCAACGCCATTGGGCAGACTCTTAATGGATCGGAATTTGTCAACCTCCCCAACCTGAAGTACCTCGACCTCTCCTTCAACCGCCTGGACCTCTTCCACTCGAGTGCTCTGACTGAACTAAAGAGCCTCGAGGTACTGGACCTGAGCTACAACAGACACTACTTCTCCATGGATGGCATCGTGCACAATATAAATTTCATCTCCAACATGACATCACTACGGAAGCTTAACCTTGGCTGGAATGGGATCAAGAGCCTGGGGCCCACGAGAATAATTCGCAGCCACACCCTCACCGATCTCTACTTCGACGGAAACAACCTGAATGTACTATGGGAAGATGGCAATGAGAACAACTACAACGTGTTCGAGAACCTGACACATATAAAAGTGCTCAACATATCCTATAACAACCTAAATTCCATCCCAAACGGCAGTGTCCTCCTCCACTTGAGGAACATTCAGGAGTTGATCGCAAGCCACAACCATCTGAACAATTTCCCGTGGGATGAACTACGGTACATGGCCAACCTCAGCGTGCTGTCGCTAGACCACAATCACCTTGATGCACTACCAATTTCTCTGCTAGACTTCAATATCTCCATTACCAAGCTGTCCATAAGCCACAACCATCTGACCACAATCAGCAGGTACTTCTTGCTGCATGCCCCAAGCCTTGCTATCCTGGATGTTTCATACAATAAAATTGCTGGAGCTCATCGTGATGATTTCCCCAGAGATGCCCTTGACCACTTGCAAACGCTGATGCTGGAAGGGAACCCGTTTCTCTGTACCTGTGAGAACATCTGGCTGGCACAGTGGATCAATAGCACTGATGTGAACATCCCACATGTCGCCACGGGGCTCCTGTGTGACCGGCCCGATGGGCACCGTCACAAGAGTGTCCTGGTCACCCTGGACTTCATGGAGTGCGAGTTCATTGGACTCATGCTGGGACTGTTCCTGCTCTACAATACGATCATATTATTGCTGATGGGCTCGTCCTTTGTGTGGGCACGCTACCGATGGGACGTTGCGTACACCGCGCGTTTTTACGCCGCACGATGCTGCCGTGGTCACCCTAATGGTGGCAGTGGCTCCAATGGCCAGGACTATCGCAAGCTTGAGTGCGGCTATGATGCCTTTGTGGCATACGACTCGAGCGACATGGACGTGTGCGAGTGGGTCCTACAAGAAATGCGTGTCCACATGGAGGAGGCTGGCCCATACGGGGCCCAATGCACTTTCCGTTTGTGTTTAGAGGACCGGGACTGGGTACCTGGGATGAGCGTGGCTGACAACTTGGTGGCAAGCGTGCACGCCAGCAGGAGAACTGTGTTTGTCCTTACACGATCTTTTGCGGCGTCGGGTCGGTTCCGTGAGGCCTTCCTCATGTCACATCAGAGGCTGCTGGATGAGAAGGTGGATATGGTGATCCTCGTGATGCTGGAGAGGATGCGCCCGTCCTTTACACGCTCACGGTATATGCGTCTCCGACAGCGACTGAGCCCCGGCTCCATTCTGCGCTGGCCGACCAACCCCCACGCTCAAAAGATATTCTGGCAGGGCCTGCGGGATGCCTTGGCCGGGCCCAGCAAATCAGCCGCACAGGCTGCCAAGCGACGACGACGACAACATGACAGTGATGCAGATGGGCGGGAACTGCCCGATGGTTGTAGTCTAGTCCTGTAAATTAGTGCTAGAGGTGAAGAAGAGTCACTATACCAGTCCGAGAGATATTTCATTATTGTAGATTAACCCTTTAAGACCTTGTCTAGGGGAGACATGTCCTCTAGGTCCTATAATGTACAGTATTATAGTAGGATTTGTCCTATAGATCATTCCAGATCATGTTTAAGCTGTAGGCCAATCCTTTTGGATCTATTGACCAGTCCTATAGATCAATCCCTTCGGTCTAGAGCAGAGGTTGGCAACCTTGCAAATAAGAAGAGATATTTTTTATTTGACCAAAATAGTTTGAAAGCCACATTAAACGCAGACCTACTTGTACAAATACACAAACATAGCAGGTATACAGCAGATTACAAACACATTGTGACGTAAATAGGTGATGAAATAAACGGTCTATTTCGTTTTTTTCCCTCCTTAGTTATTATTTAACAATATGGTTTGACTGTACATTTTGTTGTCACCAAGACATTCCCTAGTGACCCATCCCCTGTGGCTCTGTAGCCGCAGGTTGTCGTCACCTGGCCAAGAGGATTTTTTAAGCTAATTGTGTCCAAATAATTTGCGTTGAGGGCCAGATTGACTAACATGCAAAGAGCAATAGGATATATAAATAAAACATACTTATATAATCTTAATGTTGGAGCTTTCGTGACTGCAGGAATTATTCTTTGGTTCTTTTGGTAAAGTCACGTATAATAATAAATTAAATAATAGCATACGACGTTTCGATTGCGACACAAGCAATCATCATCAGGTATAATGAAATAGCGACACCAAATTTAACCAGAAAACCACAGACAGACATATAAGCAGACAGATATCACCAAGATACATAGAGAGAGCAACACAGGTACAGAGAGGGGTGATCCTCTCTGTGGGGTGGCCTTAAATAGACAGAGGGGGGCGGAGGCAGAGAGAGGGAGGGGTTAGAGAAACAATTTACATGTCAATGAGTACGAAGAGACGCGTAGTAAAGTACGCAGGCTTAGAAACGTCGTATGCTATTATTTAATTTATTATTTTATCTTTATACGTGACTTTACCGAAAGAACCAAAGAACATACTTATATAATTACTTGACACGGATACACCTTGCATATAACGATGTTTTTTTTTTCTTGATTAAGATCTTCCCAAGCCTCCGCCAACTCTCACAATTATGCACTCTAATAATCCATGTAGCACTTGCTACATGGATTATTATCTCCATCTCCTTGGTAGACAACGTCCGGCGAGACACATTGTTCCCTGGCTGCTACTCCATAATTATTCTTGACCATCGGTCATCATCCCTTCTAGCCATGGGGTGGTGGTGTTCAAGCCCATTTACTTTTCTTAATAGTTTAAGATCATGCCCGTTCACATGCGCATGTCATCTCCTCCACGTGTTCCTCTTTCGTATGTATGTTGAGCTTCTTTCGTAACCATACATAATTCCAAGTGTGCATCTCTTCTCGCTTCTTTGTGCACTTTTTTTTTACCCACATTATTTGTTAAGCCGAGCTATTCGAAACAAATGGCACGTGGCACCCCTGGTAAGACTCGCTGACTTTGCAGCCCGCCGAGGCTTATTATGCTACGATCTATCACGCAGCACTTTAGTACTGCGTGCGTATCCTATGAAGTGTAAATGAACGTATTGGCGGTACACCGGTGCGCAGTATAAAGAAAAGCAAATTTTTTGCAGCAACAATTATTAGATTTCTGCGATTCGCAACCCTGGTCAGAAAATCTTGCGGGGTGCGTCAAAATCAGTTCTCGCGATGTCGAAGCAATCAGAAGACGAATCTTTTGAGGAGCTGAACATGAAGCTTCAGTCTGTTGCCAGGGACCCCCCTACCTGATGACGATTGCCACTGTGTTCCAAACGGCAGATTTGACCCGTGCCCAAAACTTGGTCAGACGGTTCCCTGATTCAATAGGCCCAAATCAAGTCTCAGTAGACTGAGTAGACTTAATAAACCTTCGAATCGCGTCAAACATATGTCGATTAAAGAATAATAAACAAAGTTGGTGATTAAAATTTAGATTTTTAGACTTTCATGAGGACCGGTGTGTTACGCTGCACCGGTGTACCGCCAATACGTCAACATTTATGTTTTTGTAGAATGCACTTTTTTTTTCCAGCGTTCTTCTTGGGAATACATTTGGGAATGGTATAAGCAATTAAGAGTTGTATCATCGTCAACATTTCATAATATGCGTGTAATGATGTATCAATAAAATAAAATGATCAAAACTCGTGATATTAAGCAATGAGTTGTGAGAATCGATCATTTACAACGTATGCATTGTGCAAATCACATGTTGCATTTAGGATCACAGAGCAAACAAAGTCGCACAAAAATACTCAAGAAGCTATATAAACGAGACTGAAATATGACAATAACTTATTGTTGATTTCAATCGCGAACCAACAAATTGTGATATCATCGAATCGTACCGCGTGCGCGAGGAGGCTTGTAATTATACACTTCATTAAACAAGTACTGTATTTACGCCATTGGAACCTCATTTGCCAGTAAAAATATAATTGTTTTTTTACCCTTCTATCTGGCAACAAATGACACCTTTTTACAAGGAGTCATGTTTGCATAGACCACAATACCTGCAGTCATAATGCAAAAAAAACACAACTCTGATCATGTGCACTGTCCTTTATCGGGGGCATCTGGTCCAACCCATGTGAGACTAGGCTCTAAGGAAAGCTGTCTCGTGTGTGGACCAATCAACTTCAAGGACAGTGCACATGACCAGAGTTGTGTTTTTTTGTTTGCATTATGAAGGCAGGTATTGTGGTCTATGCAAACACGACTCCTTGTAAAAAGGTGTCAGTTTGTTGCCAGATAGAAGGGTAAAAAAACAATTATCAAGTACTGTATTATTATTGCATTGGACATGATGTTATCATGTATACCACACACAAGCCAAAAGGCACAGAATGCAAAAGTTATTTTGTGATTGCAAGGCCAACCACACATAGTGTCGGCAAGCATATCTCAACATTGTCCAGGCGGAAACATAACGACGATCACAGGAGATGTGGTTGCAGCTCACAGCTGTGATGTACAGTTTCATCTTTGTTCGGAATCCTCAGAAAATTGTCGCAAGACTGCTTTATGTCACGGAGCCAAAAAGGCACGCAATGATGCGTTGATTAAACGGTTTAAATGTATTTCTACACTTACAGTACATGTATTAAAGAGTGCATGTAATTATCGATTTATGAAAATTGTATGCTAATACTACAGCTACAACTGTAATAAAAATCAATAAATACAATTGTGTGACAATTCATTGAATCACTGAGGGTTGACTCATTATACGCTTAAGTCGGCTGTAGGCCTCGAGCTGGAATATCCACGTGATCGGAATACAGGGCCACTGGCAGTGCTGACACTGTGGACTCACTTAATTTGTTGCAAAACAATTTCATATTCGCCCCAAATTCTGTTGTTGCCTCAGTAAAAGTGTTCTCCCTCGTTTTGGGAAGTACAGAGTACGGGGAGTGAAAGCAGAATGAAACGAGGCAGCGCGTGGCACCGTGATGTGTGAAAGGTGACAAAGGCCAGGAGAAATCCTGGGGAAGAAAATTGCTTCCATAGCTTTTCTCTGATGAATGATGCACTTCTCTGTGAAATTCCTGAAAGGCTTGTCCATCTCAGGACATGATGTTAACAGTACAATGTAAATAATTGGTGGGAGGGAAAAACATAAAAGTACCAATAGTGGAAATTCAAAGTCCAAAAAACCTTCTAGACCAGCGGTCGGGAACCTATGGCTCGCGAGCCATATATGGTTCGCGAGCCATATATGGCTCTTCCGGTGACGGCATATGGCTCCCAGACAATTTTGAGTTGAAAAAAATTAAAATAAAATAAAAAAAAAACAGTTTGGAACTGATTTTAAAATACTTGCGATATTGCTTAATAATACTGTGTCATTTTAAAGTAAATAGAAATTAGTTTTGAAGATAAATTTCACGGGTCACGGGTCCCGTGACCAGAAGTCGCATTAAAAGTAAGACATATTTAATTAATTATACGTTAAAAATACTATATGGCTCTCAATGAAAGATATTTAGAAATATTTGGCTTTCATGGCTCTCCCAGTCAAAAAGGTTCCCGACCCCTGTTCTAGACTGTTCCGACATGAAAAACAACTTGCCGGAGCATACGAAGACTCAGTGACGCTTTCCTCAACACGAATAGCAAATAACTGTACTCAAGGTAGATGACATGGTGTATCTTGGAATGTCACGTTTCATTTGATTTCCTCTCAAGTTTTTATAAACAATAATTTCCACAAGAGAAAGACAAAAAATTAAGCATACGAGTTAACACTTTTCAATGGATTGTTTTTTAAACACAAATCTATAACATAACCGAGGTGCAAGCTATAGTGAACTCTCAATTATTTGCGGGCACATCCATCTCGCGAATGAACCGTGTTTGAGACAATACATTTAAATGTTTCTACACACATGCTGGTTTATTTATTAGCTGCTCCTCACTTACCGGGGGTAAGTGCCCTAGTGTCGATGTGACCACAGACATGTTGTAAAGTAAAGCAATAGCTTTAAAAACTCACTTAAAACAGACATCACCTTCATTTTCATCACCATAGGTAAATCATAAACGTCATTTATCCGAGTTTTTGTTTTATCCAAGCCACCCCTCCTCCCAATACTCTGGATAAACAAGTGTTGCCTGCATGAGAAGTATAAGGCAATGATTTAAAACGTTCAGAAGCAATCAACCACGTTGATTGTTTAAAACCTTATCCCTATCGAGTATGTTCTCTCATCTCTCCATTCATCTTCCATCCAATGTCTTCTCATCTCATCAACTTTTGCCTCGTCTCTCATTTCATCTCAGCCTCTCCTCCCCCATGCCTGTCACAGAGGTCGCACACGGGTTTTGATTCCTTACCCGTACCCGTACCCGGCCGCACCAGGGTCGCAAATGGGTACCCGTACCTGTACCCGGCCGGGTACGGGTACCCGTTCCCTACCCGTACCCGTACCCTACCCGAAATGAGTGACAAACGGTTACTCACCAGTGACTCACGGACTACCCGTACCCGTACCCGGCCGCACCAGGGTCGCAAACGGCTACCCGTACCCGTACCCAGCCGGGTACGGGTAGCCGGGTATCGAGTAGGGTACGGGTATCCGGTTGCGACCTCTGGCCTGTCATCAAGAGCATTGGGCGTGAACGAGCTTGGCAAGAAGTCAGCCGGCAATCTGGCTCACATTTTGTCGCTCGAACAAGCCGATGTGGCTGCCGAGCCGCCCTTCAGGGAAGTGTGTATGGAAGTGAGAGGCTGTTCTGACGAAACCTCGCTCGGCCAAGAACTTTTCCACAACCTGAATGAGGAACAAAGGGAGGGAGGGAGGGAGGGAGGGAGGACAGGGACAGTGTTTCAGTTACAACACAGAACTATGATCGTGGTAATACATGACACCATGTTGTGAAATATATTGTCTGGTTACGGGGAATGTCCAGAATACTGAAAATATACATAATTAAGACATTTTTATTGCATTAACACTTAATTAAGTCCTAAGACATTTAATAAACGTTTTAAAAAGGTTTTTCTTTATTACGTTTTGTCTTCCGGCATACTCCAAATTATGGCTTCAGGAAGTTGTATTGTAGGTATATTCATATATACACCTAAACATACATTCAAACACACACACAAATATACGCACATACACTCCACATACCTGAATACACACAAAAAGTTGCCATTTACCAATAATTATAGATGGTGACATCACCACAGCGCTTGTTCAGGTGAGGTGTTCTTTAAGGCCACATGAATTGTTGAAGGCTCGCTGGCAGGTCATAGGACAAACCCAAGTTTTTATGGTTAACTTGAGAATACTGACAGATGCACCACCTCGGCTCCTCAACGCTAATTTGCCGTATTTTGGTCGCCTGGTCCTTAACTCATTGTCTGAGCGCCACTCCTTTGCTCTTTGTTGTTATTGGAGGGCAACATACCAATCTGGTCCATCTTTCACAGGAGCCGATTTGAACACTGATGGTACCAGTCATTGGCAAGTCCTATCAGCTCCAAATCCACCTGACCACAGCCCATCTCTCCTCTCGCCCATGTCCGTTTAGTTTCCTCTATCAGGACAAACAGAAGCTGCTTGGCCATGCGGTGACTGAGCATCGGGGCTACATGCCCAGCCAATGCAGCTTCACCTGCCAGAGGTCACTGAGAGTACTGTCAAAATCTTTCAAGATCTGTGAGCTCCTCACACAATCCAGTTTGGTTAAACCCAGGATGGATCGAAGGCAGGCTAGCCTGAATGCATCAAGGGGGAAATTCCTCTGGTACAGTCACACAAAGATACAAAGATCCCCCATATAGCCTTAACAGACTGTAGGGGCAAGTGCTGTTAGCGAGCACCTATGAAGGCCGGAACGGTACATGAGGGGGTGGGTGGCCAGCACCACGCCCGACCGCCTTTGTCTCCCTAGTGGCAATGTTTACACACCGCACCAGGTACTCATTTGAGGCTGAGTCGACCTAGGGAAGGCCCGGGACCGGTTCAGATAATCGTCACTGGTGTTGGCCGTGAGCTGGAATCGAACCCGTGTCGTCGGGTTCATAGCGCAGCGTGCTAACCGCGACACTATTGCTCCCCATACACACAGATACACACACATGTAATTCATAATTATCTGCTTTGGGTTCATGTAGGTATGTAATTGGTTTTTACCATAACCCTCAACCACCTGACAAAGCCAATCAAATCAAATCAGTTTTCAACAGAGGCTCTGCTCTCTCATCACAAGGAAGCACACACACGTGGCCCCAGCCCCCCCACCCCCCGTGTTTCACCAAGGAAGTCACTCACAGGCTCGAGGACGTTGAACAGCACCACGTGGGAAGGTTCACCTCTCACAGAGAACTCAGCTCGCAGCCACTGGACAGGCTCACGATAAAACTCCTCCACCTCTTCCCGGTAGTCAGGGTTCCCGTCAAGGTCTGGCGGACACTCCAGGATGCGCAGGTCCAACCGGCAGTGCACGTGGCTGTGAGGGCACGTGGGGTGAGGGAGAAATAGAGGATGGAGAGTGAAGAAAGGGATTCTTGGGAATTCTGTCTTGTATGCATTTCTTTGTAATGTTCCAGGTTGTGTTCCATATTATCTGTGTGTGTGTTCTGGATTCTCGATGTGTTCGAGGTTTAGGTTTCATGTTTGTTGTGTCTGTGTGTCTTGGGTTATCTGTCTCAACAGTCCATACTTTCTGAGCTTATATATTTGTGTTCTGGGTTGTATGACTTTGTGTTTTGAGTTTTGTTTCTGTATGTTTTAAGTTGTCTATGTGTTCCAGGTTTCTGTCTTTGTGGGTCATGTGTTTATGCATTCCTGGTTGTGTGTGTATGTGTTCACAGTTGTCTGGCTTTCTATTCTATAGTGCCTATGTGTTATGAGTTTTCTGTGCAAGTCGTCTGTTCTAGGTAAACATGCCGGTCTCTGGCCGTGCTGTCTGGCTGCACCTGTACAGCGGCGTGCTGTGGCACGGCGTGAGGAACCACACAGAGCGCTGAGCCTCAGAAGGCCCACACAGGGCTCGCACGTCACCCATCACGTCAAGTGTGCCACGCTGGTGCACCAGGCCCAGGTAGAGGCCGCCCATCAGGCTCGACAGCAGCAACACCAGCGCCAGGCCACGTCGGGCAGCGAGGAGCAGCCCCCACGCGGCTCCCGGACACCACAGGCGTCGCAGACTGTGGCCTGGGGTGATACAGGGAAGGGGGCGTGGGACAGCAGAGAAGCGGTACGAGGGGCGGCATGGCAGCGAGCGGCATGGGGTGCGAGTTCTAAGCAAAATTATCCGCAAACATTGTTAAAAAATTCAATAACGGCATGCTGATGATTACCCATATTCTACCAAGCATGCTCATTGTTCACATTTATTGTGTGCTTGACATTCCTCTCACCACACATGATGAGGCAGAAAGGTAGCACGGGGTAGATGAAGCGAAACTCCTTGTGACTCAGGAGGCTGCGAGGCCCAGATATGCACACAACAAATATATTTACACACATTCATACTTGCAGTCTTCCAAGCTCCAACCAAGGCCTTGGCAACCAAGACAAATCATGCATCATCATCATCATCATCACGATCCATGGGCAGGTAGCCCCTAGGTGTCCAAAGCACATTGTTTCCACTGTCTTGTGCCAATATGCTCAAGTAGTGTGCATCTTTCTGGCACCAACCTCTTCTCTCGTCAAGTCATTCTCTGTTAGGTCTTCCTCTCTCTCCGGTTCCTTCCATTTTTCCGAACAACACTTTTTTTAGATTTAAAGCTTTCGTGACTGCAGGGATTCATCTTTTGGTTCTTTAGGTAAAGTCACGTAGAAGGGAAATAATAAAATAATCAAAATAAAACATAATAATTCTCACGACGTTTCGGCTACAACACAAGCAGCCGTCCTACGTGACTTTACCGAAAGAACCAAGAAGATGAACACATTTTTAATTTTCCTGTTGTTGTCCATCCTACATACGTGTCCAAATAGTGCCAGTTTCCCTCTCATCAGTGCATGCATCAGGTCTTCTTCTACGTGCAACCCTCTTTAACGTCTTCATTGGTCACTCTTTTGGTCCAGCTTAGATGGAGTATCCTTTCTGTAACAATACATTTTGAGTGCCAATATCTTATCTCTGTGAGTATTTTTATGCTTTCCAACAGGCATTTGTTATCGGAAGTGTTTATTTTATGAATGCACATCACCTGCTTTGACAAATGTATCAGAAACATGGACATTGACGAAGACAATGGAAAGTGTGCGCAAATAAGCATGGAGAGGAGCACGTGTGAAATCATGTTAAAATACATGAAGACGAGCACATGGAATAGATAAGATACTCCGGTTAAACACATCATGCTATCTTTTCTGAACAGTAAGGAAACTTGTGTAGGATGTGTCGCAAGAAGCGATTTTAGAATGATAGTCAAGAATAATGATGGCTATATACTCCGTCTCCGAAACGTCGTGAATTTTTTTATTTGTTTTATTTTACTTTTATTAATTTAAATTTTTTTATCTACGCGACTTTACCCAAAAAACCTAAGAGTATGAATCCTTGCAGTCACGAAAGCTTCAAATCTAGAAATAATGATGGCGTGTTGCAATGATGTCATGTAAGGCAACCTGAACACAATTGCCATCCTCCGTCAGCAGTTTGCTGGGAGCTCACCTCTACCCGGTGCGTTACCCGATATCAGGCTCTCGATTCCTCTCTGCACTTCCTTTGTTAACTGGTACATCATCTGCGTGAGCCACAAGTCCGAGACCGCACGCACACTCGCCTGTACGTCAGCAGGGTGACCAGCACAGCTCCACGCATGGCGAGCGGCGCGTGTCGCCACCCGGCAATCGCCAGCGGCAGCAGCGGCCCCAGCACAGCCGGGAGGCCCTGGCTCAGGTACCAGTGCCACGGGTGGCTCCCGTAGAATGAGCCGATGTCCCGGGCCGCATTCGCCAAGAAAAAGCGCAGCTGCACGCACACCCACTGCGAGCAGAGTGTTTGCATTATGACTGCAGATATTGTGGTCTATGTAAACATAACTCCTCGTAAAAAAAACTGACACCTTTTTTACAAAGAGTCATGTTTACACAGACCACAATACCTGCAGTCATAATGCAAACAAAAAACATAACTCTCATAATGTATGCACTGTCCTTGAAGTTGATTGGTCCACACCCGAGACAGCTTTCGTTAGAGCCTAGTCTCACATGGGTTGCACCAGATGACGCCAAAAGGCGCACAACTCAAAGACAATGCACCATCAGAGTATGAGAGCTCGGGGTAAGCATTTACACCATTGGTACCTCACCCCACCCCAGTTACACGACACCCATTACACAACTCCAGGCACACAACCCCTCATTAAACGATAATCACTTCAATTAATGTATCTTCTTCAATATTCTTCCCTCACCCAACACATGATGGTAATGCATTGTAGTTCACATACATCCGAAGTGTAAAGCAGATTAAACAACGTATTTCAATTGTGACTGTGATAAAACGGTCCACTTGCCACAGATCAAAGCACGGTGTAATTTCATGGGTGGGTGCCAGAGATTTCTAGGATATTTGCGGTAATGGCTCATTGCGTCCAATATGGCCATTATGGCCAGGAGTATGTAAGCATGTAACAATCTTCAATGCAACGCATTGCATGCGTTGAAGATTACAAATATTTTCGTCTCATTTGTACTGTTATTAGTAATATCTGTCTCATTCTGCCTTGCTTGTTCCATTAGCCTAATTATAAATTGTTAAATACCTATCAGCCTCGAGGTAGAGACGCACTCACAGCCCAAGGGCTCAACTAACCTCCAAATCTCAGAGGTTTGCTCAATGTCTCAATAAAGGCCATTATGATCCCCCTGAGTCATCCAGCCACCCAAGCAAGGTGGGTGTAAGTGGGGGTTACCCGTTGGTTATGGTTGTGAGTGTCATTAAGCAGTGAACACACTCACCTCCCCGTAGCACATCCGGTCAATGAGCAGTGATGCAGTGAGGCCTGCAAGGCTGCGGGTAACACACATACAAATGCAGAGAGTGCACAAACAAGAATGAACAACCAATACCTGTCATTTGCCACGAAGTGATGATGATGTCACCACAGCACCTGTGCCAGGCCAGGTGCACTTTTGGTCAAACTCCATCTGGCAGAGCAAGACTGAACCCCCCCTCTCAGGGGTTCCTCCAGGATGAATAACTGACACACTAGAACACACGTGGACTTCTTTGGCACATACACACATGCTATATATACACACGTAAGAACGTGCAGGCACACATGCCTCCCAGCACTACCTCTAGACCACCCAGCGCTACCTCTAGACCACCCAGCACTACCTCTAGACCACCCAGCGCTACCTCTAGACCACCCAGCGCTACCTCCAGACCACCCAGCGCTACCTCTAGACCACCCAGCGCTACCTCCAGACCACCCAGCGCTACCTCCAGACCACCCAGCGCTATCTCCAGACCACTCAGCACTACCTCCAGACCACCCAGCACTACCTCCAGACCACCCAGCGCTAACTCCAGACCACCCAGCACTACCTCTAGACCACCCAACACTACCTCCAGACCACCCAGCGCTACCTCCAGACCACCCAGCACTACCTCTAGACCACCCAGCACTACCTCCATACCACCCAGCACTACCTCTAGACCACCCAGCACTACTTCCAGACCACCCAGCACTACCTCTAGACCACCCAGCACTACCTCCAGACCACCCAGCACTACCTCTAGACCACCCAGCACTACCTCTAGACAACCCAGCACTAACTCTAGACCACCCAGCACTACCTCCAGACCACCCAGCACTACCTCTAGACCACCCAGCACTACCTCCAGACCACCCAGCACTACCTCTAGACCACCCAGCACTACCTCCAGACCACCCAGCACTACCTCCAGACCACCCAGCACTACCTCTAGACCACCCAGCACTAACTCTAGACCACCCAGCACTACCTCCAGACCACCCAGCACTACCTCTAGACCACCCAGCACTACCTCCAGACCACCCAGCACTACCTCTAGACCACCCAGCACTACCTCTAGACCACCCAGCACTAACTCTAGACCACCCAGCACTACCTCTAGACCACCCAGCACTACCTCTAGACCACCCAGCACTACCTCCAGACCACCCAGCACTACCTCAAGACCACCCAGCACTACCTCCAGACCACCCAGCGCAACCTCCAGACCACCCAGCACTACCTCCAGACCACCCAGCACTACCTCTAGACCACCCAGCGCTACCTCCAGACCACCCAGCACTACCTCTAGACCACCCAGCACTACCTCTAAACCACCCAGCACTACCTCTAGACCACCCAGCACTACCTCCAGACCACCCAGCACTACCTCTAGACCACCCAGCACTACCTCTAGACCACCCAGCACTACCTCTACACCACCCAGCACTACCTCTAGACCACTCAGCACTACCTCCAGACCACCCAGCACTACCTCTAGACCACCCAGCGCTACCTCCAGACCACCCAGCACTACCTCCAGACCACCCAGCACTACCTCTAGACCACCCAGCACTACCTCCAGACCACTCAGCACTACCTCTAGACCACCCAGCGCTACCTCCAGACCACCCAGCACTACCTCTAGACCACCCAGCACTACCTCCAGACCACCCAGCGCTACCTCCAGACCACCCAGCACTACCTCCAGATCACCCAGCACTACCTCCAGACCACCCAGCACTACCTCCAGACCACCCAGCACTACCTCTAGACCACCCAGCACTACCTCCAGACCACCCAGCACTACCTCCAGACCACCCAGCACTACCTCTAGACCACCCAGCACTACCTCTAGACCACCCAGCACTACCTCTAGACCACCCAGCACTACCTCCAGACCACCCAGCGCTACCTCCAGACCACCCAGCACTACCTCCAGACCACCCAGCACTACCTCCAGACCACCCAGCACTACCTCCAGACCACCCAGCACTACCTCTAGACCACCCAGCACTACCTCTAGACCACCCAGCACTACCTCTAGACCACCCAGCACTACCTCTAGACCACCCAGCACTACCTCCAGACCACCCAGCACTACCTCCAGACCACCCAGCACTACCTCTAGACCACCCAGCACTACCTCCAGACCACCCAGCACTACCTCTAGACCACCCAGCACTACCTCCAGACCACCCAGCACTACCTCCAGACCACCCAGCACTACCTCTAGACCACCCAGCACTAACTCTAGACCACCCAGCACTACCTCCAGACCACCCAGCACTACCTCTAGACCACCCAGCACTACCTCCAGACCACCCAGCACTACCTCTAGACCACCCAGCACTACCTCTAGACCACCCAGCACTAACTCTAGACCACCCAGCACTACCTCTAGACCACCCAGCACTACCTCTAGACCACCCAGCACTACTTCCAGACCACCCAGCACTACCTCTAGACCACCCAGCACTACCTCCAGACCACCCAGCGCTACCTCCAGACCACCCAGCACTACCTCCAGACCACCCAGCACTACCTCTAGACCACCCAGCGCTACCTCCAGACCACCCAGCACTACCTCTAGACCACTCAGCACTACCTCTAGACCACCCAGCACTACCTCTAGACCACCCAGCACTACCTCCAGACCACCCAGCACTACCTCTAGACCACCCAGCACTACCTCTAGACCACCCAGCACTACCTCTACACCACCCAGCACTACCTCTAGACCACTCAGCACTACCTCCAGACCAGCCAGCACTACCTCTAGACCACCCAGCGCTACCTCCAGACCACCCAGCACTACCTCCAGACCACCCAGCACTACCTCTAGACCACCCAGCACTACCTCCAGACCACCCAGCGCTACCTCCAGACCACCCAGCACTACCTCCAGATCACCCAGCACTACCTCCAGACCACCCAGCACTACCTCCAGACCACCCAGCACTACCTCTAGACCACCCAGCACTACCTCCAGACCACCCAGCACTACCTCCAGACCACCCAGCACTACCTCTAGACCACCCAGCACTACCTCTAGACCACCCAGCACTACCTCTAGACCACCCAGCACTACCTCCAGACCACCCAGCGCTACCTCCAGACCACCCAGCACTACCTCCAGACCACCCAGCACTACCTCCAGACCACCCAGCACTACCTCCAGACCACCCAGCACTACCTCTAGACCACCCAGCACTACCTCTAGACCACCCAGCACTACCTCTAGACCACCCAGCACTACCTCTAGACCACCCAGCACTACCTCCAGACCACCCAGCACTACCTCCAGACCACCCAGCACTACCTCTAGACCACCCAGCACTACCTCTAGACCACCCAGCACTACCTCTAGACCACCCAGCACTACCTCTAGACCACCCAGCACTACCTCCAGACCACCCAGCGCTACCTCCAGACCACCCAGCACTACCTCCAGATCACCCAGCACTACCTCTAGACCACCCAGCACTACCTCTAGACCACCCAGCACTACCTCTAGACCACCCAGCACTACCTCCAGACCACCCAGCACTACCTCCAGACCACCCAGCACTACCTCTAGACCACCCAGCACTACCTCTAGACCACCCAGCACTACCTCCAGATCACCCAGCACTACCTCTAGACCACCCAGCACTACCTCCAGACTACCCAGCACTACCTCCAGATCACACAGCGCTACCTCTAGACCACCCAGCACTACCTCTAGACCACCCAGCACAACCTCTAGACCACCCAGCACTACCTCTAGACCACCCAGCGCTACCTCTAGACCACCCAGCACTACCTCTAGACCACCCAGCACTACCTCTAGACCACCCAGCACTACCTCTAGACCACCCAGCACTACCTCTAGACCACCCAGCACTACCTCTAGACCACCCAGCGCTACCTCTAGACCACCCAGCACTACCTCTAGACCACCCAGCACTACCTCCAGACCACCTAGCACTACCTCTAGACCACCCAGCACTACCTCTAGACCACCCAGCACTACCTCCAGACCACCCAGCACTACCTCTAGACCACCCAGCACTACCTCCAGACCACCCAGCACTACCTCCAGATCACCCAGCACTACCTCCAGACCACCCAGCACTACCTCTAGACCACCCAGCACTACCTCTAGACCACCCAGTGCTACCTCTAGACCACCCAGCACTACCTCTAGACCACCCAGCGCTACCTCTAGACCACCCAGCACTACCTCTAGACCACCCAGCACTACCTCTAGACCACGCAGCACTACCTCTAGACCACCCAGCACTACCTCTAGACCACCCAGCACTACCTCTAGACCACCCAGCGCTACCTCTAGACCACCCAGCACTACCTCTAGACCACCCAGCACTACCTCTAGACCACCCAGCGCTACCTCCAGACCACCCAGCACTACCTCCAGATCACCCAGCACTACCTCTAGACCACCCAGCACTACCTCCAGACCACCCAGCGCTACCTCCAGACCACCCAGCACTACCTCTAGACCACCCAGCACTACCTCCAGACCACCCAGCACTACCTCCAGATCACCCAGCACTACCTCCAGATCACCCAGCACTAACTCTAGACCACCCAGCGCTACCTCTAGACCACCCAGCGCTACCTCTAGACCACCCAGCACTACCTCTAGACCACCCAGCGCTACCTCCAGACCACCCAGCGCTACCTCTAGACCACCCAGCACTACCTCTAGACCACCCAGCGCTACCTCTAGACCACCCAGCGCTACCTCTAGACCACCCAGCACTACCTCCAGACCACCCAGCACTACCTCCAGATCACCCAGCACTACCTCCAGATCACCCAGCACTAACTCTAGACCACCCAGCGCTACCTCCAGACCACCCAGCGCTACCTCTAGACCACCCAGAACTACCTCCAGACCACCCAGCACTACCTCTAGACCACCCAGCACTACCTCCAGACCACCCAGCACTACCTCCAGATCACCCAGCACTACCTCCAGATCACCCAGCACTAACTCTAGACCACCCAGCGCTACCTCCAGACCACCCAGCGCTACCTCTAGACCACCCAGCACTACCTCTAGACCACCCAGCGCTACCTCTAGACCACCCAGCACTACCTCTAGACCACCCAGCGCTACCTCCAGACCACCCAGCACTACCTCTAGACCACTTAGCACTACCTCTAGACCACCCAGCACTACCTCTAGACCACCCAGCGCTACCTCCAGACCACCCAGCACTACCTCTAGACCACCCAGCACTACCTCTAGACCACCCAGCACTACCTCCAGACCACCCAGCACTACCTCCAGACCACCCAGCGCTACCTCCAGACCACCCAGCACTACCTCCAGACCACCCAGCACTACCTCCAGACCACCCAGCGCTACCTCCACACCACCCAGCACTACCTCTAGACCACCCAGCGCTACCTCCAGATCACTCAGCGCTACCTCCAGACCACCCAGCGCTACCTCCAGACCACTCAGCACTACCTCCAGACCACCCAGCACTACCTCCAGACCACCCAGCACTACCTCCACACCACCCAGCACTACCTCCAGACCACCCAGCGCTACCTCTAGACCACCCAGCACTACCTCCAGACCACCCAGCACTACCTCCACACCACCCAGCACTACCTCCAGACCACCCAGCGCTACCTCTAGACCACCCAGCACTACCTCTAGACCACCCAGCACTACCTCTAGACCACCCAGCACTACCTCTAGACCACCCAGCACTACCTCTAGACCACCCAGCACTACCTCCAGACCACCCAGCGCTACCTCCAGACCACCCAGCACTACCTCCAGATCACCCAGCACTACCTCTAGACCACCCAGCACTACCTCTAGACCACCCAGCACTACCTCTAGACCACCCAGCACTACCTCCAGACCACCCAGCACTACCTCCAGACCACCCAGCACTACCTCTAGACCACCCAGCACTACCTCTAGACCACCCAGTGCTACCTCTAGACCACCCAGCACTACCTCTAGACCACCCAGCGCTACCTCTAGACCACCCAGCACTACCTCTAGACCACCCAGCACTACCTCTAGACCACGCAGCACTACCTCTAGACCACCCAGCACTACCTCTAGACCACCCAGCACTACCTCTAGACCACCCAGCGCTACCTCTAGACCACCCAGCACTACCTCTAGACCACCCAGCACTACCTCTAGACCACCCAGCGCTACCTCCAGACCACCCAGCACTACCTCCAGATCACCCAGCACTACCTCTAGACCACCCAGCACTACCTCCAGACCACCCAGCGCTACCTCCAGACCACCCAGCACTACCTCTAGACCACCCAGCACTACCTCCAGACCACCCAGCACTACCTCCAGATCACCCAGCACTACCTCCAGATCACCCAGCACTAACTCTAGACCACCCAGCGCTACCTCTAGACCACCCAGCGCTACCTCTAGACCACCCAGCACTACCTCTAGACCACCCAGCGCTACCTCCAGACCACCCAGCGCTACCTCTAGACCACCCAGCACTACCTCTAGACCACCCAGCGCTACCTCTAGACCACCCAGCGCTACCTCTAGACCACCCAGCACTACCTCCAGACCACCCAGCACTACCTCCAGATCACCCAGCACTACCTCCAGATCACCCAGCACTAACTCTAGACCACCCAGCGCTACCTCCAGACCACCCAGCGCTACCTCTAGACCACCCAGAACTACCTCCAGACCACCCAGCACTACCTCTAGACCACCCAGCACTACCTCCAGACCACCCAGCACTACCTCCAGATCACCCAGCACTACCTCCAGATCACCCAGCACTAACTCTAGACCACCCAGCGCTACCTCCAGACCACCCAGCGCTACCTCTAGACCACCCAGCACTACCTCTAGACCACCCAGCGCTACCTCTAGACCACCCAGCACTACCTCTAGACCACCCAGCGCTACCTCCAGACCACCCAGCACTACCTCTAGACCACTTAGCACTACCTCTAGACCACCCAGCACTACCTCTAGACCACCCAGCGCTACCTCCAGACCACCCAGCACTACCTCTAGACCACCCAGCACTACCTCTAGACCACCCAGCACTACCTCCAGACCACCCAGCACTACCTCCAGACCACCCAGCGCTACCTCCAGACCACCCAGCACTACCTCCAGATCACCCAGCACTACCTCCAGACCACCCAGCGCTACCTCCACACCACCCAGCACTACCTCTAGACCACCCAGCGCTACCTCCAGATCACTCAGCGCTACCTCCAGACCACCCAGCGCTACCTCCAGACCACTCAGCACTACCTCCAGACCACCCAGCACTACCTCCAGACCACCCAGCACTACCTCCACACCACCCAGCACTACCTCCAGACCACCCAGCGCTACCTCTAGACCACCCAGCACTACCTCCAGATCACTCAGCGCTACCTCCAGACCACCCAGCACTACCTCCAGACCACCCAGCACTACCTCTAGACCACCCACGCTACCTCTAGACCACCCAGCACTACCTCCAGACCACCCAGCACTACCTCCAGACCACCCAGCACTACCTCCAGACCACCCAGCACTACCTCCAGACCACCCAGCACTACCTCTAGACCACTCAGCGCTACCTCTAGACCACTCAGCGCTACCTCCAGACCACCCAGCGCTACCTCCAGACCACCCAGCACTACCTCCAGACCACCCAGCACTACCTCCAGACCACTCAGCACTACCTCTAGACCACTCAGCGCTACCTCCAGACCACCCAGCGCTACCTCCAGACCACCCAGCACTACCTCCAGACCACCCAGCACTACCTCCAGATCACCCAGCACTACCTCCAGACCACCCAGCACTACCTCTAGACCACCCAGCACTACCTCCAGATCACCCAGCACTACCTCTAGACCACCCAGCACTACCTCCAGACCACCCAGCACTACCTCTAGACCACCCAGCACTACCTCTAGACCACCCAGCACTACCTCCAGACCACCCAGCACTACCTCCAGACCACCCAGCACTACCTCTAGACCACCCAGCACTACCTCCAGACCACCCAGCGCTACCTCCAGACCACCCAGCGCTACCTCTAGACCACCCAGCACTACCTCCAGACCACTCAGCACTACCTCTAGACCACCCAGCGCTACCTCCAGACCACCCAGCACTACCTCTAGACCACCCAGCACTACCTCCAGATCACCCAGCACTACCTCCAGACCACCCAGCACTACCTCTAGACCACCCAGCACTACCTCCAGACCACCCAGCGCTACCTCCAGACCACCCAGCACTACCTCTAGACCACTCAGCGCTACCTCCAGACCACCCAGCACTACCTCTAGACCACCCAGCGCTACCTCTAGACCACCCAGCACTACCTCTAGACCACCCAGCACTACCTCCAGACCACCCAGCACTACCTCCAGATCACCCAGCACTACCTCCAGATCACCCAGCACTACCTCTAGACCACCCAGCGCTACCTCCAGACCACCCAGCGCTACCTCCAGATCACCCAGCACTACCTCTAGACCACCCAGCACTACCTCTAGACCACCCATCACTACCTCCAGATCACCCAGCACTACCTCTAGACCACCCAGCACTACCTCCAGATCACCCAGCACTACCTCTAGACCACCCAGCACTACCTCTAGACCACCCAGCACTACCTCTAGACCACCCAGCGCTACCTCTAGACCACCCAGCACTACCTCTAGACCACCCAGCGCTACCTCCAGACCACCCAGCACTACCTCTAGACCACCCAGCGCTACCTCTAGACCACCCAGCGCTACCTCCAGATCACCCAGCACTACCTCTAGACCACCCAGCACTACCTCTAGACCACCCAGCGCTACCTCCAGATCACCCAGCACTACCTCCAGATCACCCAGCACTACCTCTAGACCACCCAGCGCTACCTCTAGACCACCCAGCACTACCTCTAGACCACCCAGCGCTACCTCCAGATCACCCAGCACTACCTCCAGATCACCCAGCACTATCTCTAGACCACCCAGCGCTACCTCCAGACCACCCAGCACTATCTCTAGACCACCCAGCACTACCTCTAGACCACCCAGCGCTACCTCCAGACCACCCAGCGCTACCTCTAGACCACCCAGCACTATCTCTAGACCACCCAGCACTAACTCTAGACGACCCAGCGCTACCTCTAGACCACCCAGCGCTACCTCTAGACCACCCAGCACTAACTCTAGACGACCCAGCGCTACCTCTAGACCACCCAGCACTACCTCTAGACCATCCAGTGTGGTTGGGCCCTCACCCGATTGCAAGTAAGTGTCCAAGTGGGGCCCATGGCGGGGGTCTCTGGCGCCAGAGTGCAACCGCCACGGGCAGCAACCACGGCACGGCCGCCGTTGGCCTGACGAGCACGGCCAGCACAAGCACGCACACGGACCTCACCATGCTGCACACACACACACAGGCATACACAAATACAAACAGTATGAGTCAAGGGGGGCCTGACCCTGCAACGCTTGTGCCCTTTTTTTTTTTTACCTACCTCTGATTAGTGGGCCCCTGTACAGGAACATGTGTGTCGGCTTAAAAAAACATTAAATTGGCCTGTCTACAATCCATCCTGGGTTTAACCAGGATGAATTGTGTTTGAAGCTCACAAATCTTTGAAAGATATGGACACAGTCAAATCAGTGGACTCTTCCGACGGGTGAAGCTTCATTGGCTTGGTCATGAAGACCGCATACCCAGTCACCGAATGACCAAGCATATTCTGTTCAGCCATATATTGGTTATATATTAATTTCAACTAAATCGGCATAGCATGGGGTAGAAAAATTATGGACTGATGTGGTAAGGGATGATTTGAAGCAGAATGCACTTGTTTATAATTGGTACCAGGAGCGTCAAGTTCGGCCACCGTGAAGAATGCTACTGGGAAGTTAGAGGTATTCACTCTTCAACAATGGAGAGCAGATGAGCAACACTCACAACAACAAGTGGAGTTCCGGGTGGCTAAACACTCCAAGTTGGCACAGGAGAAACACGGGTGTTGCATTTACCTGTCATCTCAGTCAGTAAAACTATAACATCTGAGACTATCGCGTGACCTGTCAGCGAGCCTTCGACACTTCACGTGGCCTCAAGGTGCACCTAGCTTGGCATAAGTGTTGTGACGATGTCACTTAGTGGAAACTGGCAATCGTTGTTGTTTGTGTGTGAGCTGTGATCAATGGCGTCTATTGGCTGTGTGTGGAGCCCCGGGATGAAGGTACCTGCTGCGAGGACTGCGTGATGCCCAGGGCAGGTGAGCCATGGCGATGCACGTGAGTGATGCCTCCACGCTGTTGGTGAGCGTGCGCGTGCACGAGTACCACGTGAACCAGGAGCACAGCTGGCACAGCAACTGCACACACGCACACAGCAACACACATGCATCAGAATACACACGTGTGAACAAAGACAAACAAAAAGTCCCCATATAGCCTGAACAGGCTGTTAGGGCAAGTGTTGTTAGCGAGCACCTATAAAGGCCGGCACGGCACATGAGGGGGTGAGGGTGGCCAGCAGCATGCCAAGCCGCCTCTGTCTCCCTTTTGGCGATGTTTACACATCGTACTAGCTACTAATATGAGGCTGAGTAGACCTAGAGGAGGCCCAGGACCAGTTCAGATAAACCTCACTGGTGTTGGCCGTAGCACAGCACGCTAACAAGCTTGAGAACGCACAGACATTAGAATGCACATATATGAATCCGCACCTTTAAACGCTCTACAAGTAGGGGTCTTTTCACAGCGGTAAAACTAAAAAAAACGTAAGTCTCAGGGATGGAATAAGCAACATTTTATTTTTATAAAACAAACTTAACGTTTTTTTTGCGGTCATTTGGGTTCAAGTTTAAACCTTAAAAGTGGTATACTTGAGAACCCAGCTAATCACAGGTGGTTAAATCCAGGATTCAAACCCAGGATCTCAGCAGTGCTGGATCAGTGCTCTGACCTCTGCACCACCCAGCCAACTCGGGAATAATTTTTATTTAATTAATCATTACAACTGCCAGCAGATCAACCCACAAATGTAAGCGTGTAAACATAGACGAGAACTCAAACACAAATAAAACGTGTGACAGAAATCAAGTGCATTGTGGGCAGGTGCGAGAAGGTAGGGGTGAATGGTCAGCTGAGATACGAGTGTGGGTAGGTGAGGGTAGGTGAGGGTAGGTGATGGTAGGTGAGCGTTGAGAGGGCCCCTCACCACCCAACGTGCCACCCGTGCTCCTGACAGGTCGCTTGCCGTATGGTAGAGCTTCAAGTCGGCAAACGCTGCCAACAGAGCATGGGACAGCCTGGGCAGCCATATCTGTATGCACGGACATGTGTACACGCACACACAAACTAATTGTGAAACCCAAGCAACGGAGGCCGATTCTCACAGGTTTTAAGAGTTGAGTTGTTTCTTTGTAAAAAAATAAGAAAGAGAGCCCCAGCAAAGCATGTGGGCGAGCTCAGCATTCATGTGATTGACCAAATACCATACAACACATGAGTGTTGCATTCAGCTTTACAATTGGGAGCAGCACAATTCACCAAAATTTTATATAATCTTGCTCTTGGTTGTCTACATTAGCTATAATTCTTAGTTTCTCCTTCCCTTGGCCATCTTTGTATCTATGTTGTGGTGTACAGTGCTTTGAGCACCTTGTACAAAGGCGCTTTATAAATGTAATTGACTAATATTATTATCGCAGCCGGATTTTTCCATTTAGCCAGACCAAAGCAGGATAAATAAAACATAACTTAGCACCATCTCCTCTACCAGCGAGAGCATCCTGTGCCACAGTGGTGACTATGTACGTGGCCTATATTCCAGCACTGTGGAGGCGAGAGTTGATGGATCATACAAATGCTCTGAAATTCCCTTCCCATGGGCATCGATGTGCCATACCTTGGCTCGCCACGAGAAGGCAGTACAGAAAGTGGACTAATGTCCATTTGTTTCCATCTGTACAGGGATAGAGTGTTGCCCCTTCGCACGTGTGGATTTTCTCCGGGTGCTCCGTCCGATTTCCTCACACTTGTGTAAACCTCATTAATTGGTTGAAAACATCTTACAATAAAAACCCAATGCAGGACCCCCATGAAAAAGAATCCGACGACTCGATGTGCCTTTCTTGGGTATGTAAATAGAGCTGCAGTGCATGCAGAGTAGGTGGCCCAGAATTTGTAGCTGCGTGAATTGTGGCTCCCTCTACTGTAGCCTATAAACTATGAACACATTTTATTTTACCAGGTAAGGCCCACTGAGCTATATAGCTATTTTTCATTTGCGACCTGACCAAAAATGATAGCTCAACGAAGTGACTTAACATGTGAAAATATATAGCAGCAAAACACTCTAAATGCAAGTTTCTAAATGTGATTGGAAAAACTGGAGGACCCCGAGAAAATCCACGCGACCACGGGGAGAACATGCAGTCAACATCTCACCACAATGGTGCCCATCTCTTCTTCTACGCTCCTTATTTTTCGTGTTTGCTGCTTTTTTACATCTCGGAGGGCATCAAACACCCCAATGGTGAGTACATACCCACCCTGTAGGGTTCAATCCACAACATACTAAATATAGCATAGCAGTTGTTTTTTTTACATCATGCAGTTTATTTCATCGTGTTTATGGCATCAAAATGTATTTATAATATATAAAAATTCATTGTGTATGTGTTTTTAATGCTAGCTGCGATGGCTTTTATGATGGTTAGTGATATATTGCATTGATTTTTATTAGATTTTCAACTAACGGATCTCTCAGCTTTCCCGACCAGGGTTCCTACTCGTCCGGCTCGCTGAGGTTTCACTGTATTCAATGGTCGGGGATAACATCAATCACTTCCTAGTCTTGAATTTCCTACACAACATATGCAAAGCTTTACACCATTTCCTGCTTAATTCATTGGCCTGAGAAGTGTTCCAGTTAGTTTGGTGTAATTTTTTAATTTTTCTTAACATTTCAATAATCTTTTCGCCTTACTTCGAAATCAGGCTTACCTACGTCCGCCTTGGAGACATGTTACTGTACGATGAACAACAATAGTTTCAGGGCATCCAAACATGTGTCCCTTGTTCAGCGACTTCTCTCTATCATGGGGTAATGCACTGCTAGCTGTAGAGTTCAAGTGGAAATATCTTCATCTCCTGACAACACGATACAAAACTGCAATTGGAATAAAATTTTTAAAATTGTTATTTTGTTCCTAGTCAAAGGAAAGACAATACGTGAAAGAACCGTGGTGGGGATGGTGGGAGCGGAAGGAATGAAAAGGCTGTACCAGTAGTGTGGTCGACTCGAGACCCAAGGCTGTCAGCAGCTTGTATTGGAGTGCAATGGCAAATGGATATGCGTAGCCACGGATGCCCTCCCGCCATTCCCAAGTCAAGTGTCCATACCTGTGTGGAAGTAGGCAACGTGCAATGCAGCACCAGAAACACAATCCGTTTGGACATTCTTCAATATCAGTTGCTTCATACATAACTGATAGGTGTGTAACAATTCATCAACCGATAAAATTAACAAATGCCGCGAGATAACATGGGCCTGGAAAGCCAATAGGGTGATGGACTAAACGTACATTTTGATCTGTATGTGGAGACACAGAATGGGGTTCTGTTTATATCGGCTTTCAACTGTAAATATTATTCCCCATTATATGCAATGAATCGTGCATATTAAAATGTTTTTATTGTGAGACTCTGCATGAACCACAAAGTTAAAAGTGAATCGAGTTCTACTCAAGTCGTGACCCAGAGTCGAGACAATCAGGCATTTAACAATTCACCTCCCAGTGATTCAATGAAATGTTACAGGTATCCTGACCCGAATGTCAGCGCGTGTGCCACCTCCAACGACTGCCAATACTCGTCTGGCACAAAGCTGGACTGCACGAGCAGGCAGTTCAGCACCCGGAATGTGGACAGCGCCGCATACAGCCTCCAGCACGAGCCTGAGGGCACAGACATCGACACACAGCCGCCCGGCATCAACACAGCACCCAACATAGACAATGCAAAGCACAGCATTAACACCCAACATAAATACACAATGCAAAGCACAGCATTAACACCCAACATAGATACACAATGCAAAGCACAGCATTAACACAAAGCCCCCAGCATCGACACTCAACAGCCAACATTAACGCACAGCACCCAGCATCTGGAAAAAGCACCACTGCATTCCCAGCACAGCATAGCAGCGATGACTCGTGGTTCGAAGTAGAGGAGGCGATAAAGTCTGCATTGGGTTTTTGTTTCACTTCAGGCAATGCGTACAAGTAGATTTGTTGATAATTGGAACTTGAACGTGGCGTTTGATGATGATGCCGATGCACCGAGGCTGGGCTCTCTCTCATCCGACCAGTTCCCCAGAGAAACCAAAGGATTATGATAGGCATGTAATAATCATACCTCTGCCTTATAATCGTGATGTGTTTGTGAATATTAGTGGTCGTGATACACAAATCAATAATCCAATTATCTTTGTTTTATTTCATTGCTTCTACATATTCATTTTTCCAATTTGTATAAATGACGACAAGTTCATGTGATCTACTTAAGTGATAAAGAATACAATTCTTACAGTGACATCGGCATGTGACGATGTGTAAATCAGCTAATTAATTTCTCATTCCCTGATTTACACATCGTCACATGCCCATTGACCTGCCGGTGCCTATCTGGCAGTGAAATCACTTGTGAAACCCCTGCTATTGCATTCAAGTTCCTCAATGGATCCAACTGCACTCCAGGTACCAAGACTGTAAAGCCCAGGGCAGAGTTTGTAGTCTCGTCAAGCCAGTGCCACGCATTGTTTCTCCAGGGAACACAACGCATGACCCCCTCTTCTTGGTTCTTTCGGTAAAGTCACGTAGAATGGAAATAATAAAATAATAAAAATAAAACATCTTAAAATAATTCTCACGACGTTTCGGCCACAATGCAAGCAGCCGTCCTCAGGTGGAGAACAGGTCTGTCGAGAAGACAGAGTCTGAATGACACACCCCAGGCTTGGAGCGACTATTTAAGCTGGGATGGAGGGGGAAGAGCGCCAGCTTAAATAGTCGCTCCAAGCCTGGGGTGTGTCATTCAGACTCTGTCTTCTCGACAGACCTGTTCTCCACCTGAGGACGGCTGCTTGCGCTGTGGCCGAAACGTCGTGAGAATTATTTTATTATGTTTAATTTTTTTATTATTTTATCATTTCCATTCTACGTGACTTTACCGAAAGAACCAAGAAGATGAATCCCTGCAGTCACGAAAGCTTTAAATCGAAACACAACGCATGACCTGAGTTTTACCCCAGATGCCAGTGGGCGAGAGCTGATCGTCCTTCTCCGCGTCGTGCTCCTCGTCTCGTCTTGTCCTTCCAGCCGGGCGGTGGATGGAGACTCGTGCCCGGAGTCCACTTGGGAAGCTGTCCTCACCCTTGCCAGGCTCCATGTGCCCTGTCGCACATCTGGGGGGATGCATGCGGCGTGGGAAGAGGAGAAAAGATGAGCAGGAACTACAGGGCTCTAACCCCACATCGCAGCAAAGCCTCTTGGAGATACATGTCATCAGCTCTACATGGACCATGGAACGACTCTCAAGGGAGGCCGAGGGGAATAAAAGCAGTGGAGAGCGAGAGCTCCGGGCTGCCGGTTCTGGAACTGGACTCGTTTCGTCGTCGCTGTCGCCTTCGCCCGATCATTGCGCGGCCGGACAGGAGTTGGTTGTCCTGGTCGACGCCGTCCGTGCAACGAGGACAGGGTCGTGTCTGGTACGGGTCGTGCGGCAGCTCCAGTGGTGGCGTGAACCCGACAACAACAATAAAAGGGGATGACGGTGCCTCCTGCGACTACCTCGTCTCTGACTGAGTGTGTGTGCGACGCACGCCACCCGCACACACAGACCACACTGCACGATTTCCTGCAGTCACGAAATCTTTAAGTCAAGATTTATTAGTGTAGTGCAGGGGTGGAGAACGTCCGGCCCGCGGGCCGTACAAGGCCCGCAAAATCATTTGGTGTGGCCCTGCCAAGCCAACCGCAGGCGGGACTAGAATTCAATAAATCTAGGAGCAAACCTGGAAAAGCAGTTGCGAGTAGCAACATCATCAATACCAGCTAACATCACACGCCTCGCCAAAGAGAAGCAGTTACAGCCATCACATTAGGGGTGAGTTTATTAAATGTTTGACCAAATATAACAGGCTAATTTTAAGTTGATAATTTTGTATGGCCCGCGAATAATGTTATAAATATCCAAATGGCCCTTGGCAGAAAGAAGGTTCCCCACCCCTGGTCTAGTGTACGAGTGTAGTGTGTGAACACAGTATAAGTGCAGTAGTGTAGTCTGTATGTACTGTATAAATATAGTGTGTGACTAGTTTGTATGCGCGCATGAGTATAGTGTGAACAAGTTGTGTATCAATGTAAAGTAGTTTTAGATGAGTTTGGTGTGTGAGTGTATTGGTATGTGCGTAGCGTAGTTGCTATGAGTGTAGTACGTGAGTGTATTGGTATGTGTGTAGTGTAAGTGTAGCTAGAATGGGTGTAGAGTGCATTAGGGGCCGTCCATAAATGACGTCACGCACCGGGGGGGGGGGGGGGGTCAGACATTTGTGACAAGGGGGGGGGGGGGGAGAAATGTGACGTCACATCAAAATGCGCAACTTGAAATATAAACGTAATTAAATAGAAGTGTTATAACACTAATTTAGATACATTTTCATTATTAACTATTTGATTCTTTAAATTTACTAAGGTCACCTTTTATTTATTCTATGAAGGAGCATTTTGCTTCTCCATGATAGAATGGAGAAGCATAAATTTATTACAAATTTTAAATGATTGTTATTAAACATTTTGATTTTAATAATTCTACCAGGGCTTTTCATTGTGGAATGAATGATTGTTATAATTTTATTCTCCATTTTGCTTCGTTCTACTATAAAGTTTCAAGTATTTTTTTTTATTTTGAATTACTTTTAATATTTTATAATTCTAAGAGAATTTCAATATAATATTCTGAACATCTGCAGTTTTGGTTAGACGTTGAATATTTTCAAGTGAATTTGATGCAAAATGTCAGCTTTCCAACGCCACCTTTTAATACGTTTTTTCCTACAACATCAGAGTGCAGCGCCACATTAAATACGCACTACAATGACAATAGTTTAAAGCGATTTGAAGCATGTTTATTTTTTCAAATGGAAAAATGGTTTTGGGGTGGGGGCAGAGCTTTGTGACGTCAAATTTGAGGGGGGGGGGCTGACTTTTTGTGACGCCGTGTGACGAGGGGGGGGGTACAAAATCGGCCAAAATCGCGTGACGTCATTTATGGACGGCCCCTTAATGTACACTAGTTTGTATGGGTGCAGTGTGTTAGTATATCGGTACGTGAGTGTATTAGTACATGAGTGTATTGTGAGCGTGGTGTATATGGGTGTAGTGTGTTAGTGTGTTGGTACATGAGTGTATTGTGAGTGTGGTGTGTATGAGTGTAGTGTGTTGGTACATGAGTGTATTGTGAGTGTGGTGTGTATGGGTGTAGTGTGTTAGTGTGTTGGTACATGAGTGTGTTGTGAGCGTGGTGTGTATGGGTGTAGTGTGTTATTGTGTTGGTACATGAGTGTGTTGTGAGCGTGGTGTGTATGGGTGTAGTGTGTTAGTGTGTTGGTACATGAGTGTATTGTGAGCGTGGTGTGTATGGGTGTAATGTGTTAGTGTGTTGGTACATGAGTGTATTGTGAGCGTGGTGTGTATGGGTGTAGTGTGTTAGTGTGTTGGTACATGAGTGTACTGTGAGCGTGGTGTGTATGGGTGTAGTGTGTTAGTGTGTTGGTACATGAGTGTATTGTGAGCGTGGTGTGTATGGGTGTAGTGTGTTGGTACGTGAGTGTACTGTGAGAGTGGTGAGTGTACCGTGAGTGCACTGTGAGCGTGCTGAGTGTACTGTGAGCGTGGTGTGTATGGGTGTAGTGTGTTAGTGTAATGGTACTGTGAGTGTGGTGAGTGTACTGTGAGCGTGGTGTGTTTGAGTGTACAGTAGTTTGTATGGGTGTAGTGTGTTGGTACGTGAGTGTAGTGAGTGTACTGTGAGTGTAGTGAGTGTACTGTGAGCATGGTGAGTGTTCTGTGAGTGTACTGTGAGCGTGGTGAGTGTACTGTGAGCGTGGTGAGTGTTCTGTGAGTGTACTGTGAGCGTGGTGAGTGTACTGTGAGCGTGGTGAGTGTACTGTGAGCGTGGTGAGTGTTCTGTGAGTGTACTGTGAGCGTGGTGAGTGTTCTGTGAGTGTACTGTGAGCGTGGTTAGTGTACTGTGAGTGTACTGTGAGTGTACTGTGAGCGTGGTGAGTGTACTGTGAGCGTGGTGAGTGTTCTGTGAGTGTACTGTGAGCGTGGTGAGTGTTCTGTGAGTGTACTGTGAGCGTGGTGAGTGTTCTGTGAGTGTACTGTGAGCGTGGTTAGTGTACTGTGAGTGTACTGTGAGCGTGGTTAGTGTACTGTGAGTGTACTGTGAGTGTACTGTGAGTGTACTGTGAGCGTGGTGAGTGTACTGTGAGCGTGGTGAGTGTACTGTGAGTGTACTGTGAGCGTGGTGAGTGTACTGTGAGTGTACTGTGAGCGTACTGTGAGCGTACTGTGAGCGTGGTGAGTGTACTGTGAGTGTACTGTGAGCGTGGTGAGTGTACTGTGAGTGTACTGTGAGCGTGGTGAGTGTACTGTGAGTGTACTGTGAGTGTACTGTGAGTGTACTGTGAGCGTGGTGAGTGTACTGTGAGCGTGGTGAGTGTACTGTGAGTGTACTGTGAGCGTACTGTGAGCGTACTGTGAGTGTACTGTGAGCGTGGTGAGTGTACTGTGAGCGTGGTGAGTGTTCTGTGAGTGTACTGTGAGCGTGGTGAGTGTACTGTGAGCGTGGTGAGTGTACTGTGAGCGTGGTGAGTGTTCTGTGAGTGTACTGTGAGCGTGGTGAGTGTTCTGTGAGTGTACTGTGAGCGTGGTTAGTGTACTGTGAGTGTACTGTGAGTGTACTGTGAGCGTGGTGAGTGTACTGTGAGCGTGGTGAGTGTACTGTGAGTGTACTGTGAGTGTACTGTGAGTGTACTGTGAGCGTGGTGAGTGTTCTGTGAGTGTACTGTGAGCGTGGTGAGTGTTCTGTGAGTGTACTGTGAGCGTGGTTAGTGTACTGTGAGTGTACTGTGAGTGTACTGTGAGCGTGGTGAGTGTACTGTGAGTGTACTGTGAGCGTGGTGTGTTTGCACGCGGTACGGGACACCACTCACTCGCTTCCGTGTTGAGGGCTCTCGTGTCGGCCACGCCCACAAAGGGGGGTGGTGGGCGGGGCCAGAGGGGTGGTGGGCGTGGCCAGGGGGGTGGGTGGGCGGAGCCAGGGGGTGGTGGGCGGGGCCAGAGGGGTGGTGGGCGTGGCCAGGGGTGGTGGTGGGCGGAGCCAGGGGGTGGTGAGCGGGGCCAGGGGGTGGTGGGCGTGGCCAGGGGGGTGGTGGGCGGGGCCAGGGGGTGGTGGGCGGGGCCAGGGGGCGGCGGGCGGGGCCAGGGGGTGGTGGGCGGGGCCAGGGGGGTGGTGGGCGGGGCCAGGGGGTGGTGGGCGGAGCCAGGGGGTGGTGGGCGTGGCCAGAGTGGACGAATCCAACGCGCGCGGGTGGGAAGTGGGGGTGGTGAGGACGAATCCAACTCGCTGGGGCTAGTGGAAAGGGGTTCGGTTGAGGAAGTAGAAAAACCACACAAGCGAAATTTCTCCTGAAGCCATCTCGTCGTGGCCACAGTGGAGGGCAATGTCGTTGATATCCACTCGTGCCCCGGGGGCATCGCTTCCAACTGCGGCCGAGTGAACGCCCGACCTCCTGTGGAAATATTTCACCTGGGAATGTCTTTGAGACGCACACCTGTCAACCCCTTATCAGTGCCCTCCTACCTTATTACAGACCAATTCGGACCTTATTGGTCACCCCGTGCCCTTATAAATCTCAACGTTCATCTTACAAAGTCCCATCGCAAGGGAGAAACTAAAATGTTACTAAACAAAATTTGTTTAATGTATTAATTTTGATAATTTGTTTAAAGCTTTCTTGACTGCAGGAATTTATATTCTTTGGATATTTCGCTAAAGTCACGTAGATAGGTTCAAATAAAATAACAACAAACTACGACGTTGCGATCACAACACAAGTGTAGTTTTTTGTAAAAAAAAATTGTTATTTTCTTTAAACCTTTCTTCGTGACTTTACCGAAAGACCCAAAGAATATTGATAATTGGTGTAAATGACGCCGTATGGACCTGAAAACTCAATTTCCCTGTACAAGAATACGGGGTAAACCGCATGGGTTGACAGGTATGGAGACGTGGCATCAGTATGAAACATTTGAATAAGGTTTACCCTTTCTGGGCATAAAAACAGATATTAAGACGTTCAAACACCCAAATAGATACCTTTTGCAAGAAATCAAGTTTTCATTAACCACGCACGGTACACGTGGTGAACATGCAAACAAACATGCTCTGATAATGTATGGCATTGTTTTTACCATTGATTGGCCTACACCAGAAACAGCCTTCTTTAGGGCCTAGTCTTTCCAGTGTCTGACTAGAGAACGCCAAAAGTCGAACAGTACAAAGACAATGCACTATGGAGCCGTCCATAAATGACGTCACGCACCTAGGGGGGGGGGGGTGGGGTCAGACATTTGTGACGATGTATGACGAGGGGGGGGGGGGTCAAAAATAGTCCAGAATCGCGTGACGTCATTTATGGACGGCCCCTATCAGAGCATTTATAGCTCGGGTGACCAAAAGGTATCGTATTTGAACATCTTAACATTTGTTTTATTGCCAGAAAGGGTAAAACCTATTCTTATTTTCCATACTTTGATACTGGCAAAAAGGTCCCTAGATATAGATGCAGCATCTCGTTTGCAATGATGTCCAATTTACACATAGTGGACATAACAAACACTTTATCTGCACGGACAATTTACATCTGTAACTCATTCAACAGTATGTATTAAAGTTCGATTTAAAGCTTTCGTGACTGCAGGGATTCATATTATTGGTTCTTTCGGTAAAGTCACGTAGAAGGGAAATCATAAAATAATAACAAAACAATAAAATTATCATGACGTTTCGATTGCAACACAAGCAATCATCATCAGGTGTGAAAACCACAGCAAGAACATTTGAAAAAAGTGCTGTGGTTTTCACATCTGATGATGATTGCTTGTATTGCAATCGAAACGTCGTGAGAATTTTATTGTTTTATTTTTATTATTGTATTATTTTCCTTCTACGTGACTTTACCGAAAGAACCAAGAATAGTATGTATTAAATGTTGTGTCAAACTAGAGCCCATATATTTAAGAGAGGGTCCTTGCTGATAACATCTGGCAGTTCACCAGCATTGGTTCAAATAATCCTGGCCGCTGATGAAGACACTGAGTGTCGAAATCAGTCCAGAGTTTGCTTGTGCTGAAGCAATGCTGATCAAATTATGCGCTTCCAAGGTTCCGTAAAATTACGTTAATTTTTTAAACGAAACTTTGTATTTTATTCTAGCAGGTAAGGCCCACTGGCCACAAAGTGGCTTATCTTGTGTAAATGTATATCAGCCAAATACTTAAAACGAGTGTTTCTAAATTTGGAGGGGAAAATCGGTGGACCCTGAGAAAAATCCACGGGACCACGGGGAGAGAGACACTTTAAACTCCAAATACACAGCAGGCGTCAGGGTCGGGATCGCACCCGGGATCGAACCCAGGACCTCCTGTATACCAAGCGAGGTAGTTAATATCTCCTAGCCACCATGTGTGCGAGAGACAGATACTTCCTTGTCTGTTGTGTTAAATATGCAATTAAATTATACAAAATCGTCAATTCGCATCTATTTGAATGCGTCGTAGCTGTTACTGGTTGAGAATGTTGTTCCAGTGTGTGTATTACAGCACTATATATTGTTAAAGATTTAAACAAGAATCGCCATCACCACCTGCTGGAGACAGAAGGTGGTGGTGTGCAATCGATTACATTAAATGCCAGCTTTGGCTGAATCGATTAACGACCGTTGCAGACGCCGCAAAAATCGATTCTCGTGTTGTCAACCGAATCGACCTTATATTCTTAGTTCTTTCGGTAAAGTCACGTAGAAGGGAAATAATAAAATAATAAAAATATTTAAAATTCTTACTTTATTACTTCCCTTCTACGTGACTTTACCGAAAGAACCAAGAATATGAATCCCTGCAGTCACGAAAGCTTTAAATCAAAATCGAATCGATCTTGTTGGAATCATCGATTGGCGGTGCCGAGCGTCCCGCTGTCTCCATGGCGACGGGTCGGGTTGTACCACTACGCCCCGGGGGGAGGGGTGGGGGGGGATGGGCGTTGCTATGGTGATGCTGGTGGTGGGGGGCGTTGCTATGGTGACGCGGAGGATGCGACAAGGGGGGTGGGGCGTTGCTATGGTGACGCGGAGGATGCGACGCGTCATCGTTCGTTCAGTCGCCGCTTCCTCCCCCTCCCTCCCGTCGACTCAACATTCGCGTAAGTCCGCAGGAGTTTTTTGTTTAAAAAAAAAACACTCGCAAGTCCTTCCTTTCGTGTCCTGTGCCCGTTCAAAATGTACACTCATTCATACATTGCTAAGCACGTGACTTGGCACCGATTCCAGTGAAGGTATCGAAGTCGTGCGCGTGTCTCTGTGTGTGGGGAGCGGTGGCGCAGTGGTTAGCGCCACGCTGCGCTACGAACCTGGCCACCCGGGATCGATTTCCCGCTCACGGCCAACATCGGTGACGATTATCTGAACCGGTCCTGAGCCTCTCCCTAAGTCAACGCAGCCTCAAATGAGTACCCGGTGCAGTGTGTAAAACATCGCCACTGGGGAGACAAAGGCGGCCGGGCGTGGTGTTGGCCACCCAATCCCTCGTGTGCCGTGCCGGCCTTAATAGGTGCTCGCTAACAGCACTTGCCCCTACAGTCTGTCAAGACTATACGGGGGATCTTTGTCTTTGTCTCGCGTAACAGATTTAACGACGCAAAGGTTATGCTCGCAAGCCGTAGAAAGTCACGACTCACATTGTGTGTTGGATGCGTGTCATGTGACTACATGTGCAATGCACCTCCGATTCGCACGGTTGGCTGTGTACGGTGCGAAAGAATTTCAACATACTTCCAGGCTTGCCAACACCACCATCTCGGAAGAGCTGAAGGTGCAGCCGTATTATTGTTGTTCAGGCCGTCAACCCAAGAATTGTTGAAAATGTGGCCGACCTAACAGTCAATAGGGACACAAAAACAACCGTCGACCGATTTAATCCTCATTAGTACTGATCAGTGCTCTACAATGATCAATACAATGCTGCCTTTATGCCTCTTGACGATGGGATACCCCCATTTGCACTTACCCAAATAAAACAATGCCAATCTAACAATCTTAATTTGAAGCTTTCGTGACTGCCAGGAATCCATACTCTTTGGTTCTTTCTGTAAAGTCACGTAGGTAGAAAAACAATAGATCACGACGTTTCGATGGCAAAACAAGCGACCGTCTTCAGGTGAGACAATCAGACTGCCGTGGACGAGACATCATTATTTTTTCTACGAGACATCATTACTTTTTTCTACCGACGTGACTTTACCGAAAGAACCAAAGGGTACAATCCAACACTTTGTGTCGATGCAGTGTGATGTCAACATGACATGACATGCACCTCCCCCCCACCACCACCCTTTGCCAACACACAAATAGTCCAGTGGTTCTCAACCTTTGTTGGCTACTCTACCCCATTGTTGAATTTTGTTTCAACCGAGTAACCCCTTGCCTGACCCAATATGGTTCTAAGAAATAAATGTCTGAAAAATGAACGTTGATATTTTAACTAATTGTCCATTCTGTGATGTGTCCTAACTAGCTGGTAACTGCAAGCAAATAAAACATGTCAATGGACTCTCTGCATGCATGGCATGCACGGCGTAATTTCTTCTCGCTCGCTGGTTACTCTTGGAAGCCCACATGGTTTACCATTTAAATTTAAACGTTATCGTTGTTATTTTATATTGGCAGATTCATACATGATTATTCGCCAATCACTTTCACGTATGATATAATGTCACATTTATAGATTAACTTACGTACTCCTAGGGGTCTGAGATCCACTTCACTATCCAATGTGAGCTATGGCCAAACAAACCCCCATGTGTGCAGAGGCCTTCAACCAGGAGTAAATTGTCAGGGCGGTAAGAGTAATGTCATCATTGTAGAACTGGCTTTCTTACTTGTTCAATGATTACCTGTTAGAAGATTAATTTCATAACAATGATCAACAGTAACATTACCACGCTTTACTCTTGCTCTTTCAGTTGACGCTGACCTACAGTGAGACATGTCCACTGGAAACGTGAATGATGGGCCGACGACTGAAGATCCGGAGATTCGAGCTCAGAAATACCTGGAGAAGCATGGCATAGCACACGTGATGCGTGTGCGTTTACATGTGTGTGTCTGTCAGTGTGCATTGTGTCAATAAAAGTGCATGTGTGGGAGAACGGCAAATATCTTAACCGGTTATGGGCCTCCTTGAGGTCGATGTGGCCTTAAATGAGTACCTGGTGTGGTGTGTTAACATCAGCGCTGGGGAGACAACGATGGGCAGGCGCCCCCTCGTGTGTCATGCCAGACTTCATAAGTGCTCGCTAACAGCTCTTGCCCCAACAGTCTGTTAAAGGCTATACGGAGATCTTTGCATTATGTGGCGTGAGGGAGGGAGAAATTGTGCAGTATACTCTTAGTTTTTTCGGTAAAGTCACGTAGGTAAAACATTAAATTAAAATTAATAAAAATAAAACAATATTAATTTTAATTTCAATTTTTTACCTACGTGACTTTACCGAAAGAACTAAGAGTATGAATCCTTGCAGTCACGAAAGCTTCAAATCTAAAATTGTGCAGTGGTGTAGAAGTCCATGCAACGAAGCTGTTATTCCTGTGACCTGGGTTCGATGCTCAGTCATCCACAAACGAGTGGTGAAATGGTATCTGAATGTGGCCTGGGCCTCCCCTAAGTGAACTTGACGATAAACAAGTACCTGGCATGGTGTGAAAACTTCAGTACTGGGGATACAATGGTGACTGAGCATGGTACTGGTTACACCAATTCCTCATGGCATGCCTGCCCAAATAGGTCCTCAATAATAGCATCTGCCCCAATAATTTATGATACTAAACTCGGTTGGTTTATATATTGCATATCTGTAGACCGTGTGTGTATATGAATGTGTGTGTGTGCATATATACACACACAGGCCATGACTGAGCGTCTAGTCAACGAGAGACCAGATGACCCTTTGGAGCATCTAGCAAAACAGGTGCATATTCCTATCCTGCTCCCCTATCAACATTTGCATTCATTGTTATGCAACTTTTGTAGCAGACTTATGACCTGCAGGAAATCAAACCAATTCCACAATTGCTTATTCATGGAACACCCTTCCAAATACAGAGCACGTATTAATTACTGTATTCATGCTTCTTTTACAGTTGGAGAAAATGATTGAAGAGAAAAATCGAGGAAAGACCTAGCTGACATCACAGCGCTAAACTTCACCACATTTACATCATCACCATTATTACCACCACCAGCATAATCACAACATCATCATCATCAACATTGCTGTCCTTGCCATTGTCCACGCTCTATTCACTGTGGCTTGAGGACTGCTCCATCTCCTCGAGAGTGTATCATTCCTCCGCACGAGGCTCCTGGAACAGCCTTCAGACTCGGTGATGCTTTTCTGAATTAATTACTGTTATTTATTTTTTATTCAGTCAGTCGTTCCTTCATGGCAATTAAATGACCGACATAATACTGCGTGTGTTTCCACGGTTGTGCTGTATTCCTCTCCAATGTACAGCAAGATGTTTGCTCCACGTGCCTTCTGAAGCTCCCACCCAGCATGCAGATATCGTTGTATCCACTCTATCAATTTTCCAAACCTTATTTACCCAAACAACACATTTAAATAATACCGCAAATTAGAAAGCCAGTTTGTGTCCTAAATGTACTTGTACAAAAATAAATGTTTCATGTTATATATTGGTTATTGGTGGGATAAGGGATTTATAGTGACATTCAGTATTACCTCGTGTCAGCTTGGCTAGTTTGTTTCAATGGCACGGATAGTGCTCGTGTCAGCTTGGTTAGTTTGGTTCAGTGGCAGGGATAGTGCTCGTGTCAGCTTGGTTAGTTTGGTTCAGTGGCAGGGATAGTGCTCGTGTCAGCTTGGTTAGTTTGGTTCAGTGGCACGGATAGAACTCGTGTCAGCTTAGTTAGTTTGGTTCAGTGGCACAGATAGTGCTCGTGTCAGCTTAGTTAGTTTGGTTCAGTGGCACGGATAGAACTCGTGTCAGCTTGGCTAGTTTGGTTCAGTGGCACAGATAGTGCTCGTGTCAGCTTGGTTAGTTTGGTTCAGTGGCACGGATAGAACTCGTGTCAGCTTGGTTAGTTTGTTTCAATGGCACGGATAGTGCTCGTGTCAGCTTGGCTAGTTTGTTTCAATGGCACGGATAGTGCTCGTGTCAGCTTAGTTAGTTTGGTTCAGTGGGAGGGATAGAACTCGTGTCAGCTTGGTTAGTTTGGTTCAGTGGGAGTGATAGAACTCGTGTCAGCTTGGTTAGTTTGGTTCAGTGGCACGGATAGTGCTCGTGTCAGCTTGGTTAGTTTGGGTCAGTGGCACGGATAGAACTCGTGTCAGCTTGGTTAATTTGGTTCAGTGGGAGTGATAGAACTCGTGTCAGCTTAGTTAGTTTGGTTCAGTGGGAGGGATAGAACTCGTGTCAGCTTGGTTAGTTTGGTTCAGTGGCACGGATAGTGCTCGTGTCAGCTTGGTTAGTTTGGTTCAGTGGCACGGATAGAACTCGTGTCAGCTTGGTTAGTTTGGTTCAGTGGGAGGGATAGAACTCGTGTCAGCTTGGTTAGTTTGGTTCAGTGGCACAGATAGTGCTCATGTCAGCTTGGTTAGTTTGGTTCAGTGGCACGGATAGTGCTCGTGTCAGCTTAGTTAGTTTGGGTCAGTGGGAGGGATAGAACTCGTGTCAGCTTGGTTAGTTTGGTTCAGTGGCACGGATAGTGCTCGTGTCAGCTTAGTTAGTTTGGGTCAGTGGGAGGGATAGTGCTCGTGTCAGCTTAGTTAGTTTGGGTCAGTGGGAGGGATAGAACTCGTGTCAGCTTGGTTAGTTTGGTTCAGTGGCACAGATAGTGCTCGTGTCAGCTTGGTTAGTTTGGGTCAGTGGGAGGGATAGAACTCGTGTCAGCTTGGTTAGTTTGGTTCAGTGGCACGGATAGTGCTCGTGTCAGCTTAGTTAGTTTGGGTCAGTGGGAGGGATAGAACTCGTGTCAGCTTGGTTAGTTTGGTTCAGTGGCACGGATAGAACTCGTGTCAGCTTGGTTAGTTTGGTTCAGTGGCACAGATAGTGCTCATGTCAGCTTGGTTAGTTTGGTTCAATGGCAGGGATATAACTCGTGTCAGCTTGGCTAGTTTGGTTCAGTGGGAGGGATAGAACTCGTGTCAGCTTGGTTGATAATTATCGTCGGGTTGGTTATCGTAAGGGTTGATTGGCGAGTTTACATGACCCCCTCCCCCCGAGTTGTCAGCCCCTCCCCTTTTCAACGCTGGGTCATTTCGAGCGCTGCTGCTGCTGCTCGCTTCAAACTCGTGCGCTCCAGTGCCTCTCGTGCTGCTGCTGCTCTCCCCCGCGCTGCCCTTCCTCGTACTCCCCGTGCTGCCCTTCCCCGTGCTGCTCTCCCCCGCGCTGCCCTTCCTCGTACTCCCCGTACTGCTCTCCCCCGTACTGCTCTCCCCCGCGCTGCCCTTCCTCGTACTCCCCGTGCTGCTCTCCCCTGTGCGGCTCTCCCCCGCGCTGCCCTTCCGTGGATTTGGGGAGACGATGGGCAGCGGAAGCTCCGCGCTCGGCACGCGCTCCATTTACCTGGACCTGGACGGGCGCGTGCAGCAGGTACGGGGGTGCACAGGTGTGCTTGTACAGGTGTACTTGTACAGGTGCGCTTGTACAGGTGTGCTTGTACAGGTGTGCTTGTACAGGTGTACTTGTACAGGTGTGTGCATGTACAGGTGTGCTTGTACAGGTGTGTGCTTGTACAGGTGTGCTTGTACAGGTGTGCTTGTACAGGTGTACTTGTACAGGTGTGTGCATGTACAGGTGTGCTTGTACAGGTGTGTGCTTGTACAGGTGTGCTTGTACAGGTGCGCTTGTACAGGTGTGCTTGTACAGGTGCGCTTGTACAGGTGCGCTTGTACAGGTGTGTGTAGGTGTGGGGAGCGGTGGCGCAGTGGTCAGGGCTACGGACCCGGTCACCTTAGTTCCATTCCCGCTCACGGACAACACCGATGACGAATATCTGAACCAGTCCTGGGTCTCTACTAGTTTGACCCAGTTTTAATTTAGTAGTTTAACACGTTTTAGGCTTTCGCGACCAATATCATCCATAATAGAGGTTGTATGGGTTAGATCGCGTAAATATACAGATTGTAAATGTTGTGGCTTGGCTCTCCAACACACCGGTGTGCTGTACTAGGGACGAATTGGCACGTTCTGTTTAGGTGACAACTCTTACTAGCTGGCTGTGTCGGCTGGTGGCGGGTTTGAATTACACATTGATATATTTACGCGATCTAACCCCAAAAAAACCTCTATTGTGGACTTAATGTAATACTTGGTGCGGTGCGTGTAAACATCTGCATTGGGGAGACAAAGGCGGTCGGGCGTGGTGTTGACGACCCAAATACCTCGCGTGATGTTGCCGGCTATACGGGGGATCTTTTCAGATATATACAGGAGTGCGCAGGTGTGTGAAGTGTGCGAATAGACGCATGCACTCGTGGCGAGATGTTAACTACCTCGCCTGTTACACAGGAGGGCGTCGGTTCGATCCCGACCCTGACGCCTGCTGCTGTATATTTGGAGTTTGCGGTGTCTCTCTCATTATCATCACGGTGGCTAGGAGATGTTAACTACCCGCCTGGTCTACAGGAGGTCGTGGGTTCGATCCCGACCCTGACGCCTGCTGCTGTGTATTTGGAGTTTGCGGTGTCTCTCTCATCATCATCACGGTGACTAGGAGATGTTAACTACCTCGCCTGTTACACAGGAGGTCGTGGGTTCGATCCCTACCCTGACGCCTGCTGCTGTGAATTTGGAGTTTGCGGTGTCTCTCTCTCATTATCATCACGGTGGCTAGGAGATGTTAACTACCCCGCCTGGTCTTCATCTTCTTGGTTCTTTCGGTAAAGTCACGTAGAAGGGAAGTAATAAAATAATAAAAATAAAACATAATAAAATAAAATAATTCTCACGACGTTTCGGCTACAACGCAAGCAGCCGTCTTCAGGTGAAGAAAGCTTTAAATCGAAATTTACCCCGCCTGGTGTACAGGAGGTCGTGGGTTTGATCCAGACCCTGACGCCTGCTGCTGTGTATTTGGAGTTTGCGGTGTCTCTCTCTCCCCGTGGTCGCGTGCGGGAATTCACTCCACATTTATCAACACGCGTTTCGAGCATTTGGCTGCTGTTACTTGGGAAAATAAAAAATAGTTTCGTTTGTAAACGTGTGCGTGCGTATTCGTTTAGCGGGGAGCGGTGGTGTAGCGGTTAGCGCGTTGCGCTACAAACCCGGCGAACCGAGTTCGATTTCCACTCGCAGTCAACGCTTGTGACGATTATCTAAACCGGTCATGGGCCTCCACTAGGTGGACTCAGCCTCAAATGAGCACCTGGTGTGGGGTGTTAACATCACCACTGGGGAGACAAAGGCGGCCGGGCGTAGTGTTGGCCACCCACCCCCTCGTGTGCCGTGCCGGTATTCATATGTGCTCGCTAACAGCACTTGCCCCAACAGTCTGTTCAGGCTATACGCGGGGAATCTTTGTGTGTAAAGATACCGGTTATTGTTGTTGTTGAATGGCGGTGGTTGTTGTTGTTGTTGTGTCGAGATAAGGGGTAACCGGTAGTTTACCGGGTCGGAAAAGTCAGGAGCCGTTCCGAGTTAAATCTTAGCACGGGCACGCACGAACGTGCACGCGGCAAGGCGATCTAAATCACCGCGTGATCCACTTGCCCTCCCTTCTGAGTTAAAAGGTAAAGGTGCAACCGTGCAAGTGCCCGCTCAGGCCACTGCTGGCGGATGGGGCTTCCACTAGGGGTGGGGAACGTCCGGCCCGCGGGCCGCATGAGACCCGCGAAATCATTTGGTGTGGCCCTGCCAAGGCATTTGGTGTGGCCCTGCCAAGGCAACTGCAGGCGGGACTCGAAATTCAATAAATCTCTTGCTGCTACTCGCAGTTGCGAGTAGCAGCAACATCATCAATACTGGCTAACATCACACGCCTCGCCAAAGAAAAGCAGTTCCAGCCATCACATTAGGGGTGAGTTAATTAAATGTTTGACCAAATATAACGGGCTAATCTTTAAGTTGATCATTTTGTATGGCCGGCGAATTATGTTATAAATATCCAAATGGCCCTTGGCAGAAAAAAGGTTCCCCACCGCTGCACTCGAGGTGAGCTCCAGGGGGCTAATTTGCTCCATTCTTCCACGCTGGCCTTACGTATTGGCAGAGGTGGGCGTACCCACACTTTACCCCACCACACGATCGTGGTGAACCCGTTTATATCGCTGGGTGAACAGAGGCGGGGTGGACGGAGGGGTTGAAGAAGCTTGCCCCATTGCTTTAACTGCCGCGCCGGGAGATAGAACCGAACTTGCTCCCTCTTGGATGGCAAGTCAAGGTGCGCTCCGCCAGTAGACTGCGTCCCACGGCAGCTCCCTTCATTCCTCGCAGGTTTAAAATGTTTTCGTGGAAAACCGCGAACCGGTTTTCACCGGGTGTTTTTTTTTTCATGCGGTTATCGTTAATGCAACAACAAAAAGTTACACTTTTTGGTATTTATTTTCGTAACAGCCCCACGATACGCGTGCAGGGAAAGAAACACAATACGAACGCGTTCACACACGGCCTATAAATAGGCACAACTCGTTAGAAAAGACAGCGAGCAGGGGAGGGGGGACACACACAGGTGTGTTCAAAATGTTATGTCACATTTCCCAAGACGCCGAGCACCCAGGACGGGGGGGGGGGGGTGACTGCAGGTGGGGACGGGAGGGGGGTGAGCGGATCACGCGAGAAAGGTCGCAATGGGTCACGAGACGTATAATTGGACCCGGGACGCCAATTAATTTACTGAGACGGGGTTCAATATGGACAATGGGTCCCGTTAATTGCGCACTCCGCAGTACACACTGGCCCATGCTGGTGTGCGTGGCGATGATGAAGACCCACAGAGAGAGCCCGAGGATTATCATGTTCCCTTACGCTCGGGGCAGCCTCGTCCCAGTGGACATGGCAACGTTGAACCAACGTTGGGAATGTGGTTCTAAGCGCTGGACCAACGTTGGCTGAACGTTCCATTTTAGCTGGGGTAGTGTGAGAGGATGTTGGCTGGAGGGTGCTGAGCCTCACCTGCTGAAGGTTCAGCCATTTTATAACTTTACACCATTGGAACCTCATTTGCCAGTAAAAATATGATCATTGGTTTTTACCCTTCTATCTGGCAACAAAACTGACACCTTTTTACAAGGAGTCATGTTTGCATAGACCACAATGCAAACAAAAACATAACTCTGATAATGTGCATATTATCAGAGTTATGTTTTTTGTTTGCATTATGACTGCAGGTATTGTGGTCTATGCAAACATGACTCCTTGTAAAAAAAGGTGTCAGTTTTGTTGGCAGATAGAAGGGTAAAAAACAATTATCATTTTATAACTTCAAATAATCTAATCAAAATAATGGGCAAAATGCTAATAATATCACAATATAATGTTGGGCCTCGCAGAATTTCCTCATATCCAGTGAACATGCCAATGTTGGACCAACGTTGGGATTGTGATTGGAACCGTTGTCCCTGCGTTGGTCCAGCGTTGCGTGTTCTCTGGGTAGGAGGTAAACGCCAGATGAGAATGCACGATCGACAAGCAAATTGTACCGTTGCTCGTTCTCTTTGGCGTTCGACATTTGTTTCCAGTTTATTTTGCGTTCACGTTGTCGTGCGTCCCCTTCACCCCCGCCTTGAGGTTCTGTGTGTGTCCCCCACCCCGTTAAGCAAGGTCACACTACAGAGCTGCGTCAAGGTTTACCAAACTCCGGTCCCAACACAGTGCTACTTTCCGAGTTCAAATGCAAACAAATCGTTACACGCTGCACATACCTGATGCTTGGCAAACACATAGAATAGCTGGATAGAGGAGGCTAAACCTGCTGTGGACTTACTGACACTCGGTGCCAGTGGTGTCAAGATCAGCTGTTATGCAAGGGACACTTAGGGGACACAGGGCAGTTGGAAGCATCTACCCATCAGCAACAATGGGATGCAGAATAGTGACACTTAAAATAATGATCAGAGCTCCAGGTGGCTAAAATATGGGAAAGGTGGCACGGTGATGCATCTGCCAGTCATTTCAGTTAATGAACCCATGATAACACCTTGCATATTTAGTGATTTAAATATTTCACCTGGAAACTCCCTTGTTATGCAACTTATCGTTTACAAGGGTTTCCAAGCGGTCACTGATCAGTCCGATTACCTGCTGCCAATGAGCCTTCGAAAAATCAGATGGCTTTAAAGTGCACTCGACTGGCACAGACGTTATGGTGATGTAATCTCCACTTTCAGTATGTCGGTTATTATCGTGTCCCACGTGGCTTAGAGAACCACATGATGTAGGGAGCTCTCTAATTGAATCAGCACTCCGCGTGACGTGTTTAACACTTATCAGGCAAGTGCAGAATGTAACAATGTAATTTGTACTGGATTAAAATTGAGGTACTTTTTTATTTATTGGAAAGGCATTTTAAAAAAAAAATCTCTTCTTGCGTCACGTTCCGAGTCAAACTGTTCACATCGCTACACTGTCATTTGTCAGGGTTCAGTAACGTGCCGTGAGATTATTTTAAAAAATGTGCAGGGCAATGGTGAGGAGAGACGTTATTGCTGTGTGTGTGCAGGTGGTGTTCGGCTGTCGCTGCTCCACTGCACATCTCAATGACCTGGTCTGCGACTCAGCGGGAATCAACCGGTCCGGCTCCCCCTCCACCACCACCCTTCCACTCATCGACCCTGAATCGATTTATCGGTCCTGTAATTCTCAATCAATCTATTGTGATACAATATGTTTCCAAGATAAACCTGAGCAAGTGAAACGTATTTTACAAGTGTAGAGAAAAGTGTGATTTTTAGAAGAAGACACAACTTGAAAAATACTATATTGTAGAATAAATAAATCGATCAGGGTTTTTGCAATACGTTTTACAATCAATAACTTAAATGTGAAAAGTCAGTTTTTTGTAAAATAAACATCTATAACAGTGAAGGTAGGAGTTAGTGGAACTGCTTTGGAACCTCAACTCTGGATCCAGACTCCAGAGTGCTCCAGTGACCTCAGCTCCTGTTCGATCCTGAATCCATTGACCCCATCTCCGTTCAGCCTTCGGAGCACAACTTAGAACATTGACAAACTCTGCTCTGAATCTGGAGTCCAGCCAGCACTGTAAAGCACGAGGGAAAGTGAGGGCGGAACCTAGGTATGGGGTAGGTTGTGGTGAGCAATACGGAACTAGAACTGGGGTGGAGGAGGTTGTCGGGAAGAATGCAAGTGTTCTTGACGAACTTCCTCCAGCTGACTAACATTGATCACCACACACGACAGTTTTACTTTCTGGCAACGCAAGGAAGTGGGGGTTGTTTGGGAGATTTTGAAATAGTCACACAAAGATATTCATAAATACACACACAAATACACACAGACACATGCATATACATACAAAAATACATACGCACTGCCATATGTCCATACAAAGAGCAAATATCCTCACCATAGCCTTTATTTAAAAGACTGTTGGGGAAATTGCTGAAGCAAGCACCTATTTAACACCTGATGTCATATATACAGGATCTCCGCAATGGGGAAATTTCTACTTAACTCAAAATTACTTAGAGCGAACTAGAAAATCCCACAGACATAATGGTAAAATTAGGGGTTGCGTTCCTCGCCGACATTTATGGATAAAAATATGACGTGTACAAAAATGCATATGATCATGAGTTAACATACATTTTAAACAATTATAAATACAAATACTTAGATAAAGGATCACACACACATGCAAGCACAAACACTAACACGTACGCAGATAAGTATTTGTGCTCTGTATTATAGCTCAGAACACATTGATGTCATAAATTATCACATGTTAATGCGTTAATGAGTTTGATAACTCGTATCTTTAGAACTGCGTTTTGTGTTTAGTTTGTTGTCCTCCCCCCGCACCTCCTATGAGCACGGTTGGCTACGTACGGTGCGAAAGAAGTCCTACATACATACAATGCACATAACCACCGCTACTTTGAGCTGGTGCAGCTCATTTGCGGGTCCCTTGTGTGGGTGTGAGGACACCTTGCATCCACTTCCTGTCTCTATTTTCCCCGGCGATATCCCTTAGAGATTCATTATCTCATTTCGCAAGGGTGACCTGCCTCTCCTGGGTGCGTGTGGTCATCTAGGGAGGGTTATAATTATCTTTGGGCTGTGAGCACAGATGCCTCGCAATGGCTACCTACACAGAGGAGGAGCGTGCTGATGTCACAGGGTGTTTAACATGTGCTTTATATTTCGATTTAAAGTTTTCGTGACTACAGGGATTCATCTTCTTGGTTCTTTCGGTAAAGTCACGTAGAAGGGAAATAATCAAGTAATACAAATAATAACATAATAATAAATTCACGACGTGAGAATTATTTTATTATGTTTTATTTTTATTTATTTGATTATTTCCCTTCTACGTGACTTTACTGAAAGAACCAAGAAGATGTATTTATAACAAATGGTGCTATAATTTTATAGAATGATGAAGTGTACAATGTTAAGAATGTCCTATGGGAATGAATTACTGGCTCACTCAAGTGGGAGTCGAACAACCGATGGTGACCGGCTCAGTGGTGTAGGTGTGTAATGGTTAGTGGTGCGGTGTATGTGGTATTGTGTGTGTGTGTCTTTGTTGTTGTGTGAGAGTTGAGTAATGTGTGGTCTGGTGTACACAATGTCATGGCGTGGATGTATGTGCTGTGAGTGTGTCATTTAGTCTATTGTGTGCGATGTGTGTAATTCAGGCTGTGGTGTTTGTTGTGTGCGATCAGATGCACCCCTATCTCTCTCATTGACTCAAATGGAGCCACTGTTTCCTTGGATCCCGGCATGCCTTGCAACACCCACAGGTGTGACACATGTAAACACACACACACACACCATACACAAATACCACGAAACACACATGCGCACACACACATGCTCCACAAACAACAACACCCGCCATTCGCCACAAAGTGACAGTGACGTCACCACGTTGCCTGTGCCAGGCCAGGTGTACGTGAAGTGTCGAAGGCTTGATCACAGGAGGTCACGGGACAGACCACGGTGTCATGGGTTGATTAACTTCGATGACTGGAGGATGCACCAGCTGTGCCTCCTACATAAAACACACATGCACACACACACACCATGAGCACAAATACACACTCCACAAACACACACTCCGTCACACTCACTGCAACACATCTCATTCAACATTTTTGCTCGGGGCAGCAGTCCACCTATCACAACCACTGGTTTCCGCACCCACCCCCAGCCCAAAAACAAAACTAAGATTATGAGGATCACAATACAAAGAGATCGCGTGTCCATGCCTCTAGTCAATGCGGCGTTAGTAAGGTATGTGTTAGTGAGCATCTGTTGAGGTGGACATGACACACTCTGTGGACTGGTGTAGCCAGCGCCATGCGAAGCTTGTTTCAAAGCCAGTGCTGATAGTGACCACTCAACACAAGGCAATTATTTTAGATTGAGTTGATCCAAGGGGTTAACGCAGGTCAGATGTGGTTACCATTTACCCATTGATGGTGTACATCATGGCCATGAACCAAACCCATACCTTGACACTTCCACTTTTGCTACAATCATAGCACATCGGAATATATATTATTGGTTCTTTCGGTAAAGTCACGTAAAAGGGAAATAACAAACTAATACAAATATTAGAAAAAAAATCTTGCTGTGGATTTCACACCTGATGTTGATTGCTTGTGATGCAGTCGAAACGTCGTGAGAATTTTTTATTATTATTTTATATTTGTATTATTTTGTTATTTCCCTTCTACGTGACTTTACCGAAAGAACCAAGAATATGAATCCCTGCAGTCACGAAAGCTTTAAATCGAAACATCGGAATATGTTTACTGCTGAATTCGTTCACTTTCTTAAAATAAGTGGCCGGGCGGCTCAGGGGCTACAGCACCAGCACCAGCACCACCACCAGCACCACCAGCACCACCACCAGCACCAGCACCACCACTAGCACCACCAGCCCCACCACCAGCACCAGCACCACCACTAGCACCACCAGCACCACCACCAGCACCAGCACCACCACCAGCACCAGCACCAGCAGCACCACCACCAGCACCACCACCAGCACCATCACCAGCACCACCACCAGCACCACCAACAGCACCACTAGCACCACCAGCACCACCACCAGCACCACCACCAGCACCACCACCAGCACCACCACCAGCACCAGCACCACCAGCAGCACCAGCACCACCACCAGCAGCACCAGCACCACCACCACCAGCACCACCACCAGCACCACCACCAGCACCACCACCACCAGCACCAGCACTAGCACCAGCACCACCACTAGCACCACCACCAGCACCACTAGCACCAGCACCACCACCAGCACCACCACTAGCACCAGCACCAACAGCACCACTACTAGCACCAGCACCACCACCAGCACCACCACTAGCACCAGCACCACCACCAGCACTGCACCAGCACCGCACCAGCACCACCGAGGTCCTAGGTTTGAGTCTGGGTTTCAGCCACCAGAGATTACACCAGGTTCTCGAGTCGAGCAAGCTTAGAGTCTCAGCGTGGTCGGCAAAGCCGGCACAGAACACCTACAAATTAAATATCGTTCATCGCAGAATCTGTCTAAATTGCAGCCCTTAGAATACTAATTTAATGTTGGGTTGACTGCCTGTTTGGAATAATGTGTGGATTAAGAAAAGTCACTTGAAGGGACTTCAGAAATAGCTCTGTGAAATCGTTATTCATGGGCAGTTCTCTAATGCAGGATGATGAACCATCCTGTGAGAGTTCTAAATGGACAATCTGTTCCATGACACCACATGCACGAGTGGAATAAGATAAAATATATATATATCATCTTAATCCCCATCGAAGGCCGTACTCTCACGTGGTGTTGCTAAGCGGCCAAGTGCACTGTGCTCCGAGCACTCAATTGGCGATCAGAATGCCTTGCATTCAAATCTTGGTCAACAGTCAACACTTTCCCATCATCCCACTGGGGTCGATAAAATATATACCACTTTGTAGAGAGTCAAAATTAGTTCTCCGATGTAGTAACTGGCACCTGCCATAAGAATGTGGATTTTCTACCACTGCCTTAGGACTGCAATGTCACCCCTTTCTCGTTGGAGGTTGGAGCTGGGGGACGCTTTGACTTGCTGTTGATGATTGGTAGTGACTGGTTTGTGGTGAGTCTTTTCCGTGTGTGTGGGTTGCAGCACTCCGTACAAGATCATTCAAGTAGGAACACCGCAACTCTCACGTGAGCTCAGCGTACACCCGTACACAAGACAAATCCCCCTTATAGCCTTAACTGACTTTTTGGGGCAAGTGCTGTTAGCGAGCACCTATGTAAGGCTGGCACGGTACAAAATGGGGTGGGTGGCCATCACTGCTTTTGTCTCTCCAGTGGCAATGATTACACGCCGCACCAGGTACTCATTTGAAATTGAGTCGACATAGGGGAGGCCCAGGACTGGTTCAGATAGCCGTCACTGGTGTTGGCCGTGAGCAGGAATTGAACTCGGGTTGCTGGGTTTGTAACGCAGCGTGTTAACCGCTACGCAACCACTCCCCACACCCAAGCACATGCACAGATTTGGATCTTCACAATGTGTGGTTGTCTCTCAGTGAAATAGCATGAGGCTTTCCTGAGTCTGCCTTTCATTAGGTTTACTGGATTTACCATATAGCCTTATAGACCCTTGGGATAAGTGCTTTAGGCACACAAATATACACATACGCTATATCCATAAACATTTGCACTCATATATATGCACAAGATACACCTGTATACTCCTCGGCATGCACATTGAAAAACACGCGGGTAAATGGACATCTTTCGATTTAAAGCTTTCGTGACTGCAGGGATTCATCTTCTTGGTTATTTCGGTAAAGTCACGTAGAAGGGAAGTAATAAAATAATTAAAATACGTTGTGGCCGAAACGTCGTGAGAATTGTTTTTATTATGTTTTATTTTTATTATTTTATTACTTCCCTTCTACGTGACTTTACCGAAAGAACCAAGAAGATAAATGGACATCGTTTAGCTGCTCCGCTCCCGTCGCCCGATTGCACAGCGTTACACCCGCTTGACCGATGGTATCTTGTCAGGATGCGTACCTATCTATGTGTAGTAAGTATATGGAGGCTTGACGACAGGATCGGAGGCACACTTATTTATTACACCAACACAGTTATTTACAGGTCACTGGGCTACAGGGATTTCTCGACAGCTAACCCCTCTAACCTATACCAATTCCTCCACTACGGGACTCGGGGAGGCTATCTGTCCCAGCTTGGTTAAGCTGGGATCCCGGCTCCCTGAGTCACCAGACCAGCTTCGTCTGGGCTCTCGGGGCCACGCCACCGGCTTGCCCTGGTCGGCCCTTATAAGGACAGCGAGCCAGGGGAGCTCTGGGGCCTACACTAGCTGGTCTTCCGTCTTCTCTGGTTATAGCTGAGTCCCGACTCCCGAGCCTTTCGGCTCATCACCTTTTATAGGACTTGCCCCCAAGGGGGGGGGCCCGTGGGGGATACACATGCGGACGTCGGTGCGAGCGCCACCCTTGTGTACGGCCGTAACCCCGCCCCTTGTGTTTGTTGGCCATCCGTGGCCATGCATAATCACACCTCAACATTCGTAGACATGCGCAATTACACCTCTACATATGCATAACTCTAAAGACGCCTCGCTCTCCTTGGTCGTTACAGAGAGGGACACCATTCTACGAGACTGTCTCTCCCAGATGGCAGAGCAGATTGCCAGGTAGGCAGTGCGTGTGTGTGTGAGTACTTGCAGTACATCAATAACATTGTGATTAAGTGAGTGACTACTTTAAATGTTAATGATGTTCTAGATTCATAATCAACGTCTTTGGGTTTAGATCGCGTTATTTATAAATGTATCGTAACCCTCCACCACCCGACACGGCCAATCAGTAAAAAAGTGTCACGTTGACAAAAGACAAATTAGTTCACTGCTTTAGCCCACTGGTGTGTTGAAGCCACAACATTTACAATTTGAGTAGGGTTACGACACATTTATAAATAACGCGATCTAAACCCAAAAACGTTGATTATGAATAATATTGGTCGCGAAAGCCTACGTGTTAAACTGATGTTCTAGATGGACTAGAAAGTTGTAATTTGGCACTAAAGTAGTTGAGTATTTGCTTAGAACTATACAGATCAGGCAACCAACAGTTTAAATTTTGGTCTAGCAACAATTATGGCCCAGTGGTTGATTGGTTTCACCCAAGGGGCAGGGAGGGTCAGCCGAAATTTTTAAGTTGCTTTAAGTCTCTTGCTAAACACTTAAAAAGTTTACTCTCCTCATCTCGTATCACTGTGTTGTTAACATCATGATTATAATGACGACCATATTATCTCTGTCTATTCTGTTGTGTTATTCACAAGTGTCTTTGGACAGGATGAATAATTGTAGGAGACATTTAAAATTAGCTGGATGTTGGTGCGCAAATACTAAAAATGGCTATGCAAATTGCTCCGCAATTCGACTACCAAAATGGATATACATTTTATATTGCACCGTTTGTAAACCCTGCAAAACAAGCTCCATACGTCTTTGAAAGGTGACTGGAGCATTACAAGACCAAAGAAAAATAACTTGATATTGGATGTTGAATTCACACACTTGACTAAAACACCATGGGGTATCATTGACTAGACTAAGACTATGGCTAATGAACACATAATGCTGACTACATTAACACTGAGGTTTAATGACAGGTGGCTGAACCCCAGACTGGAACCCAGGATGTCAGTGCTCTTGACCCCTGAGCCACTCAGCCACCTCCTCCCCAACTTGGAATCTCTTAACCGCAGCTGCACGCAGCCAGATTATATTGACAAGAAAAGTGTGTGTGTCCTAATCTCAAAACTAAAGTTCATCTAAACTGTAACCTCGGTGTTCACCATTACCATCATACTGACTGTCACCCTGACCCCGACTATCACTGTGTCCCCAGCGCGTTCCGTATTCAGGAGCAGAGAACGGAGTTCTCCAGCCGAATTGCCATGCTAGAGAAACGCCTAGATGGTGAGGAACATCTCGATGTTGTACGACAGCGTGCGTGGTGGTGTCTTTGTTGTTGTGGGGGCCAAGTGCTATTCGAGAGCACCTATGAACGCCTGGCACGGTACACAAGGGGGTGGGTGGCCAGCACCATGCACTTGCCCCAACAGTTTGTTAAGGCTATACGGGGGGGTTTGTCTTTGCTGTTTTGGGGAGCGGTGGTGTAGTGGTTAGCGCACTGCACTACGAACCCGGCGATTTTGTCGGAATGTGTGTTTATGATGCCAACAGACGTCTGTGTGTCTGTCTGCTACAGCAGAGGTGTCGATGATTTAAACAAAACCAACATCTTTGTTTTATTTCCCTCGGCAATGCCAATTATATTGTTAAGAGGACAAGACTTTGATTTGTTTTATTTTGTATATTTGGTATTCCTGACCATCTATTTATTTTCATTCAGGACCTTCATAATGATGGATAGGCCCGGGTAAACCTGCAAAGGCCAGGAATCAGCATTTTCGGTTCCCCTTGGGATGCGACAAGGATATCATCTCACCCCAATACTAGTGCTCATCCTTTTGTCTACTTAGATCAATCATCTTTCCAAAGCTGTACTTGAGGAATGTCCATCTGGCACATATATAATGGGAGGGTGATCAGTGCCCAGAGAAAGAGTTGGAGACTGTTGCTTAAACTGGCGTTTGCTACTTAGCCTATGTTGTGTTTAAGGGAAATCATATCTCGCTGTCTTTGTGTATATGTATGTCTGTGTATGTGCATGCAGCTGAGGGCCTGAAGCTCGTGGAAATTGACAAATGCAAAAACGACATCCGAGCCCTCAAGGACAAGATGATGAACTGCCCCGACAGGTGCCAGACACGCAGGGTCAAACGAGGTTACTCGGGGTTATGATAGGTCACAGAGCATCACATGAGTTCACACGAGGACACTGCACTCACATCTCTCCCTTCCCTCCCTCTCGTCGAGCCTATTTCCACTGTTACCACCTCAATGTCTCTTCTCCCCGAGTCTATCTCTCGTATCCACTCTCTTCTAGCCTACCTCCTCTGGAAAGTGTCAACTTAGCCACTGATTACAGCACATGACGTCACATACATCTATTTAGTCAATTAAATCTGCCTGGCCCAGATGCCTGGGCTAGTGAAAGGGATGCCTATTGAGAAAGAGATTCCTATTCAAGTGGTTCCGTGGCGTTGTCCAACGAGATGTGATTGCTGAGAGAGCTGACGGTGGATATTTCTCCCTTTCATTTCATGACCTGAATAATAGTGCAATGCAACTGGTGAGATTAAAATGCTTCGCTCTGTGCGGACGACGCTAACTGCATGATTGGGATTGTGTGATTTGTGCACAGGAAATATAATAGTAACCTCACCAGGAGTCTCAGCGTCCACTCAAACGACACACGTGGTGGTGCTCATTACTCGGCTAACAGAAACTCAGCCCGATCAATGTGAGGAATCGTTCCAATTCAGGGTCTCGATTCAATTGAAGAATATGCTGTATTTGTCTTGTTGTTAACGTGTATTGTTTTTGGTTCGTTTGTTCAGTTTTACTCACTGCATTAGCCTAAATGTCACAGCAGGAGATCGTTTGAGATAAGGGTGGCAGGGTGCAAGAAGGGCCTGGGTTCGATTCCTAACTCGGCCGCTGTTCTGTGGGGAATTTAGATGAGTTTCTATCTTCTCCGGTTTCCTTAGATTGCTTAAAAAACATGCAATCTAACTTGTAGTGGCAAAACATCCCAATTCTGAAAAATTACCTGCAGATTACTCAATTGGGATCACACATAACAACATTGCACCCACCGACCCGCAAAAAAACTTTGCAGGATCCTCCTGAAAAAAAGTCTTGAGACTTAGTGAGGCTTTACTGGGTAAACAAGCGTAACAATTAAATAATTAATATGTTGCACTAATTTTACACGAATTGTAAACAATACATTCTTACACGTACAGTGTGATGCTAGTATCGCAATAACATGTCGTTAAGCCATGAATTTAGCACATGAAGAGTAACTGTGTGCCGACCATCAAATATTGGAGGCGCAAAACGACCAATTTGCTTAGGTATTTCAACGGAAACATTGCGAATACCTAGGCCTGTAACGATAAATTGGTTCATCTTCTTGGTTCTTTCGGTAAAGTCACGTAGAAGGGAAGTAATAAAATAATAAAAATAAAACATAATAAAATATTATGTTTTATTTTAAAACATAATAAAATATTATGTTTTATTTTTATTATTTGATTACTTCCCTTCTACGTGACTTTACCGAAAGAACCAAGAAGATGAATCCCTGCAGTCACGAAAGCTTTAAATCGAGATAAATTGGTTCACCGACCAAACTCGAGTCCAACACTCGTGACGTATTCATCGAATTGCGTGCGTACGAACCTATAGTTCGTTCATGAGCGATGTAAATGATACAAACGTGGTCTGTGAATGTTTCATTTGGGCTAATTAAGTGAACAAATCCTGCAGAAAATGAGACGGAGAAGAAAACGTAAACTGACAAAAATTACAGACGAGTTAAAAATGAGAAGAAGAAGAAGAAGAAAAAAAAACGAATTCTTCATTTGAATCGGGGACCTTCAATTGTGACAATTCATGGGATTATCACTGCGGGAGTGCATCGTTACTACACGCCTCGTATCAATCACAGTAATGAGTGACCGGAGGAGCCGTGGCAGTTTCGCTGCACCTGGCGCATGCATTGTTGGGTCCACCCGGAGCAGGGCTCGTTTTGATTTCAATGACAAAAGCTCCATCTGCTCATTCATTCATTCATCACACTCATCCATAGTCATTCATTTGACTTGAAACACTAGCCTAGTGCTAATAAAAGCGAAATTAGCCTACGCTTGCATTGATATGCTTTCAAATGCAGTGTGTACGTAGACCTATGTGAATTCTCAATGTTCCTACGATTACATTTAGATGCGATAACTTTGAAGTGATAATGAAGGCACACTGGTGTCTTTAATTTGTGTTGTATGTCATGTCTGTGTGTTTTGTTTTTACGTTTCTACTGCATATGGATTGAATATGTTCTGCAATAGTACACATGCACACACGCATACGCATGTACATCAATGCAAATGACAACAATGCAACTGTGTGTGCATGCATTCAAGTGATAAACACCTGTATCCGCACACACGCACACACATAAACTCATCCACACACGTATACGTGCCCAACATGCATTCATCCACGTCCAATCACACTCTCATCCCTTACACTCAGCTGCACACATACGCACCGTTCCACGCACGCACTCACACACACGACATCACCCCGACTCATATACACATGCACACACCCTTTGTTTTACACACATGCTCATGCATGCAAGTTTACACACTCTCGCAAACATACACTCTGCCATGTACACTCATGCATACACACCTCTCTCTCTCACACACACACACACACCCTCTCTCTTACACACCCGTGCGCATGCGTGCACACACAAACTCTCTCGCACAAGCTGACACACACAAACACCCTCTGGCACAGCAACTCATGCGCACACATGCACATACTCACCAACACACCAATACGCGCACACACACATAAACATTTCTCACACACGGCACGCTTACACTTTTACACGCACACACACCATTTCTCATACTTACACACCCCTTCACTTACACGCTCACACACGCACACTAACACTCTTTCTTTCTCTCTCTCTCACACACACACACACGCCGTTTCTTATACGCACATGTTTATACATGCACACACACTCTCACATCAACTCGCACATACTGACACACACTCACCCCTAGGTCTAACCCCACGCTGACCATGGCTTGCTTGGATTACAAACCTAGAACTCCGAGGAGAGATGTGCCTGCCTACCCCAAGGTGAGCTGCACACCCCTGTGCTGTGCGTAGCCAGCCAGTCGGTGGCTTGGAGGCATTGTTAACGCATCACCATCATGATGGGCAGTCATGTTGTGTGTTAGATAACCTGCCTTGCAGGTTCCTGGACAAGGGGGTAGTGCAGCAAGTAGGTTAGGGGCAGGCAGTTTAGTGCAAAGTTTTACATTTCACACCATCATGTGTGGGGTTTCGTGATACATATATCCATCTTCTTGGTTATTTCGGTAAAGTCACGTAGAATACAATTCTCACGACGTTTCGGCCACAACGCAAGCAGCCGTCCTCAGGTGAAGAACAGGTCTGTCGGAGGCAGGGTTAACGCGTCACCTGAGGACGACCGCTTGCGTTGTGGCCGAAACGTCGTGACAATTGCATTTTATTATGTTTTATTTTTTATTATTTTATTATTTCCCTTCTACGTGACTTTACCGAAAGAACCAAGAAGATGAATCCCCGCAGTCACGAAAGCTTTAAATAGAAAAAAGAAATATATCCACTCACGTAAATAAATTGGATAAACATCCCAGTGAGGCTTCTCATAATGTTTGCATTTGGGGTATTTAAATAAGTAAACAGACAAAAGATGCTTCTGTTAGCATCAGCATGGCGGAATTGCTGCATGCGGTCACCCTCTACTGAAATCTGCCCCAGATACCCGCATGCTTCCGAATGCCAGCAACAGCAGCACGTCATCATTTTCATTTTCCTCAGGTCATTACACCACCACTGCTTTCATGGCCTCGTCACTGTCAAACCACCTTCATCGTAGAGCAGATGGGATTCTGGGTTGTTTCCCAGATATTCTAGGACTTAGCTTTTCCAACAATTCCATCGTTGCATGTGCAGAGCACTGATGTGCATTGTGGCAATGAAACGCCGCTCTCTCAACTGTCTTCGGCATTTGCGACCAATGTCAATCTTCAGTTTATTATCCAATAAGTGACGGTAAGAAGGTCTGGTAATAGTTTGTCTTTCGCCCTGAACGGCAACTGTTCATGATCAGACCCTGCATGTCTTAAAGAGCTCTCATTACCATTCATACAGGTTTGGACTTCCATTCAGTGCTCCTGTGTTCTTTATTTCACTTATAATTATGGCTTCCCTGTTCCATCAGTGGTGATGATGTAAGGCGCATGCATTTCCTTCCTGTGAAAACGTGGCCGATGTGGTACGACGAACAGAGTTCCAATCTGATTCACAGGTATCCGTTATCAGCCATACACTTTTTTGAAAGTGGAATTGCTATGGGTTACCGGAATGGACCGTTCTCACACGTATCCCCATGACTGGTGATATTGCACCTCGTTCTTACTCACTTGTCATCCAACCTCGCAAAGTGAGCAACGCTGGCTTGTCACTTAGTTGCCATAGCTATTATGCTTGTGTCCTGACTGCAGCCATTCCACCTATTGTGAATGATGCCTCGATTCCTTTAGTAACCATATTTCAGTTTTTTTTTTAAAATAAGTTCTTATACAGAGGACAAAAACTGGTTGTTAACAGCTCGCTACTCTTCAAATTTTGTAACGGTGCCATATTTGATCACGTGATCATCTGCCATATAGTGGACTAATCTGTAGAGAATTCACACGAGTCAGATTCATGCTCTATGAACTATTTAAAACAAACTCGACACAAAACAGTTGACACTATGGGCAATTGCTCTTATTCACATCACTTATGCGAGAGGTAGAGAATGTTTTTGTTTTAACCTTCCGATTGTGAGTCAAGTGAGCATCAGCCACAGTGCCACTTGGCCCAGATTCTCTACGGCATTAAATAATGTGTTGTTCTGCTCGTACAACACAGCTGAGAGTTACCATAAACGCTACCTTCTGGAATCATTTGACATGAGCAATATCTCCAGATAGTGGCTTGCCAGTGTTGTGCATGATTGCTTTTGGAATTGCACAAGTCTCTTGTGTAGGCCCTGTGCCTTTTTTTATTTGGTTAAAAAGTAAATGCTTGGTTTTTGTAAAAGCCCGCCTCCAACAATTGTTTTTATTTTTGCATCATTTGAACAAGTTAAATGATTATATTTTGCATCGTTTGTGTTTGTATTCAGTTCATTCCAAGGATTTTCCCTTTTGTTTCAAAATCCCTGACTGGTTCCTCTAATGTCATTGAAATATGTGTCACCATAAAGCATGGCATCGGTACCATGATTTGTGTTTTTAATACCAGGGATATTGAAAGACAGCCGTCTTTCACTCTGAATTAAGCAAGCTACCTATATAGTTGCGTGATCCACATAACTGCAAAAGGACAAGGATTGAGACCCAGCCGAGAAGACACAGGCAGAGCTGTTATGATGCAAAATCTCTTACCACCACTAAATATTTAAGTGAACGTCTTTCACTTTATTGGACAATATGTCAATAATAGCTCAAACCCTGTGGTCACTGCAACACAAAATATGCAATAGAATCATTCGGAGATTGCTTCAGTAAATATAGTACAGTTGTTGAAGTGGCTGCCTGTCTCAGAGGTCAGAGCTCTGAGCCGGCACCAGTAAGATGCTCCCTTCACATGCAGGTTTCAGCCACCCATGATTAAACCGGGTTCTCAAGTGAAACGAGTTGATGGTCTAATGCCTGGTCACCAATGAGTGAACAAAAAAAAACGCATATTGCAGTTTTTTTGCAATTCATTTGCCGAATTTCCACTCCTGGGAATTCATATAATGGTTGGACTGCGATGCAATAGCAGTCTTTGTGTGAATAGTGTGCCCCCTGGTGTGTGCATTTAAAACGATCACTGGAATGGGTCTCGGAAGTAGATGTGTGATTCTGTAACACACTGCATTGCACTATTCTGTGTAACTCCTGAAAGGACACTCCGTCTCATGACATCACATCGACAGCACAATTCGGATAAGACTGGCAAAATACTTTTTTATTGGGCTGCTGTAAGCGAGTTGAAGTTTTTAGTTGAGCTCATAGTCCTATTCACCTACAATTTTAAGCGATGACACAGCTGCTGACGGAAAAGCAATTGGGGGTGAGAAAGGTGTGGTTTATGCTCGTAAAGTGAAAAGCGTTTGACGGAGAATCCTAGACGGATAAAGGGAGTTTCTATGTCCACCTTCCCTTCTCCTTCGCACCCCCATCAGTACATGCTGTCGCAGGAGACCATTCACGCACTCAAGCAGCCAACATTCGACGTGTGGCAATGGGAACATAACGAGGTACATCCCTTCTTGTTGTCGCCTTTGCAAATGAGTAAATGGAGTTTCAAGTGTTTGTTTCATCTGCTATTTAAATAAAGGGTACATTCAATCCATTAAATTAACGTTGTTCGGTCATTAAGAGAAGAAGTGGGAAAGTCGGTCCATTCAGGGTACCGCAATTCTGATAATTGGTTATTTACCCTTCTATCTGGCAACAAAACTGACACCTTTTTGCAAGGAGTCATGTTTGCATAGACCGCAATACCTGCAGTCATAATACAAACAAAAGAACATAACTCTGATAATGTGCACTGTCCTTGAAGTTGATTGGTCCACATCCGAGACAGCTTTCCTTCGAGCCTAGTCTCATATGGGTTGGACCAGATGACGCCTTTTGGCGTCATCTGGTCCTTGAAGTTGATTGGTCCACACCCGAGACAGCTTTCCTTCGAGCCTAGTCTCATATGGGTTGGACCAGATGACGCCTTTTGGCTTCAAGGACAGTGCACATTATCAGAGTTATGTTCTTTTGTTTGTATTATGACTGCAGGTATTGCGGTCTATGCAAACATGACTCCTTGCAAAAAGGTGTCAGTTTTGTTGCCAGATAGAAGGGTAAAGAACCAATTATCATATTTTTACTGGCAAATGAGGTCCCCATAGTGTAGATACCGCAATTCTGTTTAGGCCGTTACAGCAACATGCTCGTGTGCCAGTGCACGTGCACCGATCGCACTGGGGAGGTAGCAGAACTGTAATTGTATTCCATTACCAATCTTGCCCCAAAAACTCTAAATGTCTGGCTTGTGACATTGGTGAGGTGTGTGATTAAGGGCAATCTTACGTTCAGAGCTATACACCCCGTCAATAAAATCGCTAAGTAGGAGATAGAGCCGTGGAATCAACGAGTGACTGGAAACTCGATAAGGGGATTTGATGAATTTTCGACCTGGTGAAATCAGATTAATTGGGGACGGTGTTTGACAGAGAATTTGAGGGGGTGGCAGGGGAAGGGAGAGAAGCTCAAAAGAAGAAACATTTCCGAGTTTCACAGATGTCCTGTTGGACGTCTGTGAAAAAGAGCTTCATAGCTCATCGGATTCCTCCAGTCGAAAGATTCTGATGTATGCGAGGTTTAATCATGTTTATGACAGTGATGATAAACATGTCGATGATATTGTTCATGGCATTGATGATGTCCTTCCTTGCAGATGCTGAGCTGCCTAGAGCACATGTTCCATGACCTGGGCCTCGTTTCTGAGTTCAACATCAACCCCATCACCCTCAAGCGATGGCTGGTGAGAGGCAGCGATAGCGTCCAATGGCTTGTGTCTGGGACTGGAGGGATGCAGTGCTGTCTGCTCCTTGTTCCATTCCCCCCGTGTGTCCTATGGGTTAGCGGAGGGGACATGACTGTGTCGCTCTTCTCAAAGCTCGTGAACTTGTGATGCACGTGTGTGTGGCTATACGGGGATGTGTCTGTGTGGGGCACAGCTTGCAGTGCAAGAGAACTATCGGAACAACCCCTTCCACAACTTTCGCCACTGCTTCTGTGTCACTCAAATGATGTACGGCGTCATCCACCATTGCAACCTGCAGGTGAGGCTGCTGATGATCTGAGCACATGTCCTAGTGCTGCATGTGACCGTGGTAATTCTGATGGGGGTAATGATGGTGATCGCCGAGGTCAAGCTTGTGATGGTTGTGATGGTAATTGATGATAGTGATGGTAATGGTGAAGAAGGTGGTGATGATAATAATATTGATGAATGTGTTCATGATGTTATAATGATGTTCGCAATTGATGATGATGGTGATGTTGTTGTTGGTGATGATGGTGACAATGTAGGAAATCTTCACTGCGATGGATTTAGGGATCCTCATGATTGCGGCCGCATGTCACGACCTGGACCACCCTGGATACAACAACGCGTGCGTGTGCACATACCTCTTATACACGTGCACACATTCACTTGTACACACCATTTCATATATGCATGGACATTACACATTTCATAGTCACATGTGTACACGCGTTGTACACATCTCATATGTGCATTTACACAAAAGACAAAGCCATCAGCAGCAGTGTGGTTGCTGTGAGGATCCAGGCCCTGACCATAGGAATGTGTAATGTTCACCACTAACTCGGAGCCACACATGGAGATGGGCTCCAGGGTCTCCCAGCACCCGTCGTGGGACCTTTTGTGGCCACAGTGGCATTTACTACCACCGGCCAGTACACACCTATTTATCATACACACGCGTGTTGGTGTGCGTGTGTAGAGCAAATCACAGGCTGATTGGTCGGCTCTGGGAGTGAGCAGGGCTTATCTCGTGATGCAATGACGGTGGGGACACCTGCTGGTTTGATCCACCCCTAAGCCACGATTAACTAGCACATGGGTCTGGGCATGTGCCCCACCCTCGCCGTGGGCTGGCAGTCCTGTCTGCCGCGCTCACAAAAAAAAAACCCTGGCTTTCGGTGGTCATGGACCGTGGTAGTAAGACGACTAACACCCTCCTACCAAGTTTCGGTTCTCGAGCTCAATGAGGAATGATGAACATGTTTCAGTCTATCGACGGTAGTGTGATGCCAATTAAAACAAATACTTTTCAAATTAACAGAGTGTAATAATAATTTAAATATAGAATTCAACCATTTGTCAAACGTAGTCTTGAGTGAACAGTCACATCCAACCCATTACTTGATTTATACTTTTGCTTGCTCTCCCAAACTCGCGTTTTGGAAAATAGATTTTGTTGAGATGTTTAGGGTATAGTTCAGTCTTTGTTCGTGAGTCGTAATCAGAAAAAGACGAACATCTTTAATTCAGTAGATTTCGGTATAATGTGCATTTGCATACATGCCCAGGTACCAGGTGAACGCCCGCACAGAGCTGGCCGTGCGCTATAACGACGTCTCGCCACTTGAAAACCACCACGCGGCCGTGGCCTTCCACATCCTGTCCACGCCCGAGACCAACATCCTTTCTGGTGTCACGCACCATGCCTTTACACATATCCGCCAGGTGGGCCCAGCAGCACGCCTTTCTTCAACCCACTAGGGCCTTGCACACGATTCTTCATTCAATGCACTGGGCGATTGCATATGGTCCTTTCTTCAACCTTCTTGTGTTGCCATCCTCCTATGGAGATCCATGGTCTCTGCTGAAAACGAGACCTGAGTGTGATGAAGGCATTAAGAGGTCACAGAACAGACCAAGGAGCTTTGTGCCGGGTAGTGAATGTGTTGTTATGAGAGGACATGGGGATTGTTTTAATTGCCAGATTTAATTGTCAGATTAAAAGAGAATCCACAGTCTGGACTTTAATCCAGGTCATGCATCTGAGGTGAAGACTCACCCTCCATCTAGGCTTCTCAGTGGGATGTATTTGGTTGAATAAAATACCGTTATTGCCTGTTGTGACCCTGTGTGATCCTGTGCAACCCCGTGCACCCCATGTAACTCCGTGTGACCCCTTGTTGCCGGCAGGGCGTGATTGAGCTGATTCTGTCCACGGACATGGCGCGACATGGGGAGATCCTCGCCTCCTTCAGGGAATACCTCAAGGACTTCGACTTCGGCAACCCGGAACACATGAAAGTCGTGAGGCAGCTCACTCGTTCATTCATGTAGTCATTCATTAACTCGCAGACAGCATTTGCCCCAACAGTCTGTTAAAGGCTATATAAGAAACAGTTTGTCTTTGTGTGCACGTGTGAGAGCAGCTGAAGATGATGCTCATTAAGTGCTGCGACATCTCTAACGAGGTTCGGCCCATGGAGGTTTCTGAACCATGGCTTGACTGCCTCCTGGAGGAGTACTTCATGCAGGTATACATCGTCACAATCGTCATCAGCGTTATCAACATTATTGTGTCATCATCGCTGTCATCGTTGTCATCATCACTATCACCATTATAAAGGTGTTAATGGTGGTAGTGTTAGTGTTGATGATAGTTATGATGTTGATGGTGGTAAACATGGTAGTGTTGATGGTAAATATGATTGTGGAAATGGTATTGATGGTGATGATATTGGTGATGATCATGGTGATGGTAAGGGCAGCAAAGACAGTGGCGATTGTAATGATATTGGTGACAGTGATGGTGGTGGTGATGGTGTGAACAGAGTGACCGTGAGAAGCAGGAGGGCCTCCCGTTCGCTGCGTTCATGGACCGCGACACGGTCACCAAGCCGTCGGCCCAGATCGGCTTCCTGTCATTTGTCCTCATTCCCTTGTTCGAAGCTGTGAGCCAGGTGCCTTGCATGATGAATGCCCTCCAAACATCATTGTCATCAACTTCACATACATCATCATCACCATTCACCATCAGCAGCACTGTAACCAGTAGAAGTAGTGTAACCAAAATCATTGCCAACTTCATCATCATTACTACTACCATTATCCACCATCGTCACCATAGAAAGTAGTAGAAGCAGCATCATCATCAATAACAATCCACTACTAGATAAAGGCCTCACCACAGTCACTATCATTGCCTTGTGACTTCATCTCTGCGGTGGATATCCTCCTTGTAGACTCCCTTCCGCTATCCACATCTTGCCTCAATACCTTCCATTTTTACTCTGCCTGTAACTGCCTCTGTAAAATAAATATGCTCACGTTTTCTGTAAAGCACATTGAGATACTTAAATTCAAATTGTGTTGAATAGAGTTATTTTGTTTCCTAAAAAATCTACATTTTTATTGCTTCCAAATAAATCACATTCCTTTCTTATTTGTTCTAATACACCCACAGTGTCAGCATCCACACTATTAAGGCAGTTCCTTGTACATCACCAGCACGGCCATTCATCCCGTGTTGATCTGTGCGTGTCCATGTGTGCCTGCGTGTGCAGCTCTTCCCACAGATGGAAGAGACAATGGTGCATCCTCTGCGCGAGTCCCGTGATCACTATCAGGAGCTCAGCGTCCTCCAGGAGACCCTGAGCAAGAAGAAGTCAGCAGACAAGGTCCCCGAAGGGGATGATGCAAAGTGAGGGGCTCATAATGGCCACGTCCGAACAATGAGCCCTCACCTCTGATCTCAGGGTATGGGGCTAATTGTGTACGTTACCTCGTTTCCATCACTAATGTGAACCTGTCTGTGCTGGCCCAGACACAGCACCAGGGCCTGGGTCCATGCCCCCATGCTTCATGAGCCACGAGGTTCCTTGGGCTTGCCCCCTCCCCTATGTCCCAACCAACTCTTCCACCTCTGCACGGAGCATGCAAGTTTAATATTGTCCCCCAGTGATTTTAAGACTTTTCACCATTTGGGGTTGTAATTCCATTAAAGAATCGACAGCATGACCAATTCCAGCATCAGTCTGGCTATAAGCATAGACAAAGGGTTGCTAAGAGAACCAGGGGACCAGGGTGCTGAATTTCCATGGGATCAGTTTGGCCAGGTTGGGCTGCCATGGGAACACAGGCTAGTGGGCCCAGCCCAGTGCATGCACAGAGCCATCACAGTTCCCACTGGCCGTGGAAATGAGGCATCCATCGTGGGGTTTCTAATGGCTGCGTTGAGGAACTAATGCAGCACTGCCATGGGCCTGAGTTCTTTATTTGTGACTGGGTGTCTTTCCTACGAGACTCTTAATAATCACCGTAGGGCACTGAGCCAGAAATATCTGAGAGCCTTGGTTCAAGCTCCAAGTCACCCCTTATCGGTAAATGCATATGTGTGCACATGGATAGCCCCATTTATATTTGGCCACATAAGGCTGCACAGCAATTTGAACTCTGTCCTGATGTTTTTATTATATTCAGCTGTGATGACAAAAACTTTTTGTTAAGAGTTAGAGCATGGTGGGTTCAACGAAAATGAAAACGTGCACGGTCCTACTGTGCGCGTGGGCTACAACAGGGTGGTAATTATGAGCAGGTTTGTTTTATTCTGAACAAGCTTAATTAGAACCACTGTTTACAGGAAAGTACCACTCAGAAGTAGTGCAAGGCTGTGCTACACGAGGGGGATTTGAGGGTAATCATTTGAAGGCTTCATCAACACATTTGTTCAGAGTAACTGGCAACTAGTAAGAGAATGGCAAAGAGTGACAATTTCCTTAAACCAATATAAAATGGTGTGAAAAATATTCTCGAAGATTCATGGTGACAATTACTCTAAAATTACCCTCGTGTATGTACACATCCATTAAACTCTCTTCCAAGTCAAAGCACTTTCAGTGGCTGTGTAAAAAGGCATTGGTAACCAATAATTTAAATTAAGTGAATTTTCACCAAATGGGAGCCTTTTAATATTTACATTGTGGGGTAGTTTTTTTAAACTACCCATGTACGTGCTTGTAAATGTCCGTGACTTTGGATCATTGTGAATAATAGATGTGATGTATACATGTAAACACATGCATGCATATACATATGCACCTACATTTAAACATGTAGCGTACTTACATCCACTGACGCGTGTACGCATTGACAGACACGTCAAGAAAGAAGCATTCAAATATCCTTTCATACATACACATGCATTAAAAGTTGTATACACAGCGAATCAAAAAATAGGTGTTGGGGAGAGGTGGAAATCTAGCTTCTGATTTTGTCTACACTCAGCAGAAGTCGGGGACTGCACAAAACTCCCAACAACATGGGACAGGCAAGAACCACTTTATTCAATATTTTGCAAATTACACCACGAACTCTCCTCACACTAACCCCCAAATTAACCAACACGAGCGAACTAATCCCAGCCTATCACCACCCAGCTCCCACCAAGGCTACACGAACTCCCACTAATCTACTAACTAGACGGACACCAGCTCGCCAGCAGCATATCAGCCTCCAGCCTCACCAACCTCACTCGTCCCAGCACCCCCCCCCCCCCACCCCCAGTGTTCCCCTCACCCCCCCAGTACCAACCTCACCCCCCCCCAGCACCCCCCTCACCCCCAGTGTCCCCCTCACCCCCCCCAGCACCCCCCCCCCCCGCCAGTGTCCCCCTCACCCCCCCAGTACCAACTTCAACCCCCCCAGCACCCCCCCCCCCCACTCCAGTGTCCCCCACCCCCAGTACCAACCTCACCCCCCCCAGCACCCCCCCCACCCCCCAGTGTCCCCCTCACCCCCACCCAGTACCAACCTCACCCCCCAGCACCCCCCCCCCACTCCAGTGTCCCCCTCACCCCCCCCCCCAGTACCAACCTCACCCCCCCAGCACCCCCCCCCCAGTGTCCCCCTCACCCCCCCCAGTACCAACCTCACCCCCTAGCACCCACCCCCCAGTGTCCCCCTCACCCCCCCAGTACCAACCTCAACCCCCCCAGCACCCCCCCCCCCCCACTCCAGTGTCCCCCTCACCCCCCCAGCACCCCCCCCCCCCACTCCAGTGTCCCCCACCCCCAGTACCAACCTCACCCCCCCCAGCACCCCCCCCACCCCCCAGTGTCCCCCTCACCCCCCCCCCCCAGTACCAACCTCACCCCCCTAGCACCCCCCCCCACTCCAGTGTCCCCCTCACCCCCCCCCCGTGTCCCCCGCCCCTTCAGTGTCCCCCTCACCCCCCCCGTGTCCCCCGCCCCTTCAGTGTCCCCCTCACCACCCCCCCCCCGTGCCCCCCGCCCCTTCAGTGTCCCCCTCACCCCCCCCCGTGCCCCCCGCCCCTTCAGTGTCCCCCTCACCCCCCCCCCCCGTGTCCCCCGCCCCTTCAGTGTCCCCCTCACCCCCCCCCCGTGTCCCCCGCCCCTTCAGTGTCCCCCTCACCACCCCCCCCCGTGCCCCCCCACCCCCCAGTCCCCCCCTCACCCCCCCCCCGTGCCCCCCACCCCCCCCGTGCCCCCCGCCCCTTCAGTGTCCCTCTCACCCCCCCCCAGTGTCCCCCCCACCCCCCAGTCCCCCCCCCCGTGCCCCCCACCCCCCCCCCCCAGTGTCCCCCCCACCCCCCCCCCCAGTTCCCCCCTCACCCCCCCACCCCCTTCTGTGTCCCCCTCACCCACCCCCTTCAGTCCCCCCCCCCATCCCCTCTACAAGTTTGGGGGGGGGGGTGCCTGGAGTCTCCATGGCAACCCAGCCCGCGGCTGAGCTGTTGTGAAGATTAATACAAGGCGGCAGGTCTGCTGATATTGCCACACGACTTGATGACATACTTACAAAAGAGAGTGTGCATTTCGGGAGTGTGTGAAATTCATGTCTACGGAATAAACTAGCGGGGTCTGGACATTCTTTTGTCGACATAACCTTTGTGTAAGCACGAATATGCACGTTAGACGTTTATTTATTGGTGATCGAGACCCCCAATATGTTTACACACCTCGAATACAGGATAGAGTGGAGATATTAAAGAGCCTTTTGGCAGCAAATGTTCATCATTCATCACTCAAAAATCCCCTTCAGGGGGCATCAGACACTGACAAACACGTGGGGACGCAATTTACCCAATGATGTAATACAGAACAAAATATTAATTACACCTAATGCAATATGTACAGTAATGATACGTGCAAACATGCCGACCCAATTTTGTGCAGTGAAAACATTTCACGATGGACAAGCGAGCACCTGTATTGACAATAAACAGCAAAGTGATGCCACAAATAAGCGCGCGTGCCTCTCCATTCACTCAAACATGGGACCATCATTGCCAGTATCAAAGTATGAAAACATAAGAATCGCGTTCACCCTTTCAGGAACTAAAACTGGTGTTAAGATCTTCTTGGTTCTTTCGGTAAAGTCACGTAGAAGGGAAGTAATAAAATAATAAAAATAAAACATTATAAAAAATTAATGTTTTAGTTTTATTTTTATAATTTTATTACTTCCCTTCTACGTGACTTTACCGAAAGAACCACGAAGATGAATCCCTGCAGTCACGAAAGCTTTAAATCGAAGGTGTTAAGATATATACATCTCTCGCATTAAGCACACACGTCTACGTACGTGTGGTACTGGTAGGAACCTCCTGGTTACACCAGCCCACAGGGGATTGTTGTGTCTGTCCGTCGTGCGTCGTGCGTCGTGCAGGGAGGAGAGGGTGGGGCTGGGTGGGGAAGGGCCGGGTGGGGAGGGGAGGGTGGGGTTGGGTGGGGAGGAGAGGGTGGGGAAGGGCTGGGAGGGTGGGGAGGGGCTGGGTGGGGAGGGGAGGGTGGGGTTGGGTGGGGTGGGGAGGGTGGGGCTGGGTGGGGAAGGGCTGGGTGGGGAGGGGAGGGTGGGGTGGGGAGGGTGGGGAGGTGAGGGTGGGGAGGGGCTGGGTGGGGAGGGTGGGGAGGGGAGGGTGGGGAGGGGCTGGGTGGGGAGGGTGGGGCTGGGTGGGTGGGGAGGGTGGGGAGGGGAGGGTGGGGAGGCGCTGGGTGGGGAGGGGAGGGTGGGGCTGGGTGGGTGGGGAGGGTGGGGAGGGGCTGGGTGGGGAGGGGAGGGTGGGGTTGGGTGGGGAGGGGAGGGTGGGGAGGGGCTGGGTGGGAGGGGAGGGTGGGGCTGGGTGGGTGGGGAGGGTGGGGAAGGGTTGGGTGGGGAGGGGAGGGTGGGGGTGGGTGGGGAGGGGGAGGGGTGGGGCTGGGTGGGGAGGGGCTGGTCACCCCGTGGTGCCCTTATAAAACTCAACGTTTAACCTACTCACGCCGGCTTGTGCCCGCCCTCACAGTCGGGCATATTTGCGGAATACACCACGCCGCCGTTGACCCTGCAGGCCATTGACCGAGCAACCCAACGTTCCTACCAGCAGCTCCCTCCGCAGCAGGACAATGTGTTTAATGGAAACATGACCCTGCTGCAGTCGAGTTGAGGCTCCGCGATTCTTTCATGAGTGAACGTAATGAAAGCAAGGACCATTGCCCGAAACGTCGCCTGTTATATTTTGTCCCTTCTTAGGCCACCGTGTTATTGACGAACTTGTTGAAATGTTCGTAGGAATAATATTTCACACCCGATTCATTCAGTACCGGTTCAGAATCCCTATTTAAATTGAGACTCTATCCTTGAATTCGTTCGCCCCCCACCCCACCACCATTCGCCACTCAGTAGCGGTGACGCCACCACGACGCTTGTGCCAGGCTAGGTGCACTTTGAGGTCACGCGCGTGTAAATGTGCACGATACCGCGTGTCCCGTGTACAATTGCGATTCTAATCGAGGAATCGTTACTCCTCTAGCCGTATTTATTACACCAAATCATCGACACATTCGTCAATTGCACTGGATTGAAAAAATATATATAATGGGCGACGTTTCTGGCAAGGGGGCCTTCTTCACACCGTACTGTACAGTAACACCACCCCCTTACAAAGATGGCGCCCAGCACTGTACGGTACATTGCCCCTTGCAAAGATGGCGCCCTGTACTACATTGTACAGTACCTTCCCCCTTAAAAAGATGGCGCCCTGTATTGTGTTGTACAGTACCTTCCCCTTACAACGGTGGCGTCCAAAATTGCACTGTACAGTACCTCCCCCATCTAAAGATGGCGCCCAGTACTGTATTATACAGTTACTTCCCCCTTAGAAAGATGGCGCCCAGTACTGTATTATACAGTTACTTCCCCTTAGAAAGATGGCGCCCAGTACTGTACTGTACCTCCCCCCCTTACAAAGATGGCGCCCTCTCCAGCAGACGCCACTACTCGGTGACGTCACGTCCAGCCCAGCCCCTCCCGCCCGCCCCTACCCACAAGGCCGCGCGCGCTACCCGCGACCTCCCTTTCCGGTTTTCAAGTGCGACGCGATGGCGGTCGGCAAGAACAAGCGTCTGACCAAGGGTGGCAAGAAGGGCGCCAAGAAGAAGATGTAAGTGCCTCATAACGCGCTGGCCACGGCGGCGAGGATCCCTTCCGAGCGCCGCACCACTCCGGTGGCCGCCGCGGGTTCGGATGGCGGCGATGCGAGGTGGATTGCGGGGGTTAGGCCGCAGGGTCCCGGCCTTGCCTCGGTGCAGGATCGAGGGAAGGTGGGGGGCGAAGGCAATTGCTCCCCCCCACCGACCAGTGCTCGTCTGCTCTCGGCCGATGGTTCATATAAATAAAGTGAAAAATGTCAAGTTGATATTGCCATATGATATGGTGATGTTGCTATGGCTGCGTGTGTTACGGTTGTTGGGTGAGCCGGGTGTGCACTGGGCCCTGAATTAAACTTGAGTGCTTAATGTACTTTTTTGGGATTAACTTTAATAAAATTATAACTCGGTGCAGTGAAGTAGGTAATGAATTATGTCGAGGTCCTCGTGAGTTGTATGCAGTGAAAAAGGGTGATTACGTGGTTTGTTAATTTAGTTAACTACATTTTGCGTTCGAGTGCATTGTATTAAGTCGTGAATTACACTAGACATATGAAGGGTTTTCTTCAACTATCAGTGGTCTGCGTTTGGAAGTTAGGCGATGAGATTGATGTTTGTTTTCGTGAGTCGTATTCGCCGTGAGTTGGGGGCATCTCGTCCGTGCTGGGGCTGTAGGGAATAATTGCACGTGGCTGTAAGTAAAACTTTGTTAAAAAGTGCGACGAGCCCCGCGTGGTGGTGCTGTGTTGAGTGGATTGTGTTAAATCATCGAGTTATATATACAGTATACTGTATATGTAGTGAGCTGCACGTGGGTGATGAAACGAGGTAGTGAGGGACTTTGTAGTAACCGGTGACTGATAATTTGGATGGAATATTCTTAGATAATGTTTTGGTTCTTTGACTAATTTACGGGCCCAAATTGTAACGCGATGTAAGGACAATTATTTTCAGGCGGTGAAAATGCAGCGTCTTGGGAATCACGAATAATTTCAATACGATACTATTCGCAATCATAACCTGTGCGCTATACATTCGAGTGAACCTTACAGTTTAATGTATTAACGTTTCAATTACAGTATTTAATATCCAGTGGCATTGCGAATGTAATAGATTTAATCGCACGAGTACGAATTGTTTTGACGTGCTGTGGAGGATATTGAACATTTGGCTGAGTACTGCACTTCAAGAGGTGGATCCGGGGTTAGTGGTTAACATTTTAGAAAATTACAAACAATCTGGGCTGAGGTGGCAAGGAGATGGTATTGAGACAGTAAATCAATTATTTGTGTCTGCACACCTTGAAGTGCAGTACTATTCATAATAGAGGTTTTTTCGGGTTCGATCGCGTAAATATATAAATGTGTCGTTAAAACCCGCCATCACCCGACACAGCCAACTAGTAAGGGTTTTATTCGTCACTAGTACAGCACACCGGTGTGTTGGAGAGCGAAGCCACAACATGGCGGGTTTTAAAGACATATTTACGCGAAATAACCCAAAAAACCTCTACTATGGATGATATTGGTCGCGAAAGCCTACGGGTTAAACTGCAGTACTATTACTGCGTTTGCATGGGAATTCTCCAGACAGTCTGGATTCTTCATGCACAACAAATATTGCCTGATGAGGTGCTACTCATCTCGCACCTTCATGCCCCTACAGGGCTGTAAGTGAGATGTGTGTGTGTACCTCGACCATGTATGTGTCCATGTGTGCCTCAATGTGGGGACTGGTTGTGTAGCGGTTGAGCGCGCCGAGCAGCAAACTCAAACCCCGTGACCCGAATTCGATTCCCGCTCAAGGCCAGTGACGATTTTACGAACCAGTCCCTCGTAGACCGCCTAAAATGACTACCTGATGTTGCTACTTCGGAGACATAGGCGGCTGGGTGTGGTGCTAACCATCAACTCCTTTGTATGCCGTGTCGGCCTGTATAGGTGTTCGTGCAAAGGACTTGCCCCAACAGTCTAAAACCGAGTGTATCTTTTGTCGCAGTGTGGACCCCTTCTCCAAGAAGGACTGGTACGATGTGAAGGCACCAGCCATGTTCAACATCCGCAACATGGGCAAGACGCTCGTCACGCGCTCACAGGGCACACGTAAGCAAGATAAACTCATGTACACATGCTCACACTTGTTATGCAGGCTTGCACATTCGTACGACTAAGCATTCAAACTAGGTTTTAGACTTGTAGTCAGACTACACTCGCTGATGTACGTGCACAAATTGGCTGGCACACCACAGTTTGGGTACACACGCACGCTAACATGTGCATGTATACACTCAAACCAGGCGGTTGATTATGGATTTGTTGGAAATTAAAATCTAAATTATTTCACGTTTGAAATGTATGATAATATATTAACATACATGAGATCGTGGAATATCGCGGGGGTTATGTTCTTGGGAAGTTCCGCAAAAGCCAAAACCACGATATTCAATACTTAATCCTTGCCTAAATAATGGGGTGATGTACACATAAACCAAAAACCACAATTCAAATAAGTACTGTACTTTATGCCAAATAAACTAGCATCTAAATGATTGAAATAAACATGTAAAAACCCGATACAAAAAAATTCATAGACTATAAATAGTATATATACTGAATACATTATGATAATGATAGCTGGTGTGCATGTGTGTTTGTCCGCAAGTGGGGAGCGGTAGTGCTACAGTTTGCACGCTGTGCTACGAACCAGGTGACCTGAGTTTGATTCCCACTTAGACCCAACACCAGTGACGATTATCTGAATCGCTCCTGGACCTCCCCTAGGTTGAGCGTCAGCCTCAGATGAGTACCTGGTGCAGTGTGTAAACATCGCCACTGGGGAGACAAAGGTCGCCGGGACGTGGTGCTTGCCACCCTCCCCCTTTTGTAATGTGCCGGCCTTCATAGGTCCTTGCTAACAGCACTTCCCCCAATAGTCTGTTAATAGACTATACGGGGAGTCTGTCTGCAAGATGCTTGCACGGCAAAGCTTGAGGTGCCACTAACTGCCTCGTGTCCCTCGCCTGCCCCACACCACAGTATCAGTACTTTCGGGTACAGATACAGTACTTATGGGTACAGTATACCCACGAAAGGCCAAAACTAACTGCCACCATAGCTAAATTGATAGACAAAGAGGTGCCCCGCGATAGGTAGAAACCGCGAATGATAAATACACGATATTCAATTGCATTTCTTGCATACATGCCTGCGTGCACAGGTATCGCGTCGGACGGCCTGAAGGGCCGCGTGTTTGAAGCGAGCCTGGCTGACCTGCAGAACGATGAGGTGGCGTTCCGTAAGTTCAAGCTCATTGTCGAAGACGTGCAGGGAAAGAGCTGCCTCACCAACTTCCATGGCATGGACCTCACGCGCGACAAGCTCTGCTCCATGGTCAAAAAGTGGCAGGTGGGTTCATAAGCATGCACAACCACATGTATAAGGCCTCTATGTAGGTTGTAATCTGGGCTTCCATCGTCTATGGTTAAATTGGGTTTTCAAGTGATTCTAACCACTGATTACACTCAAACATAAAATGTAGAAATTTTTCAGCTCTGAAAATTAGAATTTACAACTTTTCTTACATGTGACAAACGTCTTGAGCAAATTACAGCAGAAGGTAGCGTGTAGTAAAGTCATATTTTCTTTTTGGCTATTTTCATAAAAGTAATGCACTGCGCTGCGAGAGTTTCACACTGGCACTTCAAACATACGATTGCAATGAAACTTGGAGAGAAAATAAGCAATAATTGTCGCTGTGGGTGACGTCCCTCACTTCACGTGATTTTCCTTCAGACGATGATCGAGGCACACGTGGACGTGAAGACAACGGACGGGTACCTCCTGCGCCTCTTCTGCATCGGCTTCACCAAGAAGCGCTCAAACCAGATCCGCAAGACGGCATACGCGCAGCGACAGCAGGTGCGCGCCATCCGCCGCAAGATGGTGGAGATCATGACACGCGAGGTGCAGAGCAACGACCTCAAGGAACTGGTCAACAAGCTGTGAGTTTCTCTATTTTGAGCGTACGTTTGATGCACGCACATACCCTTGTGTTTGTGCTTCTGTGTACGTGAGCTCGTGTACACACTTGCTCTGTGTACATACTCTCATGTACAGACAACCCTTGTATGTTTCTATTTAAAGCTTTCGTGACTGCAGGGATTCATCTTCTTGGTTCTTTCTGTAAAGTTACGTAGAAGGGAAATAATAAATATAAAATACAATTCTCACGATGTTTCGGCCACACCGCAAAAGAGAAAGGTCTGACGCTGTCTTTCTGACAGACCTGTTCTTCACCTGAGGACGGCTGCTTGCGTTGTGGCCGAAACGTCGTGAGAATTGTATTTTATTATGTTTTATTTTTTCCCTTCTACGTGACTTTACCGAAAGAACCAAGAAGATGAAACTCTTGTATGATCGTACTCCGTCTAGTCACTTGCATACACACAGCCAAACTCCTTGGCAATCCTGCATGCCTTCATGTTGACCTGCTGGATTTAACGGCTTAAGGGAGACAGGCACTTGCAATGATATTCACGAATCAAAATATATTGTACACAAATTGACCCTGTATAGGGCATTCGGAAGCTAGGAAAATAACAAGGAGAAAGGTTATAATATTTTGACAGGGCAACGTCTGTGCCCAGTGAATTCCAAAGTACCGGAGCTGCATAGGAACTATCGGATACTGAATTTAACGTGGATTTTGAAGAGAGCTTTGGTGAAATTTGCATCGACTCTCATGCGCTGGGGAAATGGGGGACTGGTATTGTTATGAATGAGGATGATACAGGACCAGGTCTCTGTATGGGGGAAAACAAAGTTTGGGATTGTGTGCGTGAGAGAGATAAAGGGGTTTGCTCACAAAGGCTGTTGTGTGGTATCGTTTGCAGGATTCCTGACAGCATTGGCAAGGACATCGAGAAGGCTTGCCAGTCGACCTTTCCCCTGCACGATGTTTACATCTGTAAAGTGAAAACGCTCAAGAAGCCCAAACTTGACTGTGAGTGCCCATGGAGAAAGAGCGATAGCGTGTGTGAGTGGTGAAAGACCTGAGCCTGCAATTTCATATGGTAGGGTGAGAGATTTCCATGAGTGAAAAAATATTTCAGCTGAAGGTACCACAGTGATATTTAAGTGCTAAATTGTGATGAGAGTAATGCGAGTTTAAGGGGTGAAGTGAGACATTGATTCATCAATTAAAATCAATCTTACACGCCACCATTTGTGCAAGTGGCACCAATGGAACGAACATAACTATACAAACCAGGCAGTTAAAACAAGATAAAGATAATCACTTAATTTAGCAGGTATTACACTAACCTGTCAATCATAACCAATCAACTAATTATGAATTAGATAACATGCATGTCTGCCAATGATGGTATGACATCTACTTAAGATCCCTGGATCAGAAAGTACTTTTACTCCATCTGAGCTATTAACAACCCATTGATGCTGGAAATAATCTCCAGTGAAACGTCACCCATTTAAATGTGAGAATACTCTGAAACACACCAGTGTGCTGAAGCAGTAATAAATGTGGCACTTGATTCACACGCCACTTTTATTAATTGATTGTTGGGTGGATCAGGGTTGACATTTTTACATGACCTAATCCAAAATATATTTTTGTTAATTAAATGTAGTCAACCGTGCTGTGCGAAAACTAGTGATGCTCACCTAATACCTTTCGTGGCTTCAAGAACAGGCAGACTTAAGGAAAATGCAGCTTCATTATTCCAGAAACATGAATAATATTTTGTAGTTTATTGTAGTAATTGCAATATTACAGTACAGTATTTAAAATAATCAGCTATGTTTTATCCACTGCTGAGTGAAGGCCTCCCCATATCGTGTCTCACAATCCAGTGATGCAACAATCCATTTAGCTCTGCGTATGAGCTGGTCTCATCGATCCATTTCAGTGGTTGTCTTGACCAAGCCCACTTCACAGCATGATGTCGGCAATTTGTGTTTTCCAATCCTCTTCCTGCCTCAAGTGTAATTCCAAGCATGCACCTGTCTATGATCCTTTGTGCATTTTTCAGCTTTTGTTCCATTGTATCTGTTAATATCAATTTCTGATCCACATTAAGACTAGTGACACAAGAACACAAGAAGTTTGTCTCGTAATGGCCAGGCTGCTGCTGCTGTATTAACTGTTGGCGTTTGCGTGTGCAGTGGGAAAGTTGATGGAGCTGCACGGTGAGGGTGCCGCCAGCACGGCCGCAAAGCCTGCGTCAGGCGCTGCAGGCGATGCCGAGGGGACGGCGAGCAGCACCAAGGTGGACCGCGGGGATGGCTACGAGCCGCCTGTGCAGGACACGGTGTGAGCGCCACCACCGCTCAAACCTCACACCCCCCCACCACAAACACCAATGCGCACACCCTGCCATGCAACATCTCGCGGCTTGTGTGTGAATACAAATTGCGTTGTACAGCGCAAATAAAGATGGAAAGTTTAACTTTATTGTCTGTGTCGGTGTTTGTGTGTGTTTTTGCTGGTCTGCAGTGGGAACGTATGAAACATGTAATGATGCATTAGACCAGGGGTCCTCAAACTTTTTAAACAGGGGGCCAGTTCACTGTCCCTCAGACCATTGGAGGGCCGGACTATAGTTAAAAAAAACTATGAACAAATTCCTATGCACACTGCATATATCTTCTTTTGAAGTGAAGAAACAAAACGGGAACAAATACAATATTTAAAATGAAGAACAAGTAAAGTTAAATCAAACTTGCCAGTATTTCAATGGGAACTATGGGCCTGCTTTTGGCTAATGAGATGGTCAATGTCCGGTTCCATATTTGTCACTGCTAGTCGTAACAAGTGATGCAAGTGTGCATCCGTTAGTCTAGATCTGGTTGGAGATTTCAAATGTTTCATTCTGGAAAAAGTCTGTTCACAGACATAAGTGCTGCCAAAGATGGTTGCCATTTTGAGTGCATGGTTCCTGAGATGAGGATATGTCTGAGGGGAGAGATGCATAGAAATTATGAAGGCTGCTTGACTTGAATGCGTCTTTCAGTCACAATTCTGCAGTTCAGCCAGTTCCATTTGGTAAATTGTATCCACATTTTCAATGTCAATAGAAAATGGGTTACGGAAAAGCTGTATGTCCTGTTCATGGAGATAAAGCTCTTTAAATCTAAATTGGAACTCCTTTTGCAATTTTTCCAGTGAATCCACATGTTTTGTTTTGGAATGCAACCAATGGTTTTTCCGCTAACAAATTTTGAGTTGTGGGGAGATGGCAGAAGTTTTCCTCCTTCACTTGTTTGATGAGGCCTAATTTTACTTGAAATGCTTTGACATGTGATTGCATATCACAGATGAGCTTCCCCTTTCCTTGAAGTTGCACATTGAAACTTGAGTAGCTCTGTTACATCTGTCATAAAGGCAAGGTGCCATTTCCATTCTGCATCATTGAGCTCTGGTACTTTTTTGTTTTTTGAAAGCAGAAAAGCTGTAATCTGGAAGTAAGTCATAGAAACGTTTCAAAACTCTCCCTTGACTCAGCCAACGGACTTCTGTGTGGTACAGAACATCTTCATAGTCAACATTTATCTCAGACAGAAATTCCTGAAATTGTCTGGTTTAGGGCATGAGCTCTAATGAAGTTAACACAAGATACCACAATTTTCATAACAGAGTCCCACTTAAGTGATTTACTACACAGCGCTTGGTGGATAAGGCAGTGTATGGCTATTGGATGAGAATGGTTATGTTTGTCCATCTCTTGGTTAATGCGAGCAATTACTCTTTTCTTAGACCCCACCATGCTAGGAGCACCATCAGTTGTCACAGTCTAGTTTAGCCCAGTTCAGCTCCAAAGCCTTCACAGTTTGGCAAACCTTTTCATAGATATCCTCTCCTGTAGTTGTTCCTTTGATGCTTTGCAGTGCAGCAAGCTCTTCTGTGACTTCGAAATAGTCATTCGTCCCACGAATAAAAATTTGAAGTTGTGCAGAATCACGAACGTCATTGCTTTCGTCGAGTGCCAAGGAAAAATAGGAAAGTTTTTTTGTGGAGTTTTGCAAATGCTGATGCAAATTGTCTCCCATTTCTTCAATCCTCCGTGTAATTGTAGGTCCTGAAAGACTCACTGTACTAAATAAATCGGCCTTCTCTGGACACATCTCTTTGGCAACAGAAAGAAGGCATTCTTTAACAAATTCTCTCCACGAATGGTCTGCCAGTGCACGCTATTAGCTTGGCAACTTGAAAACTTGCTCGCAGTGATGAAATATTTAGCTGCTTCTGCTTCACAAAAGTATTTTGCTGAGTTGTTAATGTATTTTTCAGTTCTAATATTTTATCTTTTCTCACTTCTCCGACCAAACAATCATATTTATCTTTATGTTGAGTTTCATAGTGTCGACGTAAATTGTATTCTTTGAACACACACTATATTCTGGCATATCAGACACAGCTCTTTCCTTGTACTGCATGAAAAAGTAATCATAAGTCCACTGTTCTTTGAATATCCTACACTCCGAGTCAATTTTTCTCTTTCTTGACATCATTGTTTCCTAGGGAGTCAAAATTGCTATTAGTAAAATACCAATATATATACAGCGCTACAAAAACAATATACCTGCAATAACTTTGCCCACACAGAGACATACAGACTGCACTGCCCATCAATGCAGTCTGATTGGGGGAACTCCGCTTTTACCCCAGGCTCACACTGGTGCGGGTGCCATTCAAACGTTAATTACACCTGCGGTTTTGTTCACAGATCGCAGTGCGATCTGCGAACTCGCATAGGAATCTGATCGCATGGGGGAGAAGACCCATGCGATCCGATTCCACTGCAGGAAAAAATAAGGCACATGTGCCTTTTTTCTTCCGAATCTAATGCAAGTTCCGCCATACAAGCATATGGCTGAACTCGCACTGCTCAGAGATCGCAACAGTATGAGCCGGGGCTTACACAACATATAACCTCATACAACTGAATAGCAATCAGAATATAAATGCACTTACTGTTATTTAAATTGGGTTTCCTACTCCTCGGCTGTCTGTCACTGACCATCACGGGAAAACAGCAGGCAGCCCCTCCAGAGATCACTCTGTTAGGGAGTCGGGGGGGGGAGGAGTCGGGGGGGGGAGGAGTCGGGGGGGGGAGGAGTCGGGGGGGGGAGGAGTCGGGGGGGGGGAGGAGTCGGGGGGGGAGGAGTCGGGGGGGGGGAGGAGTCGGGGGGGGGAGTCGGGGGGGGGAGGAGTCGGGGGGGGGGAGTCGGGGGGGGGAGGAGTCGGGGGGGGGAGGAGTCGGGGGGGGGAGGAGTCGGGGGGGGGGGAGGAGTCGGGGGGGGGGGGAGGAGTCGGGGGGGGGAGGAGTCGGGGGGGGGGAAGTCGGGGGGGGGAGGAGTCGGGGGGGGGAGGAGTCGGGGGGGAGGAGTCGGGAGGGGGAGGAGTCGGGGGGGGGAGGAGTCGGGGGGGGGAGGAGTCGGGGGGGGGGGAGTCGGGGGGGGGGAGGAGTCGGGGGGGGGAGAAGTCGGGGGGGGGGGGGAGTCGGGGGGGGGGGGGAGTCGGGGGGGGGGGAGTCGGGGGGGGGAGGAGTCGGGGGGGGGGGGAGTCGGGGGGGGGGGGAGTCGGGGGGGGGGGGAGTCGGGGGGGGGGGGAGTCGGGGGGGGGAGGAGTCGGGGGGGGAGGAGTCGGGGGGGGAGGAGTCGGGGGGGGGAGTCGGGGGGGGGAGGAGTCGGGGGGGGGAGGAGTCGGGGGGGGAGGAGTCGGGGGGGGAGGAGTCGGGGGGGGGGAGGAGTGAGTCGGTGTCGTGGTGTCTGCCGGGTGCGCGTGGAGCCGCCACTGCGAGTGGCGACGTCGTGCGAGTGTCATGTCGGACAGCTGCGAGAAGAAGGCGGCGATGGCGGGCGCCGTGAAGGCGCAGGGCGAGGTGGTGCGCAGGCTCAAGGCGGAGAAGGCGAGCGCCCACACGGTGCGCCTCTCCTGCACGCCGCGCCGCGGTTTCGTTTCCCGGCCTTGTTCCGAGTGAACGCGGCGGTGCCCATTGGCTGGGGCTCGATCACGTGACGTAACGCGCGCCTCGCGATTGGCTCGGGCCCAAGGGCTCCGGGAAAGTGCGGCGCGGCCGAGTAACAGACTAACAGACCGCGTGTGTGACAGTTAGTCCGTGTGTGTGTGTGTGTGTGTTAGTGTGTGTGTGTTAGTGTGTGTGTGACAGTTAGTCCGTGTGTGTGACAGTCCGTGTGTGTGTGTGTTAGTGTGCGTGTGTGACAGTCCGTGTGTGTGTGTGACAGTCTGCGTGTGTGACAGTCCGTGTGTGTGTGTTAGTGTGTGTGTGACAGTCTGCGTGTGTGACAGTTAGTCCGTGTGTGTGTGTGTTAGTGTGTGTGTGACAGTCTGCGTGTGTGACAGTGCGTGTGTGTGTGTGTGTTAGTGTGTGTGTGACAGTTAGTCCGTGTGTGTGTGTGTTAGTGTGTGTGTGACAGTCTGCGTGTGTGACAGTTAGTCCGTGTGTGTGTGTTAGTGTGTGTGTGACAGTCTGCGTGTGTGACAGTCCGTGTGTGTGTGTGTTAGTATGTGTGTGACAGTCTGCGTGTGTGACAGTTAGTCCGTGTGTGTGTTAGTGTGTGTGTGACAGTCTGCGTGTGTGACAGTTAGTCCGTGTGTGTGTGTGTTAGTGTGTGTGTGACAGTCTGCGTGTGTGACAGTTAGTCCGTGTGTGTGTGTGTTAGTGTGTGTGTGACAGTCTGCGTGTGTGACAGTCCGTGTGTGTGTGTGTTAGTGTGTGTGTGACAGTCTGCGTGTGTGACAGTTAGTCCGTGTGTGTGTGTTAGTGTGTGTGTGACAGTCTGCGTGTGTGACAGTCCGTGTGTGTGTGTTAGTGTGTGTGTGTGACAGTTAGTCCGTGTGTGTGTGTGACAGTTAGTCCGTGTGTGTGTGTGTTAGTGTGTGTGTGACAGTCTGCGTGTGTGACAGTTAGTCCGTGTGTGTGTGTGTTAGTGTGTGTGTGACAGTCTGCGTGTGTGACAGTCCGTGTGTGTGTGTGTTAGTGTGTGTGTGACAGTCTGCGTGTGTGACAGTTAGTCCGTGTGTGTGTGTTAGTGTGTGTGTGACAGTCTGCGTGTGTGACAGTTAGTCCGTGTGTGTGTGTGTTAGTGTGTGTGTGACAGTCTGCGTGTGTGACAGTTAGTCCGTGTGTGTGTGTGTTAGTGTGTGTGTGACAGTCTGCGTGTGTGACAGTCCGTGTGTGTGTGTGTTAGTGTGTGTGTGATAGTCTGCGTGTGTGACAGTTAGTCCGTGTGTGTGTGTGTTAGTGTGTGTGTGACAGTCTGCGTGTGTGACAGTCCGAGTGTGTGTGTTAGTGTGTGTGTGTGACAGTTAGTCCGTGTGTGTGTGTGACAGACTGTGTGTGTGACAGTCTGCGTGTGTGACTGTTAGTCCATGTGTGTGTGTTAGACCATGTGTGTGTGTGTGTGACAGTCTGTGTGTGTGACA